TACTATCATTTGAAATGTTTTTTATTTTACACAGAAAAAAGTAATCATCCATATTTACAGATAAACATTAATCTTACAATTTTAGGAAAGTAATTTTCAATTCTTTCTATGATGAAGAAAATATAACGTCTTGAAGAAGAACGTGTAGAGATTTATTGTTTGTTTAGAACTTGAGTTGGTTTATACTTTATCTAAGTAAAATTTACCGTTTACTATTGTTAAAGTAACCTTTAATTAAAAGACATTCGTTTTTTGACAGGGAAAATAATGATTGTGAATAGATGACAAATAATTCTTCGTATTTCTTTTATTACACCGAGACAGGTACTATCGTGACAACTATGTAAGAACTCAAATCCACGTTTCAGTTTATATTTTTTCCAATATGGATTCAAAATTTTTAAAATCTTTCCTAAACACGTATAGATATATACATATATGAACAAAGTTATAAATCAAAATATTGTATCAAATATTTTTATCACCTACTTTTGATCCTAAAAAAACGAGAATAGTCCTTCTACCAATTGTTTCGATACAAATTTGTTGTATTTTAAAACAGTGTGTAAAAAATATGAAGGAACGTTGTATATAAATCACACGTTGAACGAAAATCGAGAACCAACCGAGAAGGTCTCTCTCGAAAGGCTCCGGGAGCGTGGCTTGGAGCGAAGGAAGGAGGGTTTCAAGAAATCGGACGATTGCTTTATTAAGACGTCAGAAGGTACAGGATAGGCTGGGCCTGGCGGTCGTTATTGCCTCAACCGGGTTCTCGCTTGGGACAATTGCTTCGAGAAGATCAAAAAGACCATCGAGAGAAACTGACAGCGCGCGCACGAGACAGAGAGAGAGAGAGAGAGAGAGAGAGAGAGAGAGAGAGAGAGAGAACAAAAACTACCGTGCCTGACCCTTCGTGCGCAGCTCACAATGTTAATATACTGGTGCCCCGAGAGGTGTTCGTAAAGTTTTAGTAATATATTTAATCTACATTAGATTTTGTCTGCTTTGATATGCGAGTTCGTTCGAATGTTATTAAATTCATTAAATTCGTTATACACAACTCTGTAACATTTAAAACAACATATTCTTCGTTGTTAACACTTTAAGCGTATACAGTTAAATAGCGTAATCACGTCACAGAACCCTGAAAAATTAGACTCAAAGAAAGTCCAAACAGAATATGTTAAAGATCATATAATATAACCATATGGTTAATGAAACTAATCAATTCCTCGTATTCTTATATGGATGTATACATATGTATAATGTATATTAGTATGCTGAGAAAGTATACGCACGCTTGAACGTGAGTTATCGTTCGTATATCTCTGTTTCATATCTGACGATCTATTTCCTTTATTCCGTCGTAGATGGTTCGTGCTTCATCGCAGTTTGTCGATCTAGATCTACCCCGTCACGTTTCCTCTATAACAGGAAACTAATTTTCATGATTATCCCCGTACAATCTGTAAGTAATAGACAATTCAGTGTATATAATTCCGGGTGATGCATACACACATAAAGTTATCATTCGCAATGTTCAAAGTTTAACCACAACTTACGAGCCTGTGAAATTATCCACGTCACTACCATAAACAGACCAAAATATCGAAACTGTACTGTTTTGTACTATTGTTAAAAATTTATTTAATATGGACAACAATAACAACAGTGAACCAACAATAATCAATATAATAAATAATTATATAGTGAATTTGATGATTCAGGTCTCGAATTTCTGGAGACGTCTATATCTCCGAATCGAAAAGAATCGTTTCTGTTAAATCGATGTTTTTGATCTTTCGCTGAAGATATCGACCATCTTCTCGATTTTGTTATGATGCAAGTAGGCCTTGATCTTCTGCTCGGTAGTGGCACTGTGCTCGTAACATCTATACCTTATTTAAAACTGTGAACTCTCTTTTCTCATATTACATATTAAACGGGGGAATGTATGGTTAACCCTTTTAACGCCACAAATCTGTGTGATGTCAAAAAAAAAAGAAAAAGGAAATTAGTAAACAGTTTGAGAACCGCCAAGGGGGCTGCTACCTCGTTTCAACAAATTCACCAGGGTCTTCAATGGGACATTCAGTCCCGAGCAAACGAAGCTGAAAACCATTTATACATATAGCTAGGATATACTAAGCAAACCGAGACACGCGTTCTCGTCGACTCGTTAATCTACAAACAAACACTCTCTTCTGTCTCTTGGTCGTTCGTTCGTTCGTTTAAATTAGAAAGCCCACATAAAATAGAATTTAAACAATGTCTACGAAACAACGTTGTTTATGGTGTATAGATATCTAGTGTCTCCTTAGCAATGAAAAAAAAGCTTGAAAATCAGTTTTCACATTTATATGTATACATACTTATAAGTGTAACGTCTCAAGGAATAAGCAGGATAGAAATTCGTTTCGCAAGTTCGTTTCTTTCGGTATGTATACTCTTGTTCTTCCGGCGGAATCGATTAACCGGTTCAATTTGTACTCAAACAGCTAGTCTCTCGGCAGCTCGCTTGGCTCGCTGTCCTCTGCTGGAAGAAGCGAAATTGAATTGAGAGTGGTTGAGAGTCACAGGAGCCAGCTAAATGTCCCGGTGGTAGGGAATAGAAGTAGTAAGGGGCCCTGAAAGGGAGCCCCGATGGAAGGCCGACATCGGGAAGAAGGAGAAACGTAAGAAAGAACGGAACGCATCTAAATGCCGGGTGATGCCGGGGACTGTTCGACGTTCGACGTCGCTCTGTGAGAAGAAGAAAGGTACGGGTGAGGATGGGGCGGGGGAGGGGAGGGGCAGGGGAAGGGGATAGTGTTGGAACCAGGCTGGTGTCTCAATCAGCCAAGCAGGTTGGGGCACCTTGGACCCCTGTGGGTGGAGGATAGAGCTAGTAATGGAAGTGAAACCAGTTCGTGGCAAAAACAAACGTCTTGCACGATTAATTGGGAATCTCGCTTTTTTTTACCTCATAAATAATTCAGAAACTGTACACATACATTGGTAAAGGTATCGATCTGAGATTCTAATTCCCGCTGCGATAATCCAAGAAAACAGTTTCTTTTAGTAATTTCTTTCATATTTCGTATATCGTGTCGTTAATAAATTTAATGATTAATATTATTTGTGTGCATACACAATGGTAATATATGTTTTAGAAACATATTTTATAAAGAGTGTTTATTTATATATATATATATATATATATATATATATATATATATACATATATATATATATATATTGGATATTGGATATTAGATATTATATATTAAAATGATAAAATGTAGCGATTTTTTGTATAGTATAGTTTTGTATACATTTTTAAATTTCTACTTTGATATAATTTGTTTAAAAATAATTTAAAACAATCTTACGAAAGCGTCATTCGATAGAGCCAAACTTTATGATGCTGATCAAATTTATAATATCATTCTGATTAGTAATTATAATTATAATCAATAATTATGTAATGTTGTGCTGAAACAATCGTGAACAAATGTTTTCGAAAATTCTAGTTCCGATCAGGACTCAATTCTATCAGTAGTAATCTCGGTCCCGGGCCAGTGGTTGATGGAGGGGGAAAAAGAGCGGCGCGCGCAGCTTCTCGACACAGCGGGGCAGGCCGTCGCCGTCGCAGTCACAACTCAATCTAGTGTTTCGGTGACCGTGCGCTTGGAAGGAGGTTTTTCTTTTCTTCTCTTCCTGCACTGTGTGTTATAATTCTTGACACGAAATCGCAGTTTTCATTCGTGGATTAGCTTGCACCTGGGATCCTAAACTTTGTATTTCTCGGCTATTAGAACAATGTGATTGTTCGCAAGGTTAGTACCAAAACTCTTCTATTATCGATCTATACCAATCAATATCATTTTTTTATCATAGAAAAGTTAATAAACTTAACAATGAATAACTGTTTAAATGCATACACATTATTAATATATATATATATATATATATATATATAGTGAATTTTATGATTATATATACATATATGTATATGTTACTCGACACGACATAAACGTATGTTGGTAATGTGTTTACGTAAATCTTAACATAAACACTTAATAAAAAATGAATAAAACCGCTGGTTTCAGAGAGCCAAACGATTGTTTTCCGAGAAATGTTGAAAACGTAAATAGCTATTGACATTTTGACCAAAGATATTAATTGTATTGATTTAGTATAAATAATATCGATTTAAGGTTTGTATCATATAATAATTATGAAATGTTACTTACTGAAAAATATCGTAATTAGAACAAAATTGAATGTTTGCCGTCTTATATGCGCTTCATCAAAACAACTTATTAAGGGTTAAGAAAGGAAGGGTTATTGAGATAAATTGAATTAAATCGGTGGTACAACGTTAATTGAATATGAACTCGGTGATTTGTATCACTTGTTTCCTGGCCGTGTTGAGTAAGTATATGAATCACGATGAGTCTCAATATGGGTATTGATACAACATACAACGAAATGCATATATTTATTTACTCCATTCTTGTTTTGTAACAAGGACATTAACATGTAACTAATAAATGAAGATTTCCAATGACAGAAGATAATCATTTACTTGATAAACAATTAGAAAATATAAAATGAATTAACGGGAATTATTATTAGAATGAATTATTACTCTTAAATAATTAGTAATTACAAATTTGATATTTTATTACCAAACTGTATACTATTTTAGTTAAATATAAATAAATTCTTACTTCAGATCATTTATTACAAATGAATGATATCGTTTTCAATCATTTATTTGTTTACCTCGTTGCACATATGTATATGTTTCGAAAAACGAATTCTGTTAAAAACTTTATGTTATACCTTGTGGCAGTGCTCGTCCATTATAATACTATACAAACAACTCGGTTGGGCCCGAAACTTAAAAACATACAACAATCATCGACGAAAAGTGTTTTCCAACTCCTTGAACTCCATACAAACATTATCAGATACACTATCCCGCGAATATTTATATTCCTAATCGGTGTTTGTTTAGGTATTGTTCCCTCTCGATGTTCCTTCCTCTCTCGATACCAGCTTCACCGCCCTGAAATGTGTTCGCTTCGCTAATGCCAGAGCGCTGATTGGAACATTCTCAAATGAATGACAGTTACATTGCTCCTCCGCGGACTGTTTAAATGTTTTTCTCGGTGTTCCGGCACGGCGGGGTAACACTTGAACTCGAGAGCGAAGCGCGAAGTTGACCATCACTGAGGGTCTATAGGGCTGGCCATCTGTCCCTCGTTGCCACGTCTGCGACGTCTTGGTGGTCCATTTTGGGGCTGGTGCGCCAACAGCATCGGCACTAGCGCTGGCAATGAAGCGCTCTCAGGTAGAATCGTGCCTCCCCCCTCTCTTTCTCTCGCTGTGTATCGTGTGCGCGCTCGCGCACGTGCTCTCATTCACCCCTCCTTTCTCTGCGCTCCGTGCTTGTTTACTGGTGTGTCGGAGTAGAGAGAGAGAGAGAGAGAGAGAGAGAGAGAGAGAGAGAGAGAGAGAAAACAGTAGAGAGCAATAGAGTGCAGTAGACTGCAGTAAAGAGCAGTAGAGAGCAGTAGAGAGCAGTAGAGAGATCGAGGGAACGGTGAACTCCGTTGTCTGGTAGAAATTCTAACGACGATGCCAACACTTTTCTTCTTGGCCAGTTACGGCCGCTCGTGACCGATGAACTCACGGAAGTCTCTTCATCCGGACCACATTATGCACCACGCTGTCCTTGATGCAATTGGGATGTTTTATGGAACACGGAACTCGTTAAGATTAGCTAGAAATTATGGATGTCCTTAGGGACCGATACTGGGCATGCAGCAAGACTTTGTTATGTAGTTCCGAACGATTTTCTTCTGACAATGAGTACGTGTATCTGGTTTATCGTACGCGTGTTGAATTTTTATTATCCCCGACCTTTGCATCACTGTGTATCATTTATATAGACTTGTATCTTTTTATAGAATCTGTAGAAGTGTTTCCTTATATTTCCGAAGCGTGCAGTCTTCGTTAAATGTTTGTGTCATTAACTTATAGAATAAGACAAAATATTCTTTAAGTGTAACTTACTGATTTAATAATGCCGACAAAATTAAACTGAACAATATTGATACATATTAGTAGACAAACTTGTAGTTATTAGTTATTTAGGGGAATGTTAGTCTACCATCTTGACCTAAATGTGCTAATAAATGTTAATCCCACTGTACTTTCTTTCCGCTTGAAATATACATCTTTCAGAGTATTTTTAGAATGTTTACATACTGCATGGATATTACAATATTTACGTCTACTACGGGAAAAAAAACGAAATAATTTATCAGATTACAATTCTACGATTGAATTACCAGAATTATTTGAATTAATAAGAAATTTAGTATTTCATATTTTGTAAGTTTTTATGCATCGTACAAATGAATATATTTTACTAAAATACCAGACATATTTTCAGTTACACCGGAAGCAACCGTTCTTAGTTCCTTTTTGGCAGTCGAGTCCGTTCGTAAAAATTCTTCTATTAACCGGGATGACAAACAGAAATGTGATTTATTTTAAGAATATGGTGTGTCCCTCATGCCACGCATCTGTTGCATGAATCCACAAGCACTTCGTGGGGCACGCGGGCACGACAGTATGCTCAAGTTACGTTTACATCTGATACAAATCTTCCAGTCACGTACCCCACTACGTATAATAAATAAATATAAACAGATGGATAATCTAATTAATTTGTAAATTTTGTGCAAAATCAGAGAAGCATTACTTAATATGTTATTTTTGGTACTTTAAGTTATAAATTATAAACATAATACGTATAGAAAATAGAAACGATGTAACGGTCATAAACTTAAAAGTGTATACCCTCGAAAACGGTTAATACATACTTCTATTAAAAGACAACACACACTTTTAAACCAACAACCTGTAAATTTTTGATAATTGAATTGAAAATGGTAACGAAACGAATGAATTTGGTTTTAAATATTTCGAAAAATTATATTATATTAAATGAAATATCTTAATACTGTTTGCAGAAGGATGTCACGCTGGTGCGATAGATCGGCCATAGTCCTAATGGGTATGGTGTTGTTTGGTATGATAACGTGGAATACAGCAGCCAAGAGTCCCATAATGAGGTGCGAGGAGGCAAAACTGAAATGCGCTTACAGAACAGGCTGCGGTTCTGCTCTGCAACACTATCTCACAGGTTGCGCGCCCGTTCTCCAAGGCAACGATTGTTCCGAAACTTGCCAACACGCCCTCATTGCTCTTACCAGCACCGACGAGGGCAAAGAACTTATGACGGTACATGCCCTTTTTCTTTACTTTTCTTTCAATTATAAGCTATCGTTTAAACAAAGAAATAAATACCAATGCAAATATCGGATAGCAAAGAGTTGACGATTTCAATTTTATAAAAATTATAAACAAATAAACATAAAATGTTCATGCATAGGAAATGTCGGTTTTACTAATTGGCCTAGCTTGAAAATTCTTAGACAAACTCGAAAATAAACTTACAAAAGCCTCATTTAAGATTTTGGTGAAAATTATTTGGGTCTAAATAAAAAAATTCAACATTTCGTATGCACCGACCAATTAGGAAATTTACAATTTCGTAATCTATAATAAAAATGTATTATTATTTAGTGCGAATGCGAGGACGAATTATGCTTACAATCGAAGCAGAGAGTAGAAATCTGTAGATCCTCTGTGCAAATGGCAATGAACAGGACTAGGGTGTCCTGCAGAGTTGCAACTTGGATTTGTAACGCAGATGCCCTATGTCAGACTGCCCTTTTGTACTATAATAGGTTCTGCAAGAGCATGTTTCAAGGACGGAAGTGTACTAGACGGTGAATATACTTTTTTCATGGAAAAAAAAACCGATTTCATCTAGGCTGGAAATAAACAGTGCAAAGAGATTTAAATTGTTAAATATTGAACAAATTTTAGGTGCAGGAATTCAATAAATATTCTTACAAGACAAGAAAAAGCTGCAAAATTGAATACATGCCAGTGTGATGGTTTTGAAGAATATGATTGTAAAGGGATTCATAGGAATATGAATGTTCTCTGTTTTGGAAAGATACATCACGGTTATCGTGATGTTAATATTGACGATGATAGGAGAAATGAGTTCCTAAGACCAAACATGACTCTTAGAGGTGATGCTGTTCAAACATTAGTTGACAGAAGACTATTTTTACTTTCTTTAATCATTTACCACATATTTAAAACAAGGCAAGGTAAGAATGTTTGATCGTAGTACCGTTCGTATTAATATCTGAATTTTATATGCATTTGATAATTAAAAGAAGTTCCTTCAGTTGATCAAAAAAATTTGCTTTCAGACTGACATTTAGAGGAAATACAAAAAAATCTCCAAAAGAGCAGTATTCCATGAAACTCGTAACCAAAGATCTTTATCAATCGTTGTATCCTCAATAATTGAACAATTTTTTTAATGACAATGAATCGCTATTTCTTTCTATGAACTTGATAGATGCAGTTTTATAAAATAATTGAAAAGCTGCCTGTTTTACGAAATTCTCTGTAAGTCCCTTATAAAATTTGTACAAAGAAAAACAAGTAGGGGAGGAGTCTTGTACGGTAAAGACATTGTATATTGATTGTATTATAGTAAATATAATTGCATCACTCGTTGCAGGTTGCAGGTGTTTAGTTATAAATGTACTCTATTTATGAAAGCATGACTATGTAAATATCCGTGGAAGGTGGTTTTTCTATTCACTTCTCTTTTTCATTGTACGTATTTATATGAACTTAAATATGTAACGTGTGGTTTCTTTTCGTGTAAAAAATCTTTCAGAATTTGTATTGCATTATAGGGTAAATCATCAAAAATAACTGATCATTGGTAAGTTGCTAATATTGAAAAATATCATTAAAAGCACAAGCGTAAAAAAATACTTTGAAATTTGTATCTTAAATGAATAGTTACCAAAAGAATAGGATTCTGTTTTTATAAAATGTATTTTATATGATGTATTATAAAAATTTTACCAAGTATAAAGATTTCTGATCTCATTGCTATTTTATGTACACGATCACGAATGTTTTGCATTAATTAATTTCTGTTTTCCATATTCCTGAAAATCAGACAAATTTAAAAGGTTCTTAAAAAATTATAAATATTTCTGGCTTTCATCATGAACGTGCGAATAGGATATTACTAATATATTTATAATTTCCATTACAAAACGACTAAAAACTTTAGAGTTAGAAGCATCTAATTTTAACGAATAAGTAAAACGTGAGATATGCGTATCTTAAATATGTACAGTGATAAATATTATGTCACTGAGGACTGTAATAGCCACACATTCTAGAAGCAGACTGCAAACTTTAAAGAATATATTTACAAGAAATTGCTGAAACTTACTTTCTCTAATTTCTTTATAAAAATATTCCTTTAAAAGAATTCCTCTGTGGTAAGTTTATCAAATTTTTACAAGATTAAAGTAAAATTGTTGCCACATACCAAATACAAAATATAAGAAAGTGTAACATGAACCTTATGGTAAATCACTTTATTGATTAAACGTATTCAAAAAGTAAACAGCCTAAGGAAATCCATCATCGTCTTCTTCTGCCATTTCTTTGGCAAGTTCCAAATCCTGTTGTTCTCGTTCTCTACGTTCTTCTGCCGATTCGAGATCCTTTCCATATGATTTCGGAGGATATCTCATGGCTTTAACGCTCTGATTATGTAAATCCAAGCAAAATGTAATTCTCTGATGGAACGCGAGCAATGGCTCTTTAGTACAATAAATATCGGTGGTCTCTTTGCTGCGCATGTAACCATTCTCTGGTTCCAAGGTAGCCTCAATCACACCGTCTCTAACAGCTTTAGCTACAATAAACTCTGCGTCGACACTCGAGTCTAAGCCCAACTTCTTCGCAATATCCCCGGGTGAAATTCTGGAATAGGAAAGTCCGATTGATCTGATCGCAGTTTTAATAACGTTGTGCCTCAATCTGAGAATTAGGGTGAACGTGTGGTCTGCTCTAAACTGTGGACCAAAGTTTTCCAAGACCTCCCCAAAACGTTGAAGATTTCCCAAACGCACAGCTTGCGTCAATTGAAAGTATGGTGCCAAGGCGCGACGCATCGCTGCCTGCCGGAAAGTTTGACGTTCAGGGATATCTCCTAGTAAAAGTTCCACTGTAACTGCCAATTTTTGAACAGTCTGACGAAAACCTACTGCAGTGCTTTGTGGTGCTTTTCTGAGAGCCTGTAACAAAGAGAAAGTTTAGATTAGACTGTAATTAAGTGGGAAATTCGAGGCAGCTGTAACGGAGGTAAAACACACCTGCACCAAATACTTATGTGCAGCAGAGTATTCTAATCTGGCTGCTTTGATACGTCCTAAATAATACAAGAATCTAGCCCATTCGTTATTACTAGCAGACTCTGGGAATGTTGACTTGAGCACAAGCTTGTCTGCTTGATCGTACAAATTGTAATGCAAATAATTTCTCAGTAAGCAATTGATCAATACTGCCTGCCCTTCGAAATCATTTCTCAATGTTGCTGTTCTTAATCTCAAATGCAACAATCCTCGAATTTTATCCAATCTTCCAACTAATTCATACGATCTTGAATAATAGAAGTAACATTTTGCTGCAATCAAGTCAATTGTACGCCGATTCTGAGCAATTATTTTTTGTAATAGCGCTTCGGAACATTGGACAGCTTCCTCGTGTCTTCCAGTGTCAATTAAACGCACTAGAACTAACAAATGAATATAAGCATCAATTTCTGGTAATGGACTCGCAGTTGAAGCACGAAGTTTTTGTGTTTCTTCTACTTCGTTGGATTCTTCTAACCATGACAATAATGCATCACGTTCTGAACATGGTTTTGAATAGAAGCTTAGAATTACACCACGTAGAACATTAGAATTCAATCTACGACGTGTGTTGGGCAGTGTACGTAATGCTCTTAGAATGAAACGCGGTTCCTTGCTCTGTACAGCTTTTTCAATTTGACGAGCGTGCTCACGAATGTCATGAATCGTTTGAAGGTCGGTATCCTTTTTGTCACAAACATCGCCATCACCATTTTGACTTTCAGGAGAAATTATATCGACATCCATTGCTTCAGGATTTTTCGCTGTAAGCACTCCCATTCTGACTGATCTAAGGAAAATAAATCTTTGTACGTACGTTATTAAACTATGTATAAGAAGAGTTTGGTCATTTCTTTCCCGATTTAAAAAATTCTACGCATTCTTAATTTAAATCATTTTGACCGCTACTTAAAAAGTACTAAGTAAGATTAAAGTAACTGATAATTACCTTTCTTTCCAAGTTTTTCACATAAACAGAAAGTTCTCCGAATAACTACAATTCTACGTTTTCATCGAACCAGTCAGCAGGAAAAGCTGATATGTTTCTAGCTGCTGCTAGGGTATTTAGTTTTTTAATTTTAAAGCGAATTAGGCTGAATAGTAGAGATGGCGTGCAAAATCGCTAACGGTGATTTATCACAGTGATCACCGAATCACGATCACGATCGTGATTTAACTTCATTCACGACCGTAATTGCGATTTTTTTATCTTGAGTGAATTTGCTCACTGCAATCGTAAGTCATTAATCTTTAAACAGAAAAACGTATTCAATAAGATTTTACGATGAATTACATTACTGTATTTGTAAAAATCAGTAGAAAAAACAAGAAATTCTAAAAGAATGATTTGCTAGGTAACATGTAGATTATAATTTGTAATCATTAATTTATTCATCATTCTTCATTGTTTCTACTTATTCCTTCACTTTATACGATATAACCCTAATTTTTGTTTTGATGTCGTTAATGTAAAATATACAAATTATGTATCGCGTGTAAAGAACTGTTAGGTTTCTCCACCAATAAGAAACGATCACGGAAAATCACGAATCACTGTGAAAAATCATCGTGATTGGGAACGAACGTGATCGAATCACGAGTGATTCACAAGTAGCAGTTCACGCCATCTCTACTGAATAGACAGACACGTACAGGCACCGTGCTGGTGTATGGCTGGTGTAGAATCCCTAGAACTATGGGATAATTCATCCGAGTTTTGTAGCTCGAATTTGCAATTAGATTTCGGATGGATTTCGGATGTTTATGCAAATATTTAGAATTTTATAGCGTAAAAAGAAATTTATTTACTCTATCAAGAGCCCTCTTAGTTACGTTAATCTTCTTAATTTTTCACTACGTACGTTCAAAGAAAATCAGATTTCCCTCTTTCGCGTGTAGCTATTAAACACACCACACAATCGGCGCTGATCGGCGCTATACGACGACTCACTGTACTTTCAGAGTTATTTATCTACAAGTGTCTATGTGAAAAACTGATTAGGCATGAGATAACCTCGATTTTAAGTAATACAATATTTTTAATAACGATGATGTAAATACTTGTGCTAGAACATAATCAAAAGTTTAATTTGTTAGTTTTTGTGTCATACTTCAAGATGAATTTGAGTAAAACCGAAAAACTATTGGCTGCTAAGAAAAAGGTATAGTTTTCCCGATGTACATACTGACAGCTACGTATACAGATATTTGCATATCGACTAGCAATGATGAAAAATTCAGATTTTTAATCATTTTCATTTACAAATGTTTTTCATATGTTCATCGTAGATAAGAAAACATATTTTCGGTTTGCCGCTCAATATGTTCTATGTAAATATATAGTAATTAATAATTTTAGGTTAATTGTTAAACATATATGTATTTCAGTCGGTTGTCAAAAAACTTGACATTTGCTTCATTTCATAAAAATTTGCTAATAAACATTTTTACGAGTAGTAATAATAAGTAAGTATTATAAGATTTTTCTAAAGTCTTTTCTTTGTTTTAGCTCAGAGAATTTCAATTGAGCAAAATGATGCAGGATGGTCTTGTAAAACAAAAACATCAGTCAGTGGATTTATCTTTACAGGTAGATAAGATTGTAACCTATGAATAATATTTGATTATAATTATAAATTAAAAAATTAATGCCTCTACTTAATCTATAGTGTCAAGGCACAGAAACTAATGAATCTGATCCTGAAATTGTAAATACATTGTATACATTAGAAGCTTGTACACATAGTACACTTGTTCCTGATCAAGATTTTCAAAGAAATGATATAATATCAGTAGATGCAATAGCAGATGCACAAAATGTTTTAAATCATGAAGAGTCATTCAATTTTATGGAAGAGACTGACAAACCCTTGCAAGAAAAGCAAGAAGTTAATTTAGAGCCAGAAATTGAGAAGAAAGTGGAATTAGATGATTTTCCAAAGGTACAGAAAGAACACCTTCTGGAAATGGCATCTGCAGTTGCAAATGTTTTGACAAATGATTCTGAACATACAGAAACAACTCTGGACTGTGATCTAATGTGTCGTAATCAGTTTTTAAGTTCTTCTTTGGAAAAACAGAAGAAAATTGTTAATGAACTACACATAGAGCTTAGTAATTCTGTAAGTATATGTAAATGTTTAAAAGATTGTGATTGCTTAACAAAAAAAGTGACAAAATTCTTATAGACAAAAGTCTGTAGAGATTAACAATGTCAAAGATGTAATTTTGTAGACACTGTATGTTTGCAACTTTGATCATTGGATTGCATAAGTTTAATTAAGTTTTTAATTGATTAGCATAGCAGAGTTGTAGAATTAGAAGCTAAATTGGAAAGAAAGGAGACAGAATTTCAAATGCAACTAGCACGCGAATTAAATCCTTTGAAAGAACAACTTCAAGTTCATACTCAAACAACCGGGATTCTAATAGCAGAGAAGGCAGAGCTCACTGCTGCTCTTAGCCAGGCACAACAGAGTACCAGACATAGTACAGGTTCGTTTCTAATGTTACATGTATTGAACAGACATCAATTTTATATTTGAAAAATTTGTAACAAGTGAATACATTTCAGAAGAAATAGAAGAATTAATGGGAAAGTTAAAAAATTCACAACTTCGTGTAATTGAATTGGAAAAAGAAACATCTACTTTAAAAAACAGTAACGAAGAACTAAGGAAAAATTGCCATCAGCTACAAAGTGAACACGAATCTCTCGAAAAGAAATTTTTTGACTTGAAGAAAGAAAAAGAAGACTTGAGTTTGGAGGCATCAGAATTGAAACAGAAATTAAACCTAAAAAAGACAGAATTGATTGCTGTTCAACAAGAGCTGCACGAGAAAACTGCACTGCTTTCGTTGAGTGAACTTAGAATACAACAGGTAGAAATATATATGTGAATTGTTGAAAAAAAATGGACTATTGATTTATTGTATCGTTAATTTGAAAAAATGGTATAAACTTGTAATTTTTTATTCTTTCATAATAGATGAGAGGTGCTACACCAACAGAGGAGGAAAAACATGCAGCAACTGTTTTAGAACAGGAACTAGCACAAGCTAAAGAATCTTTAAAAGCAGTTAGTACTGAAAAGAATGAAACCAATAAACAGTATCAAAATTATGTGAAACAGTTAGATATGCAACAATCGAAATTATTAGATGAGGTATGGTTTATAGTAAAGTATATCGTGTATACAGTTTCATAACATGTAAGACTCGCTTTAATAATATAAGAGAGACATAAAAACAAGCGAAAATATTAAGTGTTATAGGCATATCTGTGGTTGAAAAAAATTATAAAATTTTATTACTGAAACATCTATGGTTACAGATAAAGACACAGAAAAAGACTATAGAAGATTTACAATCGAGAGAACAAAGTTATCTGCAAAGACTTTCGGAACTTGAGCAACAATTACAACAGGAGAGGGAAAAGATAGAAAATCTATTGCCTTTGCAAGATTGTAAAGGTGAAATGAATAATCTATTAAAAAATATAGACGAACTAACTCTCGAACAAGAAAGGCTTCATGTTACACTTTCTGGGAAAGTAAGTTATATTCATAAATATTGTAATTAGATTAAGTTTACTGTAAGTATCTAATCGAGATATTTGTATATTCAGGATTCACAAATCGAAATGCTAACAAAAGATATAAACGATCTACGCGAAGTAGGCAATAAGGAGGCTGAAGTAGCAAAGTTAGCTAATGCTCTTGAAAGTGAGCAGCTGGGAGCATCTAGAGCGCTTCATCAGAATCGACAGTTAAAAGAACAATTAACCGACATGGAGAATGCTTTTGTTTCCCTAGTAAGTGTATCTGTACAATTCAAATTTCAATTACGTTCTCAAATATGTTGACAAAGAAAAAATAGGAACTATACAAGACTGTAACGTGCTTTTTAAGAGCAATGCAAAGCTGGATTTAACGGAGAAACTTCAAGCAGAGCGTTCCATTGGACGCAAGTTAAATGCTCAATTGAATAACGTTGAAGCCGAGCTAGAACAAATGAAAGAAAAACTGAAAGAAAAGGAGACTGTGCTCGAAGAACTCGAAAAGGAGAAACTTCAAAGTGCTCAGATAGCTGATCAGATGCAACACTACCAGGCGCAGTCGCATCATATCGATACTTTCCAGCGGGAACTTCAAAACGCCCTGGTAACTATTTCTTGCATACATATGTGAGTACGTAACACCATTTGTATAAAATTTTTCTTTTTTCTTCAGATTACGATAGAAAAACTAGAAAAAGAAAAGCAAGGGCTTGTGCAGAGAATAAATGAGAAAGTCGAAAACAGTGCTTCCCCTCAAAATGACTCCAGTATTACAATTGAACATAACGATTGTAGTCTAGAAGAGAACGTAAACGAGGAGAATTCAGATGAATGTAATGTTGGAGTATCAGAGCCTGTAAAACAATTGGAACAGAGGTTTAAACAAACGATGGAACGACTCGCTGAACTTACGGAAGAGAAACAAAAGCTTGAACATCTTGTTTTACAATTACAGAGTGAAACAGAGACAATAGGTATGCATTTTTAGGAAAAGAACATTAAACTTCAAGTTTTGAATTCCGGTAATTACTTTTTAGGAGAATATATAACTCTGTACCAAAAGCAAAGAGCAGTTCTTCAAAATAGGGCGAGAGAAAGGGAGCAGGTATTCCGACAGTTGCTTGAACAAAGGAACCAACAACAAGAACAACTTCATAAATTAAAAGTTTTGGTTAGTGATTTCCTCAGAAAAGAATACATGCATTCTAATGGGACAGAACACATAATACAAACAGGTATGCTTTCTCAAGTGGTTTCGCAATGTTTACAGAGTACTTCACGTATACTTTAACGTCGTAAATGTCTCCCCTGTTTCTGATGATAAAACAAATTACAGAGATGAAATCAGCTCCCACAAAAGTATAATACAAGTCGCGTACATAATAACTGTCATTTTCTTTTTTAGAAGTGAACACCAACGATATTGTACCCGTGAAAAAGGCAAAAGAAGCAAAGGAATCGGACACCGATAATACAAGTGTTTCAGAGCTCCTAGATGTTTTAACAAAGATAAAGGACTGTAAGGATTCGTGCTTATTCGAGCCGAATTTTCATCCATGTCCTTGGTGTTCTGGAAAGTTACTAACAGTATAAAAAATACGCTAAACGAACCACTAATATAGGATTTTTAAGTAACAACGATTTGTAGAATACAATTGTATATAAGATGAGGATATATAGTAATTGCAATTTGTAAATGATCGATGTGAAGGAAGTTTTCTTAAAAACAATTGTTCTTTAAAACATATATGTAAAAGTGAAAGTAATTCTGATTTGAAATTACTATTTTAGAGTAATATTTCATTTTATATTTGTCTTTGTGAAACTTTCTTCAAAAAGTAAAAATTTACCTACTTGGAATTTTTTTACAAATATGTCATTTTATAAAAGTTAATCTTTCAGGAACATAATTTTTATTTTAAATGTTCTAAATAAAAAACGTATTTAATTATGTCTGTTTATAAAGATTCCACTTAGTATTTGTAGAAAATTAGAATTATTCTTGTATTGCTTATATTTATTTGGTTATATGATTTTTAATGTAATTATTTAATGTAATGTATTTGTTGAAGAATTTAAACAATTGTTTTGATTTTTAAAACCTTCAGATTCGATCAGTGGACATATTGAAGGAAATATAGAAATGTCTTTAGTTTAGTTATATTCTTCAATTTTTTTCAAAATATTTCTATAACTTTAATTTCTTTAAAAATCTCCCATCATCTTCAATAATATCTGCAGTTTCTGTTTCTTCTTCAATAATAAATACTGCTTTTCCTCTGCGTCTTCTTTCTGGAAAAATAGAAATGACAATAAGAATATCTAATAATGAAACTCGTTTCTTTCAAACTTATACTTTAGTTTTAAATATGTATACCTGCTCTCAAAAGAAGTTTTTTACATTGATTTAACACCGATGCCTTTGCCTTAATTTCACTTAATCCTAGGATGCATGACAAATTAAGTATATCGTATGGACTTCTAATTGTTTTCACATCATTAGCACCACTGGATAATATAACATTCTACAAAAAGAAAATATTAAGTTAAAATTCCCCTTTCTAGCTGAAAGCAGTACCATGTGTCATTGTTTTAAACAACAGATGACCTGGTGTTAAAATTACTAAAAAAACCTGACCAAGACCTTGCTTTTTCCATATGTATGAAACAGATGTGCATAATGAATGATAAGTTTTCTAGATTTTATATTTAACAGATCAACATATTGAATTTCAAAGTGTATTCCTCTTTCAATAGCTTGTTCGTACAGTTTCTTGTTAAGCTTAAAAGTTGTAGATGATGCTTTTAGTGTGATTATATCACAATTTAATTGAGTACATGCGAACTGTAATGAATTCTGTGTTCTTGGAGATAAAGCGTACAGATCGTATTTCTTTAAATCCGCACAATGATTTAATATGTGTGTTCTTGCAGGATCAGAACAGAGAAACGTAATTCGTTTGAAAATCTTCAATTTTCCTTCAAAGTCTCTTTTTATTCTGTCTATATCGAACGTATTTGGGATAATGCTCTGATGTGATTCCCTTTCGTCGCTTTTCTTCTTCTTCTTTTTATCCGACGTAATGGCACTGTCATCCAAATCAATATTTAATGCTACTGTTCTAAATCCAAAGTCGTATAATCTTGCTAAAAGAACATGTAAGTTTTTGGTGTCGTTTCCTTGCACATTTACGCATAAATCATAAAATCCTGTGGTCTGTCTAATATCCATTCCGATTTAACTAAAAAGGCAATCCAGGTTGAGTATATACTAATTTTGACGTAAATTCATCCGTAAATAAAATTCTGTTTTCGTTAGAACATTCTATCCATATATGTAATATTTCAATATTTTCTAGGTTATGTTCATTGTCCAAACCGTAGACGAACATAAACATATATAATAGACTGCGCGGTCTTATGGTAGGGAGAAGCGAGACCGAAGAACAGAAGTAGCGTTGTGGAATGCCGCACGCATTTAATGTCTCCAGTGGAGACTCTCCACTAGGGACAAATCGATACAAGTAAATACGAGTACATTACTCGATACTTTTGTTTCGATACCGAGTACTTTTGGTATCGATACCTGCGGTTGAGATTCCAAGTAGGTATCGAACAAAAGTACTCGTATCGAAGGACTAGTATCGACCTGTGTACTAGCTTGGTAAGAGGGGTCATAGAACCCCCGGAGCATACTTAAGAGACCCCGTGTGTGGGAGAAAGTGAGGTCATAGAACTCCCGGAGCAACCGAAAAATAATTGGCGCGAATGTTAGTGTTTCTTAACAATTTATATCTTAAAGAATTGCTCCCATTTTGCTTCCTCGGAATCTAAAATTGCTCCCATCGCACCGTTTATATTTAATGAGATATTTGCAAATGAAAAAGCAAAAATTTGTTCACAAGATAGATAGTAAATGATCTGTTTACACAAATATTATGGAACCAAAAAATTGCTCCTGATCTGTTATATAGTAATCAATAGTCAGATATTTCAATAACAACAGTCAATCGTCAGGACAAAACTTGGTGACCAGTGGTGTTCAATGAGTCCTCCCTCTCTTATCTGAACTCGATTAATAAGTTCTAATCTTCTTTTTTTAGCATTACCTACCATTGGCGCTCATTGATGGTTAGTGACCAGGGGGTTTTACAGGGCAATCTCTCTTATCCGAATTTGACGAATTCGTATGCACATCCTTTTTTTCTTAGCTAATTTTCATTTACTGTGCTTTATTTTGATTTATTTTAATTAATTATGTTTTGTTTTCATTTATTTTAATTACCTGTGTTTTATTTTGATTTATATTAATTAACTGTATTTAATTTCTCTAGTTATAACAATGAATGTAAAATCGAATATTTTTGGTGAATGTTCTATCTTACATGAAACTTAGAATATTTTAAGGCTACGTATACGATAGAAAATCTTTGTTTATTATAAGGATACGTAAAATAAGAATTTGTGTCGATTGCTTTTTTGAAAAATGTTACTTATGTGTGATAATGCAGAATAGAAGTAGCGGTGTAAATGCGATCGAAACCTGTTGCAGTTAGGGTTACCGCTTCATAAAGGTCAGCGTTAATACAGGCATAAATAATTTAACTAATTTTGCAACATCTATTATACATTTATAGTAGGATTAGCCAATGAGATTGCTAAATATTGATGCAAATGTGTTCTCCTTCGATGGAATCTTTTCAGACATATTTTTACTTTTAAGATAACTTTGGGGTATTTTTACAATTATTTATAAAAAAATTTAAGTATACATTTATTTGTAAAGTTATTACAAGGTAAAAAAGGTTCATCAAAATATTATTGTACAATATTATAATTTCGAAAAAACCTATTTATTATCTATCGCTACTTTAATGAATTGAACGAATACTCATTATGAATATCTAATTACTTAAATAAACACGTGATCAATATCTTAGTTAATAATGAATTACTGTATAGGGATAGAAATATTTCAAAGTATTAAATAAATCGCAGTACAACAAATACAAATATTTAATACAGTACAGCCTTGCAGTTTAAAAAGCTTTAAATTTGGAACGTATTTTAATGTTTCTTGAAATACTAACAGTATATACCTATGCATGTACAGTGATTCATAATTAGTCGCTATCCTTAGATTCAACATCACTAGATGGTGGAGTACTTTCAATGGGTTCATCAATGCTGCCTTCATCAGACTCATCTCTCTTCTCTTTCTTTGATTTTTTATTATCGTCATCCTATAAAAAATTTCTTCAATAAGTTTAGTTTCAAATTACTAATAATATTCTACTATTAATCATATAAATCTATCAATTCTACTACTAATTAGAAGTTATTACCGCACTACGTTTGTCTCCTTTCTTCTTCCTCTTGTCTTCACCACTATCTTCACCTGAACGTGCCTTTTCTACTTTCTGCAAAAATAATATGAAATAAGATTTATGGTTTAGAATACGTTCAACAATAATTAAAGGCATATATTGGTTACGTAAGTATCCAAAAGAAACACAATATTTAATTTTAGATAGATTTTCCTAAAGGTGCAACCTACTAACAACATTCTATTACTAATCAGAAAATGAAGTTATTACCGCAGTACGTTTGTCTTCTTTTTTCTTTCCTTTGTCTTCATCACTATCTTCATTTGAATGTGCCTTTTCTACCTTCTGTAAAAATAATATGAAATAAGATTTATGATTTACAATATGTTCAGTACTGATTAAAGTCAGATTTTGGTTATGTAAGTATCCAAAAGAATAACAATATTTAATTTTAGACAGATTTTCCTAAAGGTGCAACCTACTAACAACATTGTACTACTAATCAGAAAATTAAGTTATTACCGCACTACGTTTGTCTCCTTTCTTCTTCCTCTTGTCTTCACCACTATCTTCACCTGAACGTGCCTTTTCTACTTTCTGCAAAAATAATATGAAATAAGATTTATGGTTTAGAATACGTTCAACAATAATTAACGGCATATTTTGGTTATGTAAGTATCCTAAAGAAACACAATATTTAATTTTAGGCAGATTTTCCTAAAGGTGCAACCTACTAACAACATTCTATTACTAATCAGAAAATGAAGTTATTACCGCAGTACGTTTGTCTTCTTTTTTCTTTCCTTTGTCTTCATCACTATCTTCATTTGAATGTGCCTTTTCTACCTTCTGTAAAAATAATATGAAATAAGATTTATGATTTACAATATGTTCAGTACTGATTAAAGTCAGATTTTGGTTATGTAAGTATCCAAAAGAATAACAATATTTAATTTTAGACAGATTTTCCTAAAGGTGCAACCTACTAACAACATTGTACTACTAATCAGAAAATTAAGTTATTACCGCAGTACGATTGTCTTCATCACTATCTTCATTTGAATATCCCTTTTCTACCTTCTGTAAAAATAGTATGAAATAAGATTTATGATTTAGAATATGTTCAGCAATTATTACAGCAAATTTTTCGTTATATAAGTATTCGACATTGCAAAGTACGAATATATGTTGATCAATTAATCGCATATTCGTCTCGGAAGTAGCATTTTGATGCTGTTGTACCAAGGTGCGGGAATTCAGAAGAGATAACCTATGTATGTATGTATATTCTACTATTAATCAGACAATCTAGTTATTACCGCACTACTTTTGTCTCCCCCTTTCTTTCCCTTGTCTTCATCGCTATCTTCATCTGAACAGGTGTCATCTCCTTTCTGTGAAAATAACATGAAATAAGATTTATGTTTTAGAAATAACGATTTATTCTGCCATTCGTCTTCGAATTATATATTATCATACTTTAGTGTCTCCATCGCTGCTGCTTTCATCCTCGCTAATATATTCTTTACTCTTGAAAGAACCTCCCACTTGTTTACTAGGTGACTCCTTCTTTACTTCTTTCTTCTTCTTTTCCTGAGTACCTCCTTTTGCCTGACTACCCGCACTTGCCAGACCACCCCCGCTGGCTTCATACTCTTTCATTAAAGCTGCGTATTCCTTCTTCGCCTTTGCTGCCTTCTCTTCCCACTCCTGGATTATATCACAATAATTAAAACATGAAAGATATTATATATTCGTATATCCTTACAGATTTATCCTTAAGTTCTCTCCACATTTCTCCTCCTTTCTTGGCAATTTCTGTAACCGCGATTCCTGGATTGTCTGCTTTGATACTTTCTCGAGCATTGTTCAACCAAATCATAAACGCAGTTGGCGGTCTCTTGGGTTTGTTCGCATCTTTCTCTTTCTTTTGCTTCCTACGTTTTCTTGGTTTTTCTGACTAAAACACGTGGCATATCTTATGTTACTCTACAATTTTCTATGTGTAGTCGGTAACGGGTAATATCGATGGTTTCTTCTAAATTAAACAATACGTACTACTGTTTTAGCGGATTTTGATTTCCTTTCCCTCTTTTCTTTTTTCTCTTTCTTCTGACTTTTTTCAGAGTCGTCAGAGTCATTGTCACTGTCGGAACTGTTGGGATTACTGTCATACTCTTCTGCCACATCACTCTCGTCCTAAACAAAGAAATATATTTATCTCACACATCGATAAATTATTTTCATTGAAAATTACAAACTCTGAAATAGAAATATACAATTTAAAAGACCTAATGTACTCGACGAAAAATATACCTGATTAGGATTGAAATCTTCATCGGTAGATTCTTCTTCAGAATCATGATTATCTTCCGCGTCCCTTTCCTGTGCCTCAGCTTTCACTCTCGCCAAATAGGCATCTGGTTCATCTTCTTGATCACTGTCGCCGAAGTCATTATCATAACTCAGTTTATCCTGTTGTAAATATAAAAGGTGTTATTTTCTTTTTTCAAATTATGAATTAAAATATAACAGTGATAATACGTATACCATTTTACTTACACTTTTGCCTCTATTCTTAACACGCAATTTCTTCGAAGTAATAAAATCGAACAGTTTTCCATATTCCTCTTTCTCAATGCTACTGAATGTGTGAACAACGCCACTAGTCAATTCAATCTCAAAATCGAACGATCTGGTGGAGCCTCCGCCACGAGCAAAGTTTACCGACGCTATTTCCTCGAAACGTATATGAATTGGTGGTTTGTGAACGTAAATGAAGCCCCTTTCCAACGGATACAGATGACCAGCAGCTGCTTTAAACGAGCAGCTAATTGCAAGAGCTCCAGAATGACTGAAAATAAAAATGGGGTAAAAATAATCGGAACTGAGATATTTCCGACATTTGTTACATATATGTGTGGAATGCTAAAGGAATTTTAAAATGGAACAATCAATTCCACTTGAGCTCCCCTATTACTTAACAAAATACTTCAAGTCATATCTAAGACATTCTGGATAATATGGTTAACTTACCTCGTGAAATTACCAGGACCAGTAATTTTTCTATTGATTATAACCTTCATCACTTTTCCCAATACTTCGTACGTCGGCCCTGATAATTCTTTTGTTAATTTATCTTCATACTTTTCTTTCAGTTCTTTCCTGTAAATACATGGAATTAACACCCTATACTTCAAGTTTAAATTTAACTTTAAAATACTAAAAGAACTGTATTTTACATACTTAGAAAAAGGTAATTCGATGGAAGTTTCTTCTTCTTGATTGAACAACAATACCAAATAGTGATAACGAGTTTGACCCTGTTTAATTGGTGGGTCTAAACTAACCTGAAAGAACATTAGCAGCAATGTGAAAATGATACTTAGAAACTTGGAACGAACGAGAACATATTTGATTTTTACAAGTATCTTACCACAAAATACATCTGTCTGCTGTCCTTGTGTGGTAAAAGAAAAAGCCTCAAAACTGTTGACATTGGAATTTTGTAATCGAAAGTTTTACCATGCAATTGGAAGAACGACTGAAATATTTTTATATCGTAGCGACCACTGAAAAAAGATTCAATTGAACAAATTGAACACTCGATAATTCAAGTTGAAATAGATATATGGATAGATTGCTATCATTTACCGTGGTGTAAGACACTGAATTTCTCTAAATATAGCAATAGCATCTCCACTGACACTAATAACAGAAGCTTTCTCCATGACTTGTTGATGAAATGCTTCTACAGGATCTTGATCCACGCTATCACTAATTGGAATATGAAATCTCATTTCCATTAAACTTACAGGAGCATCATCATTCTGAAAAATGTATTTTTAACTTGTAAATATTAAGACAATTAACTATAAAATGATTATGACAAGAAATGTTAAATAGCTGGTGTAGTAAACTAATAATGCCTTTCAGTTTACCTGGTGAAATTCCAATGTAACTTCATTTTTCCCAGTATTACATTGAGATACATCATAAAGTGGAATTTCAAATGCAGTATGATGACCCACATCAAAACTCAAAACTGAGCCATTGAATCTAGCTGTACCCCAGTTCCAGCCTTTCAAACTAAGTTCTTTTTCTAACATATCCTTTTTGTAATTTTGTGAAAAGAACTTAGCAATTTTCTCTTGATCCTGCATAATATAATAATTTATACAAAATGTTCAAGAATGTTTATATTAAGTCTTTATTAATTTTTATAAATTTTAAAGATTCTTGCTTACTGCTTCTTTAAAACCACGAAACCTATGTAAAGTTCCATTTTTAAGAAATATCCGTAAACCCCAGGTGCCAATGAATTTCTGATAATTCACCATTTCCATGTCTGATGCTGAAATCTGTTCCACCTTGCCTGTTTTTTGATTTTTGAAGATTAAGTGCTGGTCCGTTAATTTCAATCTTCCAGGAGTCTATAGAAATGAATTGTGAAACATAAATTAATATACATGCCATTTCTTTAAACTCATAACAACGATGAATTAAAATCTAACAAATTGCTCGATAAACATGCAAGAACTGTGTTTAGCAACAGTTATAATATAATACGGATAATATATAAAAATTAATTGCATAGATTATGTTTCAAAAATAATACGAAGCAACAAATTCTCACTCATAATACATGTCAAATATAACAAATATATAATATTTCATTAAACATTCTAACCTCAAATATTTACAAAATCGAATTACATAAACAACAGAAATCAGAAAACATGATTTGATCAAAAGTATGTATATTAACAATTCCAAATTGCGAAGAATATATGTACCATAGCTCCCTTGACTTCTGCAATTACGTCCGGATATTCCAAAAAGTCCATTTTTGAATCTACTTCTAATCTCACTTCAATACCTAACAATTGAGCGCACAAACTTGGAATCAAATATTTCTCGTTAACAAGTTTTTTATTTAAAATTGAAATGAAGAAAGGTTACAACACCCGCAAAATAAACACGCGCGTGTTACAACACCATGTTATACTGATGTTACACACTGTTACACACAGCGCCAGATTGCTTCTTTGTACTTCCTTGCTTCTTGCAGCGGCTTCTTGTTTCTTTCAAAATTTTTCCGCGAACGTAATTGATTGAAACCATGAATTAAAAAATATATAGAGTTTCGAAATTCTAATTAATTGCAGCAAAAAAGATTGAACGTTGTAGAAAAATCATTTTTTAAATACAATGTTACATTTTTCATGTAAAAGTTTTTTAAACAAACTTTTAATTGAACGTGCGGTTAAAATAGTTGTCCATCCGAGGTTGGCATATATCTGATTGGTTACATTAATCACAAAACACGAACAGATAGATAGATAACGGTTAGCTCAAAAGTATAATAACTTCGGCGAACATTATTGGCGGAAACAACAAGTGTATGTAATTGATTGAACTCAATCGAACTGTGTAACCAGTGTAACAGTATCAAACAGTAAGCAGTAAGTATGTAGTACGTAAAAAAAAAAAACGTGCAATTCATGTCGTAATGTTTTCTTATCTTTCCGGATGTGTTTAGATAAAATAGGGAGAAGGTGTTTTTTAAACAGAAAACTCAATTTTATAAATATGTTTTAATTCTTTTATACGTTATAAGTAACAAGTCAAAAGCAATAATAAGTATAAGCAAATTGAAAATTGTAAGTTTTCAGTAATTTACTATCATCGTATTTATTATCACACACATACAATTAATAGAATGAAAAATCATTCAAAGGTATTTTCAACGCAAATAACGAATATTTTGTCTCCTCTAGTTAATTTTACTAGTTCTTAATAATTTTAAATAATTACTGAAATTAAGAACATTTTATGTTACAGATTTGTATAGTCTGTCATAAATTGGTACAGTAATAATGGCACAATCAGACTTTCCACCATTGAAGAATAATTTGATTTTGAAGGCTGCACGTGGAGAACCATTAGACCATGTTCCAATTTGGATAATGCGCCAAGCTGGAAGATATCTTCCAGAGTTTCAAGAAGTTAGATCAAAGCATAAATTTTTCTCTGTATGTCAGACACCGGCTCTAGCTTGTGAAGTTACTTTGCAACCATTGAGACGATTTGACTTAGATGCCAGCATTATTTTTTCTGATATTCTAGTGATCCCTCAAGCAATGGGTCTAACTGTTGAAATGGTTCCTGGAATGGTCAGTTTTCCAAAATCTCTGATTTATACAATTTAGAATAAAGATCTTTACTTCTCCAGAAACAATTGATAAAATAAAATCATAAAAATGACAGTATATTTTATTATAAATTATCATTACAGGGACCGGTTATACCAAAGCCATTAAATGATCCATCAGATTTAGCTAGATTAGTTCAACCAGATGTAGAAAAGGATTTAAAATATGTAGGGGAAGCTATAACATTGACACGGCATAAATTAGAAGGAAAAGTCCCATTAATTGGTTTTACTGGTGCACCGGTGAGGATAATACATCTCAAATACTATACAATATGATCTTTGAGTAATGTGTAATTTTACCAAATTTTTACACTGCAAAATGACTATTTTTATAGAAAATTTTCTGTACTTGTTAATAACGCACAATTTGTATTTGAAAATTGTTAGTGGACATTAATGAGCTACATGATCCAAGGTGGAGGAAGTTCAACAATGATCAAAGCAAGAGCTTGGTTATATAAATATCCACAAGATTCTCACAAACTTTTACAACTCATCACAAATGTAATTGTGGACTATCTGGTGATGCAAGTGAAAGCTGGAGCACAAGTACATATAAAATCATATTTTTAAATATGTGAATTGAAATATATTTTAACAATTAAAAGGAATTAATGATTATTTAATGACATTTGCAGATGTTACAAATATTCGAAAGTCATGCTGATTTTTTAAACGATGAACTGTTTATAAATTATTCATATAAATACTTGAAGGAGATCAGTGAAAATGTCAGGAAAAGGTTGACAGAAGAAAATATTCCTGAAGTACCAATGGTAACTTTTGGACTGTGTACTCGCAAAAATTGTTTGGTGTATTTCTAAAATACGTACACTAAATTTCAGTAAAATGCAAACTAACGATAAAAATGTTAAATTTTAGACAGCCTTTCCTAAAGGTGCAACAATGAATTCTTTGGAAATGCTATCAAAATCAAAAACTTATGAGGTATTAGGTTTAGATTGGACCGTGGACCCAATGGAAGCAAGAAAAAGATTGGGTCCTGATGTTACTTTACAAGGAAACTTAGATCCTTGTGCATTATATGCTTCTGAGGTTTGTATTATAGTACTGGCTATTATTTAATTGCCTATTGTTTAATCAATCGGTCCTTTTATGCCAGGAGGAAATAATGAATCGTGGACGAGATATGGTGATGAAATTTGGAAAAACTAGATATATTGCAAATTTAGGACATGGTATTTCACCAGACACGCCAATTAAATCTGTTGAAGCTTTAATAAAAGGGGTTCATTCAGTGTAATCAGACTGATTTATTTTTTCATTTATTTCTTATGATATACATTTATAATAAACTGTTACTATTGTTGAATTATATTTGACCTCCATTCATATCCATACAACATCGATCACCCAATCAATCGTTTAAAAATACCGAGATATATAAATGAAAATTAGTTGTAACATTTTACTGTTGAATGTGTTCTGAAGCTGATTCATTCAACAATAAAACTGTCCCGAAGGTAAAAAAAAAAATGAGATCACGATTCGAAGATTATTCACTTTTTGAGTATGTATCCTCGCGAGCAAACTCTGCTTCCGCTACGAGAAAAAGTAACGTAGAAGAAGGACCTCCTACCATGCTCCTACCTATTGATATTTGGAATGACTGATATTTATGCCAAATTAACAGTCGATTTAACATTTGTTTCAGTACCTGAAATAAATTTATGCAGTAGTAGAAGGCCCCAAATGGCCCTTCTGTTACGTCACTTTTTCCCCCTAGCGGAAACCGAGTTTGCTCGCGAGTGTACCTAATATAATTAAACAGAGGTTTGTTAGTTTATCAAAGGTTTTATTAGATTTCAATTATAAGAATATAGTTGTCACGCTTTAATGCACTTTTTTCTATACCCAGTTTACATCAATCATGTGTATGCTAGTAATAAATAAAATTTACGATTTAATAATTAAAAATTCAATAATTTCGCGCGCCTCTGGTTTCCAACCTTTCCAACTTATTAACAAAATTCTCCACGCGGAATGGCGCGTGCGCATTACTATAAACTTTGAATCGACAATAAAACGTCAGATCCAACTCTACCCCCACGTAACTTTCAGCCGGAATCCGTGGATCTATTCGGGTGGCCCCCTGTCGCCGATTAGCGGTTCGCGCAAGCGCAACCAACTCTTCTGGTTAGAGTGTCCATTTTGATCACATGTGAGTATCTCCAGTCTGTTCTCCTTTTTTCACGGTGAGTCTGACCGAACTGCTTGTGATTGTTCGAGAAAGTTCATAAAACGTGTGCTAAAGGATCAAGAAAATAAAGGTCCACGTTATTCGAAGTCAGTTGATATCCGTGATATCCTCGAACCTTCCCCTGAGAGTCGGCAACTTTGACGACCAACCGCACGCAATCCTTTTCGCGCCATCTTCGTCAAGAAAACGGTGACAAAACCGCAGTAAACTCGTCCTCGAAGGTAATTCGAGTTTCGCGAGATTCTCCGCGCAATTTTTCATATAAAAGCTTCGATATTCAGAGAACTGTCAGCCGGGTTGAATCTTTGGTTAGCTCGTGCTTCCACAACGTGTTCGTCCACTTTACGCTAGTTATCCAGAAGCTTTTTCTCAAGTATCTACGTTTCCACTGTTCTTTCGATCAATTTTCGTGGTTTGATGTGTTCTGTGTTGTTCAATACTTTTTGTTCATTTAGTTTCTTTGTTTATCATAGTTGTGAAGTATCTACTTGAATCTTTTGATACATTGTGTATCTCGCTCTATACCTTGAGAAGGCATGCTACTTTTCTCACTAACCCAAAACAACTTAGATATAATTAATTATTGAACTTTTCACTTTTTCATTTGAAGGTGCAACCGTGTTGTGCAACAAAGAAGCAATGCAGTTTTTGACTTTCACACGTGAATAATCAAATGATTTAATGTTATATTTCAAAACATAAGCACCTAAATAATAGTTCTGTGTTTTCTGTTTATATTACATTTTCACATAAGTTTGGGGTTATATAAAAATAAATGAAGCATTCAGTTTATCTGATGTATTTTAAACAAATTTCACTTTCTCAAATATTTTTATTGAGATCCGCTTACAATTGAGATCATATTTTTTGTAAGTTTAACACATTTCAGTTAATGTTACGTTTCATGTGGTAATTATGAAGGAATTATTACAGTTGGGAGAGTATTAAAGATAAAATATTTTCAAATTTTAGAAGCATAATCTCATTAATATTCTTGTACTTTTCATTTTTTTTTGTTTTTTGGAAGGAATAAGTACAACCATTTGTTACGGTACAATTCATAGTGTTGGTTTTAAAATAAAAACATTAATTTATTTATCGATTGCAGTTACTTGTACAATTAATGTTCAAATTTTGTTAAGGCGTAATCATATGTTGATTTCACCAATTTTTCTTAATAAGAAATCTAATGAAACTTAGATGTATGTAGTTCTCTTATTTATTGCTTATACGAAATGATAGATCTTATTTATTTTGTGGAAATTCCATTTATTCCGTGGTTAAAATACTTTAAACGTAAAAGCCCGTACTCATTTACGGACATTGTCTACCGACTTCTGGCTGTATGAAACATTTATGGATGTCCGCGGACAGTCGGCGTATACTTATTCTGACATGTCCGTACTGTCCGCGGACTGTGTATAAACACAGTCCGCAAACATATGTCTGCAGGCAATGTTCGTAAGCGTGGATAGGCTAACAGACAGTGTACATTATGATTACAGATTAACCAGATTAAAAAAAAAAAAAACTAAGGATGGCAGACATAGAGGATACTCACTTCGAAACCGGGGATTCCGGTGCGTCTGTAACATACCCAATGCAGTGTTCGGCACTGCGTAAAAATGGGTTCGTAATGCTCAAATCCCGGCCATGTAAAATTGTAGAAATGTCAACTTCCAAAACAGGAAAGCATGGTCATGCCAAAGTGCATCTTGTAGGCATTGATATTTTTACTTCAAAGAAATATGAAGATATATGCCCCTCCACGCACAATATGGACGTGCCGTTCGTTAAACGGGAAGATTACCAGGTATTAATACTTTAATAATTCCTATTGAAAGCACCAACTATGTTACTTCTATGATTTATCTATTTATTCTCGACTCGTGAATAACAATTACGGTAAATTTTCGATAAATGTTCAAAACTCAGGACCGGTTGGAATAGTTATTGTAAAGCGGCTCGTCTTCGTGTTATACCGGTAGCGACGGTCGCAAAAAAAGATGCAATACCGCCTATCAGTGAGATGACAATGATTCAACGATAATACATCTTTAATATTCCTTTTTTTATAAGTGAAAATTTCATTAACACATATTTGTGAGATTTTCCTAATTAAAATAATACCCAAACACGATATAATTTGGATCGTATTTACTTATTTCATGTAATACATTATTGTTTCACATGAATTATAAATGATTCATATTATATTGTGTATAATATAATCAATCAAATTTGAATGATTCAACGATAATACATCTTTAATATTCCTTTTTTTATAAGTGAAAATTTCATTAACACATATTTGTGAGATTTTCCTAATTAAAATAATACCCAAACACGATATAATTTGGATCGTATTTACTTATTTCATGTAATACATTATTGTTTCACATGAATTATAAATGATTCATATTATATTGTGTATAATATAATCAATCAAATTTTCATTAACAAAAAACCAACAAAAGAAAGGCATTAATGTTGTCCCACGATACGCAGCCATCGGATCGTGAAAAGGTAGCCGCTAGCGTGTTACATTACGCACTCGACTAGTTCCATGAGAGACTCCAGTAGCCGGGATGAATGTGAAATGTTTAACACAGAGATTTTTTCAAATATTTATCGAGAATCGACTGTACTACAGAAATACACATTTCTTTAAAAATCTTATATGGAATATTTAATTTTTGTTATCTATTTACTATTTTAATTTGACTACTTAAATGTATAATGTGACACAGGGAGGTTAACAGAGAACCTAATAACAAATTTGATAATATTACAGCTAGCAGACATATCCGACGATGGCTACTTATGCCTGATGGCTGATAATGGTGAACTTCGCGAGGATTTAAAAATTCCTGACGGTGAACTGGGTACTCAGTTACGTGCTGATCATGAGGCTGGAAAGGAGCTTCTTGTGAGTACTATTAAACTTTTCTAAAAGACATTTTATTTTGATATTGCTTTTTAATCCATCTGTTTGCAAGAGATGTTACAATACCTACAAGGCTCTTTATGGATTTATGTATACAAATTTACAAGATGCAGAAGTTGAAAATCATGAAAGAGATAGAAAGAAATAGAAGTGATTCTTTTTTCCAGTGCACTGTGCTGAAAGCCTGTGGTGAGGAGGTCGTGATCGCCATCAAAACCAACACTGCCATCGATAAATAATTGTGTTCAGTCCAAACTCCACCATCACATTAAAGAAAAAACAAAACACACACAGCTAATATATTATTAAGCGAAACCTAAGATACAATACAAGATGATCAGTGGTTAAAATAAGAACTACCAACAGCAAATAGGAAAAGGAAAGAAGTGGGGGGCACTTGGAAATGAATAAAAATGAAGGGAAAAAGAGACGAGGAAAAGGAAAGAGACAAACATAATTAAAAAGAAAACGAAAAGAAGAGCAAAGCAAACGTGCGTGAGCGTGTAAGTGGAAGGGCGGCGAGGATTACAAATAATGCAAAAGAATAACATAAAAAGAGAATAAACCAGGAAACAGTATCAGCTTAGACCTTGAGGAAAAAACATGTTTTGGCCGCTTAAAATGTTGAGATTAAAAGGCAATTTTGGCAGTCGGGAATTTGGAAAAAGAACTATTTTGCCTTTATTTGTAATTTTTCAAATTTTAGTGTAATTAGAAATCTACTTCTATTGGAATACTAATTACTTTGCAACAGTAATTACATAAAGTTCATATTGCAATCATAATGTTCTTGAAATTCCAGTTCATTTAGAATTCTAATTATCGAAACAGTTCTGTTCCCTCATGATAACCCTTTCTTTCATAGTATTTTGATTGAAACTTCAAATTTTTCACTAATTTGGTTTCTACATTTTCCACAATGCTCAAATTGAAACTCTAATGAACTTAGATAGAATTCCAATCTTATAAAAATGATACTATACCCTAATTTTGTTGAAATTTTGGTTTTTCTTTACTCAAGTTCACCAAATTTTTTTTTTATTAAAAAGTTTGTTTTCATACATTTATCCTAATTCATAATTCCTTTCCCGAAATAATTTTGAAACCTTTTTGTTAGACAATATTAACCTAATTCTAATCAACCTTCATTAGAATTCTACATTATTGAAGTTGTATTAAAAAAAAAATTCATGCCTTGTTAAAAATCATTAATACTTTTTATTAATTTGAAAAAAATTTTATTTATTATTGATTTGTTAATATTTGTTCTTATAGGGATTAGGTTTATTCTTGAAACTTTTTGCATTTTTATTTATAATTAGAATATGATGGAAATTCCTAAAATTGAATGTGTCCTCTAATCGTTTTAAATTTCGAAATTGAAGTCAAATTAATATTTTTCAACCGACTGAAGTGCATTTCGTTACTCGAAATTCCAGATCTTAATATCCAATTTTTAATTCTGGAAATTACCGTTTAACGTAGATCTTACAAATTTCACTAACTTACGTGAAGTTTCATGGCATCATCTGACACTCGTATTTTGTAATGCTGTTTTTGTATTTGTGAACTTCGAAAGAAAAATTGAAATTTTTCGTGTTAGAATTAAAGTTTTGGAATTCGGATCTTAAATTTCGAAGATAACAGCATAAAAGTTGTATTCTGAAATTGTAGATTGAACCAATAATTCTAATTTTCGTCTTGAAATTTGAGCTCCAATGTAGGAATTTTGATCTTACATTTAAAACTCGATTTCAATTCAGACTACACCATCAACAAAAGTATATGGAAGTCTAAAGATATAAGAGAAACGAATAATACGAAACACCTAAGCTACTATAATCTAAGCAGACTAATTTAAGATTAAGACGACCTAGATAAATGAATTTAATCGAAGAAAAAACTAAAAAAAAAAAAAAAAAAAAAAAAAAAAAAAAAAAAAAAAAGAAATGAATCGGCCTCACGGTCGAATTTCAACGACGAGAGACGGAAATCATTCTTTTCTGCTTCTCGATACACTCGGTTCATTGTGTACCACCGCTGGTCATTCATCCAAATTCTAACTGGTCACTTAAACAGAGTATTCAAGTACCGGGAAAGTAATACAATTATTCATTTATTCTACAAGCACTGATGTGAAGTGGTATTTCAAAAATATTTTATGTATTAAACAGGCGTATCGTTAATTTTGTAGAGAAATTTGATAAATGATTGTTAGTACTTGTTGTAGTAGTAATACGTTATTTAAAGTAAACTGAAGTATACATTTTGGGTTTGCAAGTAATAAAATAAATCTTAGCATTTACAATTAATATTTAACAGATCATTTACCGTTTAATTGAAAAATATTCTTGAAATATTTCTTGTTTGATACACGTACAATAGATCGAGAGACATTTGTTGTTGAAACATCAAAAATATATGAGGTACAATAAAATACAGTGCTGTACGGGGGTGACTTTGGAAAATATAACCAGCATTGGCATATACAGAGAGAGAACAGGCGAAAAGGCATGTACACATATATATACACACGTATACAAAATACACGCAGCGGTCATGTATATGGAAATACACATATGTAATTATATGTGAAAGCAACGGATTATGGAATTTGAACCAGAAAACACAAACGTAAAATATATAAATGAACGAATACCAACGAGCATTTGTTTATACGGCAGAAGTCAATGGAGGATAAATAAAAAAAGAAGAAAAAGCCGTCGCGGTGCTTTTGAGTCACCTTCGATAATATTTCGTTGCTATCTTTACTCAGCCTTTATTTTTGTAATTATTGAAGACTTGTTTTGAACACTGATATTTAATTTTTTAGTTTCATTTAAACGTATTTTAAGTTACATAAAGTAGAACTTTTAATTTACCAATACGTTCGTTTTATACAAAGTTTAACTATTTTGATTTTATATGAATTGCTTTAATTAATTGGGTAGGAAGCCATTAAACAGACTGTTAGAAGTTTATTCGCAAATATTCTCTTTAATATTCCTACATTTTCAAACATTAATACTCTTATATTTTGTATTATTAATAATTATTAATGATTAAAAAAACATTACGAGTGCCATTACATATATATAATATATTTGTGCTCGCGCCTATCGAGCACTGCACGCACATTGCACACGCGTCCACTTATACACATACACACATACACACTTAGGACATGTCGAAAGATATGTAACACAGAAACAAGAACGTGTCTCTATATGTGCATCAATTTTCATTCTTTCATAATTTATTCATTGTAAAAATTAGACGCATTTATACAAATACAAGGACATGTTTTTATAACTTAACTTACACAGACTGGGTAGCATGTATGATTGACCAGATGATAGAAATTGTCTTATTTCGATTCATATAAGTCATTAACTACTATTATGACGGCTTTGTACGTTCGTGTAAATCAAATTTCGATGAGAACAACAAGGTATATAGCGATTTATAAAATGAAAAATGTACGGAACATCATAACAATGCTTTATAAGTGAATATTTAATACGTGCATGATTAATAAAAGTAATACAAAAAAAGATTGCACAATGATTGACAGATGAAATATAAATATGTGACTTTGGTTACACATGTATTTAAGAAGGAAAATCTTGGAACATAAATATTGCATTCTATGAAAACTATACAAATTGATTATTTTCTAGTTAACATTAATTTAAGTGTTACATACCTTTAAACACATCCTATGTATAAAACTCAGACACTCGTAATGTCTCTTAATATTTTCTTCAAAATCTCGATATAATAATTGATACTCAATTATTAATTTTTTTTTAATTCTTTAATATTTCAGGAAAAATTCATCTTTACCGTTGCACCCTGCACATCACAGGAAACTGTTCAAAATTCTTGTCACAGTAACTGCAACAATTCGAATATGAATTTCATCATTTATGATTATTTGTTTCTTAATTCTTTTTATTGACACTCTTCAGAATCAAAGGAGAGCTGATGTTCCTCGTAGGATCAATTATTGGCATTTCTCCTTTGAAGAGCAGCAGCAAGATCCTGTCTAAGGGCTGCCTGTTGTCTCTGATCAGCTAAAGATTGTACAGATCTCAACCCGTTCACGATATCTTTCGTTTTTCCAAAATAAATCTCATTCAGGGTATTTCGTATTTTATTTTCCATGTCTTCAACCATACGTCCAATGTTTGCAATATGTGGGGAGCTTTCACTTATTTGAGCATCCTGCTCAACCTGTAAAATTTCGTTTGTTATATAACACTAGTAATCGCTATAAAAAATTACAATTGTTACATAAAAACATTTTACCAAGGATTAATTACGTTAAAATCGAGAATAATAATAAAAACAAACAAACCTGTCTGGTAAGACTACCCCCAAGGTTCATTGTTCCTGACCCATGCTTGTTAGTCTGTAACCAAAGCATTGCGGTAGAAGTTAACTTGTAATGTGCAATCCTTCCATTTGATTTCTCTTGAACTTCCACAACATGAATTGAATCCCAGCAACCTTTGATTTTCTTTGAACCATCTCCGGCTTTTTTAATAAGAATCACTGCTGCAAAACCATGATCTAAATCCCAAAGATAAACAGAAGAAACTCCACCTTCGAAATAAAGTTCCCTATATTGATCAAATGCATGATTTGCATCTATCTCCAACTTTCTAAGTCTTTCAGAAGGCATTGAACCATCTTCTAATGGAGGATCATAAGTATTACTCCAAGGAGATCTGAGAACATTAATTGCACGAGTTAATTTACTTTATAATATAATAATTATGTAATACCAACTACAATCAAGAAGGCAGAATTTAAAACATTACAATCTACTTTAAAATTAGTTACCTATAAGAATCTCCATCCCTGTTATAATCACAAAGTAAATAATCTTTTCCAGATTCTTTGTCTTTTGCAATTTTTAAAGGCTGATCAACAGACGACAAAAGATCTTCACACAGAGGTGGCACCAGATCTATTAAATCACTTAAATTCTTTTCAATCTGCTGTGGTGGCAACCTTCTCATCAAATCCAATGCACAATCCATCTGCTGCTCCGTCTTTGAAAATAAAATATTCTATAAAAATTTGTAATATAATGTAACTTTACACTTTTATAATTAACCTTGCTTAAAATATTAAACTATAACTGTACATTCACATTTTTGGTGATTATACTTAATATTCTCCCATTCGTATTTTATTCAATTCTGAATAGAAGAAGTTTACATTTTAAAAACTTGATTGCTTCTATTTAAATTAAATGTCTGTAATGGTAACACAACTATGAACAAAAATTAATGAACAATAATTAGCATTTGTTAGTTTCAAATGCCATTTAAAAAATAGGAAGAAAAAGATCCTTACATATAAACTTTTGTTACTTTGAAAAGCTCCAATAATTTAGTATACTATCAAAATAAATAAAAAACATTAATGTTACGAAGAATACAATATAGAGTTAGAAATTTAAGACTTCTAATACTGTTTTAACGAAATAATGAATAATCGAAATTGTAATGTATGTTGGTGGAAAGCGCCATTTTGACGTTTATTTCATTTGAGGTTAGATAAGAATTTTTTTTTCATAGCTTTAAAGATACAAAACAATCACCTTCTTTATGTTTAATATCTATAAGCAACTAATAACGAGTAAAAAATTTCACAAAATCAAATTTTCTTGTGTCAAACATTGTTTATTATCAGTTTTAACAATGAGTTTAGTTGACAATGTTAACAATGAAATATAACGTTATACTTGACGCTGGGAAGCGTCGAACTCACCATTTTAAACGATTGAAAATTTTTTCGTGCGTCGATCAGAGCATCAATCGATCAAATTTACAAAATCAATGAAAAATTTATCGAAACTGTTTACCCTCTGACCCGCATTCAGCCTCCGAAAACGAATGTTCGAGGGGCGTGTCAAGAATAGCGCTGATTGGCCAACATGTTTTACAATGCTATCAACTTAATACGAATGAGACATAATAAATTAACAATGAAAGAATAATCAGTTATACTTACGATGAAATAATGAGACTAAGAAATAAAAAGGAATTAATATTAAGAAAAACTGTATAGGTAGAAATGTAAAATTTACTATCCCAGGCTTAGGTCTAGGACAAAATGAAAATATGTTTTTGTATGCTTTTCATATACTAGCAAAACAGAATCACTTTAAAATCATTTTGGCTTTAAACAATATAAGTTTTCTTCATTTTAACAAAAAGTTAGGCTGTTCCTATATTTATTATTCTGGGGATTTTTGTTCCTGTGGTATACACTGCAATCTTTATTTTAACATTTTTGAGGAATTTGAATTTTCCACAATATATTTAAATTCTTTACTGTACACCCTGTACACTACAAACAGAGCATATGCATAGGTACATAATGTTAAGAAATTTTCGTATTTATAAGAAGATGCTTACCCCTGTTAAGTTCCCTGACTCTAAACGTCCAATTTTTAGTCCTATTAGAAAGAGAGGAATGTTACTCCAGTTATTGTACTCTCTTTTTAATGCCGACTTCATCCTACCATAGGACCGCGCATTCTATCATAGTATATGTCTATGCCCCGTATATATCATTGAATATCATGGTATAAGATAGAACTCCCATTTCAACTGGTGACTGCTTGGTGACTCTGAAGTTGTCAAACTGGGGTTCACAATTATCTAACTATTATTGTGTCAGTCCTTTTTATTTATGAACCCATCCAATAAATTATTCATGTGGTAATCACCATTAGCATATTTTATGCAATCTGATGCAATCCTTATTTTAAAATCTGATTTGACCTGTGGACGATCATCGAATGATACCCACTTGCTAATACCAGTGGTCTTATCCTTCTCCGACCAATCAATTTCTACTAATTTCTCTCTATTTCTCTCTATTCGAACTCAGCGTGCTCAAGTTATTCTCTTAAAAATATTTTTTGTCTGTTACTATTCTGCGACGCGTTCAGTACGTAACGGTCAGTAACGGTCGGTTAAATATACCGATATTGGTCGATATTGTAGAAATGATTTGAGACGGGTAAGTTTAATTTCTGTGGAAAATTTCTAAGTGACCCCGTCTTCTATTTCTTAATGTTAAAAGAGTTCTACAACAATAGCATTTCTTTTATAACGTTTAAGGAAGATTTTATACAGTTTTTCATGAAGATTTACATTTCTTTTGCTAACATTTTTTGTGTACTAATAAACTGTGCCACTTAACTTTTCATCATTTTTGTTTTTACATAAAATGTTTGTTCATTGTTCGGATTATACAATCTTATTATCGGCAACAGTCGTAATAATAACTTATAACAATTTTATCTCAAAAGTAAAAGATTTTCTTAAAGATTTTCCACTTTCGTAAAAGTAGGTTAGCTTATACAATCCATTACGAAGATTATATGTATATAAATAATGAGAACGAAAACAGTAAACTGCAGCTGATTAAAGGGAATCAATTTGAGATGAAATGTATCGTGTGACTACATAAGTTGTACGATTACATTGTACCATGATCATAACCTTTGTTCATATGATATAGGCAGATAGCAGGTACTTGATAGATAAGATATTAGCCAACTTGTCAAATTGTTTGACATGGGAAGGTCTTGGAGGTCAGTCGTGCATTAGAAAGTGTCTCTATTAAATGTGTTGATAGCTGCTTCAATAGCTAGCAGTCCTCAAAAAAACAAAATTTTAGAGTTTGTTATATCTTGTCTACCATGTGTATAATGCTGGTGTAATGTAGGACAGTTATTTTTGATACAATGTATGTATTAGAAGTATTATTTTATAACATACATAAGTTAGATAATGTTGCTATGAAAACAAGGAATGGAATCCTCAAGTTTATAGTTAGTAATGTGCATTATACGTAGAAAAGGGATAGTACCTATGTATTAATCTTTCTGTAACTGTTAGTATTCATATTAAATGTTATTTGTTAACTGTTTTATAATGGATTCTTAAATACATATTAATGTTTATAAAAGTGATATTAAGTACAGTGGAAATAATGAGTTAATAAAAAATGTAATTATTTCAAGTTATTGTTCCTTGTGAAATGATATTCCTATCCCCTTATATCATAAATTTCACAGCATTTACATTTAAGATAACCAAATCAGTTTTCTTGGTTCAATAGTTTATCAACTGGAATTTCCTTGTTAAGATATATTTTGTTTAATTTTCTTAACTTACAGATATTGCTATATATTATTTATTTATTTCTAATTATCACATTTCCATATACTATTTATTTTCAATCAATCACCGATAATCACTAAAATTATAATATCATTATAAAAATTCTCAGTACTCATACATACATACATACACACATACATACATACACGCACACACACACACGCACACGCACACACACACACATACATACATACATATAAAACACAATGAGAGACAGAAACTTGTAATGTAGAAATCAAATTGTTTGTTTCAGGTACAAAATACTCAAGATCTACAAGTGATATTTATATATGTTTTCCTTTTATTAAGCACACACATAAGAACTTTTGAAAGATGTTGTCAGCATTGAAGCAATCCACAGTTATCCACCTGATGTTTGCTATAACATTTTTCACATCGGGTTTGATAATCAATTTCTTCCAGTGTCTTTTGTACTTGGGCCTCAGGCCTTTTTCCAAATATTTGTATCGGAAGATTAATTACTATCTCTGCTATTCTTTTTATAGTCGTAAGTCAATGATTTTCTCTGTATAATCTATTTTTATAATTATATTTATTCAATTACATTTTACAAATATTGCACACTTGCAGTTCTGTTAAGTTTCTTTTTCAGTTTCAAGCTTTATTATTCACAGTCCTCAGATATTAAATTTTCATTTGATCTCTATAGAATGAGAATAATGATGAGAAAACGAATGGATAGCATAATTAATTTTACATTATATTTTCAGAGTTGGTGTTTCTGACAGAATGGTGGTCTGGAACAGATGTGGTATTGTACATAGATAAAGTAGATTTTGAGAAATACTTTGGACAAGAACATGGTTACGTGATAATGAATCATACATACGAAATAGACTGGCTTATTGGGTGGAATTTTTGCGAACGAATTGGAGTTCTTGGTGTAAGTAATGTGTATATTGAAATGTAAGCTAAAAAAGTAGAATAATAATGAGATATTTCGATTAAAAAGTGTAAGTGTATTTCAGAATTGCAAAGCTTATGCCAAAAAGTCAATACAGTATATTCCAACATTAGGTTGGGCATGGAAATTTGCGGAAAGTATATTCTTAGAAAGAAATTGGGAGAAAGATAAACAAATAATTGGTACTCAAATTAACGAACTTGGAAATTATCCAGACTGTATTTGGGTAATTATATTTTACATTCGCTGTTTATTATTTGGATTCTACCATTCCTAAATTAATTGGTTTCTTTTCTCAATTGATTACTTTCAAGTCATTATTTTATTTAAATGATCTCCGCAGTTACTCTTGAATGCTGAAGGAACACGTTTCACAGCAAAAAAATTAGAGGCCAGTCAGAAGTTTGCCCAAGAGAAAGGTCTTCCAGTATTAAGATACCATTTAACTCCGCGGACAAAGGGTTTTACAGCAAGTGTACCGCACATGCGAGGTAAAATTCCCGCAATTTATGATTGCCAAGTAGATTTCAAATCAGATGACACAGTGAAACCAACAATAACCAACTTACTGTTGGGAAAACGGGTTGTGGCCCACCTGTACCTACAAAGGATCTCATTGGACGAAGTGCCAGAAAATGAGGAAGCTGCAGCCAAGTGGTTGTACGAGCTTTACCAAAAGAAGGTAGATAATAACAGCGCGTTTCTCAAGAAATCTTTAATCGATGAATACAATAACGTTACAATAACGTTATTCTCTTCCGTTTCCTCAGGATCGTATGGCAGAAAGTTTCACGAAGACTGGTGATTTCTTCACCACTAGTGGTGTTCCCAGAACAGATTGCTTTCAGCTAGAAAGAAGAGTTTATACTTTGATAAATACAATTTTCTGGGCAGTGGTAGTTTTAGTACCAATGCTTTATTATTTAGTGAATCTGTTTCTGTCTGGATCAACAACTTACTTTTCTATTGGTGTGGGTATCATATTCTTATGTAAGTGTCTTGATAAAATATCCTGTATTACTTATTTACTGCTCCTCAATACTGTTCCTTTAAAACATTTATTTTTCGGTGAATTTCAGTCTACCTACTTATGCACAAAACGATAGGCATGTCCGAGATAAGCAAAAGTTCATCTTACGGTGCTGATGATAAAAAATCGAAGTAAAGAGAAAGGAGGAAGAAATACAAGAAAGGAATACGTCGCGAGAAAATCGATACGTCTTTAGAGGTCTTTGCCAAATAAGTATTACCGAAATTTTTTGTCCGCGTACTGTATTCTGCATGATTTTCCTTGTACAAATCACTGATGCGCAATGTTTTTAAGGGCTTGCGAAGGTATTGGTGTTTTATCATTGTTGATAATACTTTCTCATTTTGTTAACGATATGGAATGTATATTGTATCATTGATATATACGTTATATTTCTATATTTTGATTGAATAATAATTTAGATAAAGTTTTTTTTTGTTTAATAACAGTTTATTTACTATGAACTCGGAGGAATTATGTATCTTGGTCATAGTGATTATAACAATATCAGGCCAATTATTTATATTCTTTTATAACCCTTTTTCAATTCCTCCACAACTTTAAATTCTAAGAATTTTATAGAATTTTTGACTTGGGATTAGTAAGGCTTGCACAGTAAGGAATCTGTGAGGTGTACTGAAGCTTTTAAACTAACAGATTACAGTTTCAGAAAAATAAAGTTTTCGAAACTACATGAATGAACGAATAAAATTCCAAAGGAAATTCCCGTATGTAAGACTATTATTTTACACAAGTGATGTGGTCTGAATTACGCAAGTGCACACAGTATTTGATAATTGAACAGACAACGTTATTACATAAGAACGCAGGAAAACGGAAAATTTAAGAACGCTCGTTTATTTCAAGCCTATAGACTATAGACTAGTATAGACTATAGACGACTTGATTTACGTCTTACACCTATATGTATACATATTTGCTTTAACATCGTGTATATTCTATAAAAAAAAAAGCATCATTGCCCCACATTATACACATAGTACTTAAATAAGATCAATACAACTTTATTGGGGTACAAATTTCACTGAAACTCTGTTTATTTAAGTACTTTTTTAATCAGGCGTATGTTATGAGTGTGACGTAATGTGTGTAATGAGATGCATATACGCACATGTGCATACATACATACATGTATGTACCATCAGAGTCTTCTTCTTGTTGTTATCATTGTATTTAGATTCGCATACGAACCTGTCTCCGTCTTTTGTTTTTATTTTTCTTGTATAGCTGTTGTTACTGTTAAATAAACGATACACCTGACTAATTGTTCCCTTAGTCCATAAGTTCATAGTTTCTCAACGTGGGCGCTGAGGAAATTTAGGGGGGGAGGGGGGATTCCAGTTATTTTATTTTCAATCTAACTTGTTAAGATTCGAAGATTACACACATAACTCTACTCGGAAACTTGGATAAAAGAGTTAGTTTACCCGAAGGGGGCACTAAACAAAACAAAACTTTGCAAAGGGGGCGGTTAGTCAAAAAAGGTTGGGAAATTATGCCTTAGTCTAATAATTAAACGCTGATACGTTACATATCTGTAGATACGTGATGATCATAAAACCTATTTCTCAATGTCGTATCGTTCTAAAGCTATATTATACATTCGGTTGGTCTCATTGCAATTCATTTCAATGGGACGAACGTCGAAGAGTCTCTCGATCAATTTTTCAAATTGCGCTCTTTTCTTTCGTGATGTCTTTCCGTGTATCCTCCGAAGGGTCTGGCAGCATACTGAACGGTCCTTAATTTGCCTTTAGCATCGTAGTAACCGTATTGCCCTTTTACAGTGCCGTCAGTATACCTCTCTTCTAATCTGAACTGTCTATTTCGTCTGAAAATGATTTATACACTTTTAGTGAAGTACTCGCAACACCATGTAAGATTAAGTTACTGCTGTATATAGTTGTGTGGAGTTATCGCACAATACACTTAAAATGAACATTTGATTTGATAAAATATAACATGGGATTAACACCATTCTTTTCTCTGTGCGTGAACACAATATGCTGCAGTAGCTCTTTCGTGGCATAAGTATTGTCTCATACTGTCTCTGGAGCGAGATAGCACGGCAAATGAGTGAGAGTCGGGAAACCAGGAAACTTTCAGATTTGAACTTGTTAAATTCCATTTGTAATTTACCCGTGTCCAGTATCAAATCCGAAGACATAAGTTTGTGGCCCTTCGTGGCCTTCTATTTGAAATTGTACTCTCTCCGTTCTATTCGTCAGGCCCCAGGGTTTTAAGTGTTCCGCTTTTTCTTCCATCGAGTCGTTCGTCCTGTCCCCCTTTAATCTGCGCGAAGCCAATACGTTGTCTCTTTCTGTTTTAGGCTTCGACATCTTTTTACCTCTTAGTGGTGGTAACGACTGGTCTTCTTCGTCATAGAAACGGTGATTTTTGAGCCTCGAGTCATCGGTTGCCAGCACAAGAACAGCGTGCATTAAAAGCTGCACGATAAACAGGTGTGAAACAACTACAATTATTTATGCATTTATAGCGATTTTCTAATTTGTAGAACTATTTTTACGTATTATTATTACTGTAGTAACATAGCGCCTTCGGTAAGGATGTTAAAGTTCTGTCTAATTTAATGTCCTTTTTTCGCGGTCTACCAATGAAATATAGAATTTTCACGTTGATTCTCTTGTTCGCAGTTATCGATCTTGATCGATATAATTATTCGAAACAATAAGTTACATTTCCGATTTGTCTCGCTTTCACGCGTTCGTATGGTCGATTGGTTTCTCGCGATCGACCGTAATCGCGATTAACGACCACACAGTACTCGTTCTTCGATCGCTCGAAATTCATATTGTACGTTATTGGAACAGTGTTTTCGAATCGTCGGGTAGTTAAGACGAAGATTTGCTAAACCGAGGGCCGTTTCTGATTATGAAAAATATCTGCAACGAGCTGTATCTACGTAGGAACGAAACGATTTTGGTCGAAATTGATCCGAGCAGGCAGAACTTTTTCGAGACAGTGCAGTGTTATAAAACGAGTATGTTGTGTGACGTGAATATATGCCGCGTATGTATTCAAATTGTTATTTGAACGAAAAAATCTGTACTCACAAGGAGTGTGTAACGCATCCTGTGTCTCCGATGGAGAAGTAGGAAGAAGAGGAAAGACACTGAACATTTCCCTGGCATACGAATTACCGTCTTATTTTTGCATCATCTATATCTCGGGCAACTTTCTTTGGCACTTCCTCTCTCTCTCTTGTCAACTTCCCCTACCATTCTCCTTTTTATACAATAGATGTCAATATTACTTGCCCGTCGGACACGGTTAATTTATTTGAAAATATTTCAAGAAAGCGATGTCGATACATGTATCGATTTCGTTATCGGGACGATGCGAATAAAAAAAAGAGAATATGTAAAAAGTGTATGCCTTTAAAAGCACCTTCCCCTCGATACATTGTATGCATATCGACCTCCTGATTTATTTGTGGAGTACCTTTTGAGCCTTGGACGATAGAGTTATTTAAACGATTACTCGAAACCAATGAAAATAGACCTGGTAGGTTGGTTTGGACAATTTTTTTTTAACGATCATTATATTTTTGCGTGTATACATCGAGATATTTCACGTAACCGACTTTTTCATCCGGAACCGTGACATGTCCTTCTTCCTGTCTAGAAAAATGCTCCCGGTAGGGGAGAATAAAAAAAATTTCACGCTCGTTTCATTTTAGGATTATGCAATTCGTAATGAACCGGAAGCGGATAATCGGGACGCCGGATATGTCATGACGCAGAAATATCGTAAAACTGCCTGCTGGAAGTCAAACTCTTTTCAAAGGTAATATGACGGACAATTAATGTCAAAATGTTTTTCCTGTTAGTTTTGTTTATATACCGTACCAAATACTCGCTGGCTTCCATTAATCGTTATAATAATCAAACGAGCGGTTAGAAAGCTCTTATCATGAAAAATTTCGCCGGGATTATCGTGTGCTGTGTATTTTTATTGTTTTTCGACGGGGGAAGAGTAAGTAAATATTTAACGACAATGCAATTCCACGACCTAAACACGTAAAAGATGTATTCCTTTTTCAGTGTTTAAAGTGTCGTACGAAAAGTCAAGAGACAGATATGCGATATCAAAAAGTGTTAAAAACCTGCCTAAAACGGAACGCCGGTTCTCGTGCAGACGCCAACGATTCGATGTCCTCGGACAGTGACAGTTCCGAAAGTGATTCCAGTTCCGAAGAGATTGTTTACGACAAGCATGCGTTCTATAGAAATAGTGCTGGATCCTCTAACAATCAGTCCGCGAGTAACCAAAAGTCTAGGTACGGTCCGAATAATATATAATATCTACATATACATAGTTCGTATGAGCCCAGATAGCATATGACGTCTTGAACACGCCCTTTTACGGCTATTTCAGGTCTGATTAAGTAGTCTTAAGCCGTCTGTATGCTGTCTGGGAGTGTATGAAATTTTTTGTATTACGGAAAAATGTTACCTAAATTTAAGGATTTTAATTCATGTCTTTGGACACACGAAACTTCCAGTAGGAATGACGATATGAATGGTTATTCATCCGATCGTCCGGCAAATGGAAATTACAGAGACTTTCAAAACAAAAAGAATAATAAGAACGTTAACGATCGAGATTCCTGGAGTTCGAAAGATTCCCGAACTAAAAAAGACGATTTTAATAACGGAGACACACGGCATAACAATAATACCGACCGAGAAAAGGCAGTAAGAATTGAAAAATAAGTACATACATATGTAAATTGTTTGAAAATTGTATTTAATATTTTTTTTCGAGTCACGGTATCGTAATAAATTAACAGTCTAAAGAATTTGTTGTATTTCAGTGCGCTATACAGTGTTTTTTCAACGAATTTAATGTCGTGAGTAAAAGTGTAAAATATAATAAGTAGTATATACCTATTTTCATATTATTTTATCTTAAATGCATACAGAATTGCTTGTTATTACTTTTTTATTACAACAATTTGTAACTTAAAGAAATTGGAAAACGACAGGTGGACAAAAAAGGATTTCCAGAAAGGGACTTGGTGATTCCATTAATGAACAAAGATATTCAGGATCCAGAATTGAAAGATTTTGTCGAGGAGTCAATTATAGAATGCTTTAGTTATCTTGAATCAAATAAGATAGACAAGTGCGAATTTTCCCAAAATCTTTTGAAATGTGTAGCTGAGAAAGGACAGCAAGTGAGTAGATTAAAGATTATACACTAGGTACTATTTCATGTATGTACTAGTACAACTATGTAGTAGCAAAAATATTTTATTTTCAGAAATGTGAAGATTGGTAAATTTGAGAAAGTAGAAGATTCATTACAATGTCTCTGAACACTTTGAATGACGACAATGGAGTGTAATGGATATATAAGAAATAAATAATGCATTGAATATTTTCATTAACTGTATTTCTTTGCAGCTTATAAAACAATAAAATCTTTTAAGGAGAGCTTGAAAGCGTTTTATCACAAATCTATATATAAATAGTAATAGGTAAAAATGTATATTTTACATAATTCTCATAAACTTTGCAATTAAAATATTGCGAAACAATACAATGTAAGTATTTTACAATATTTACAAGCGTCATTTTAAACTTACACTTAAAAAGAAGTGCAACAACGAAGCTTTTGTTAAAAGTTATAAGATATTATAAGTAACATTTACAATGGTAAAGATTTCTTCGTAATTATTTAACGACGATAATAAATATTATTTTTAGCAATCCAGTGTTCTAACAATGCGCGCAATATGCAGTCGCATAGCGGAATTTTTTCGCATCAGAACGGGCTCAAAACGTTCGAAGAAAGCCAAGAACAACGCAAATCAATCTCTTTTCCCGTTTTTAGATAATGCTTTCATCCACTTCTTTCCGATTTACATTTCATGAACATTTAATCGTTACCTGGAAGATATTAAGTTAATCATTACTCCAAAAGATTAAAATTTAACGAAATCCTTTTATATTACTACATTAGTGAACGAGATATTCTATGAATAGTTTTTAAAAGTCTTTTAGAAGCTATTACTAGTAATGTTATTGGGTTACTTAAACTCAAAAGTACTATACAACGATAAAACTATATTCTCTTTCATTTTTACAGTTATACCTACATGTGCTGTATTATAACATATATATTTTATGCGATATACGTTTTTAAAGATAAAAGACTATTTTCTTTTCTTTAAATCTTCAAATCGTTTCATTAAATCATCAAAATCAATGTCTTCGCTAGTGGTTGGATTATTTGAGGGTAAATCATTCTCTGATGGAACAGCTGGCAAATCTGGAAGCTGAAAATCATTCATTGGCATTTTCGATCTCGGTTGTGGTTTTGGTTTCTGGTCAGACTGTAATAAGAAATCACAAATTAACGTATAACAAATATTCCTTAAACAACAATAGAATAATCTCAACAAAATTAATTATAACACCAATAACTTTATAATAATAAAATACTCTATTACCTGCTTGTTTAAATCAGGTGGAAATGAAGCATATGGTGGAGGTAAATCATCTTCCTGAACAAATGAAAGTTGTACTTTCAATCAATACCATACAGAAAAATAAATATCAAGTCTTCCTGCACATTCAAAGTATTTATAGAAGTGCTGTTATGGTTACTCACCGGTTTATTACCATTGGAGTTATCCAAAGGAATGTTGTAAGAAACAGTAGGATTATGAGGAACATTTTGAGCTTTACCTTCTGAAGGCCCTGCTGGTGGTATAAATCCCATAGGAGCTTTTTCTGAGTTCTAATAAAATAAATTGATAGAAGGTTCTTTCATTTGATAAGTGTAAAATAAATTTTATTCTAGAATTATTCTTATGCAAAGAAACATTACTTACTATGAAATTAGTTGCAGGATCTGGTAATAGTGGAGGTTGCGGAAATCCAATAAATCCAACTGGTTGTGGTATACCACCTCCAGAAGCAGCGTCTAAATTATTCCTAGTTTCCCCATTACCTCCAACATCTATTAACAAAGCATCTTGTCCTTCTGCCATTATCTATAATATTAAAATTTACACATTTATTTATTAAACCTTATTTAAGCCATTGTTATTTAATATAATTCATCATTTCTACCTGTGGATCTGGCTCGTATTCAACATTATAATTCTTTGCAATTTCCACAAGATATTTCTCAACAAGAAGTTTAGACGGTGATTGTACACTCATCTTGTGTTTCAACTTTTCAGAAATAGTGTGCACTGCTTCTTCTCTACAAGCATCCGTGTACTGTTTACCATACTTGGATGTTAAAATGTCGGCAATAACTTTGATTTCTTGAACATCGGTTTGAATTCTAGGTGCAGCCCAAATTATTGTGGAAATAGCTTCTGCTAAACCTTCGTCCAAGTTTCTATAATCAGAAGAAATATACATAGTACACGGTACGCAAAGGATATTCTTCCGTACTGATGATCATGTACAATGTTGACGATTATTCAACTAAACTTCTTACTTCATTTGTTGAATAAGTCCGAAACGCGCTAACAAAAGATCACAATACATTTCGAGTAGTTCCATCGCCTCAACCATGTAGTCTTCTCTGATAATGTGTTCTACGCGAATTTTCGCCCTTTCAACTTTTCCTGCGGCAATGTAATCGGCAATTTCTTTCCGCGCTTTCTGTGCAAGTTCAGTTTTCTTTTTTTCAAGTAATTTCAACCGGTTTATCGCCAAACGCAGATGCGTTTTCAGCTTCGTGTAATTCGGCCCGCTCGAGAACATCTTCGGTTGATTTTTCTTATCACGGGTATGAACAATTGATACAATCTCTCATGCTCTTACGTGGGAGGCGATTAGAGGTTATTCTATTTAGTTAGGAATGACAGTATCTGACAGCTCAGAAGAGACTATTTCAACGTGAATTCAATTGCACAGTGTTTTTCAAATACGATCTTTTGAAGAATCGAACAAATATTGTACCCAACATAAACACAGATTATTATGTTCAAACAGAATAATATTTAAGAAGAAACACAATTTTGGTAATTAAGAAAAACAGTATAAGCGTTGAATCATTGTAACTGATTATAACCAATTGTAACAACCTGTAACTGTGAAACTATGATAATTATATGCAGGTAATACAGCGGTCGTATTACAGCGTCCATTGTGGTTTGCTCCACAACTACATATAGAAGAGGGAAATCTGAATTTTGTTTGAATTTTGTGTGAAGACTTAAATAAAATAAAATACTATGTACATACATAATAAGGTTTTATAGAATTTTTATATTTGATTCATAGTTTAATGGAATCTCTAATGTTGGAAAGAAATTTTTTTCTCATTTTTGTAAATTATAATCGATCCTGAGTCTATACATGTGTAATTATAATTTGAAAATTCATCACTAATATTTATCGTTCGTTGTGTTTCTCATAGATACATGCTTTTCAAAATTATTATATTTTCTTTATATTAGAAACCACGTAGGAATAATTGACAATTTTTCACTAAGTTTCAAAGCAAACAGTCTATTTTCGACTTTTTTTTGCAGTCACAAGTCTGGAAAAATAATTTCCTCGAGAATATGTTAGATGGAGCGCGCTTCTTCAAAATTATGGCGTTGAGGGACGCTAGGGATATTACGTCCCAGCTACTGTAGCACGGAAGTTAATTAATGATGTCACGTGTATGAAACAAAGCCTTTACTAGAGTCGAGCACGCGAACGTGCTACAGCGACAGCGGACAAAATGGATCTGGATCTGTCCAAAATTGGACTCCAAATCTGCCGCATGCAGGCGGCAACGCGATGCACGCGCCTCTCCCTCCTCGCGGGAAAAGGAGACACTACGGAGGGAGAGAGACGACAGAGTTTCGCTCCCTACAAAATAATCGATAGATCGATACTCGACCATTGCAACGATTGCAACGATTGCAACCGTTTGTAACGGTCATTATATCCGAAGGGAACAAAACGCGGCTGCGTAACGATTCGCTCATTGCTCTTCTGTTTAATCGTCAGCTTTCAGAATGTTTTATTCAACTGAGCTTCTCTCTCGTAAAAACGGAGTACTGGCGCGATGCTGGTTGGCGGCGACTATGAACGAGTCAATGTTTAAACAAATTTGCAAGCGGTTAACAATTGAGAAGACTAACATATCTGTGCTTTGGTAACGTCATCCTCTTTTCTTTAAGCATTTATTCTGAAATCTTGAGTTTGCCGATTATTTCGATTATTTCGATTATTTCGACGAGTGTGTATTATTGACAACTCTTAACATATATGTACATGTTAGTCAATAGTTATGAGGACAAAAGTCATAGTAATACCTATTTCATAACTCAATTTTCCACCATTCGAATTTTTATGAAACTTGAACTTTTATAAAAACTTTTAAATTATACAAGGTATCTCACCTGATTTTGACATCTTGATTTTCTCGCTATTGTTACTCGTAGCAAAAAATGTTTCAGCGGAGACTTGAATGGCATCAAGTGGAGCATATTCTGATGTTATTAATTTTTTCGTGAATAGACGCGTAAAGGTCATATAAAGTACAACTTTGTTTTTTTAAATGGAATGAGGAATTTTTTAATACATCAATCGATGCAGCTGGACATTCGTTATAAAAGAGTACTAACCTATGTATGTCAAAAAGTTAGTAGTTCAGGAGATATTTGAATTTAAATAATTCTAAAACACCATTACTGTCGTACTAAGACGTTAGCGTTTATTACTAACTTTTCGACATACATAGGTTAGTACTCTTTTATAACGAATGTCCAGCTGCATCGACTGATGTGTTAAAAAATACCTCGTTCCATTTAAAAAAACAAAGTTAACCTTTATATGACCTTTACGCGTCTACTCACGCAAAAACTAATAACATCAGAATATGCTCCACTCGATACCATTCAAGCCTCCGCTGAAACATTTTTTGCTACGAGTAACAATAGCGAGAAAATCAAGATGTCAAAATCGGGTGAGACACCCTGTATAAGATAAATTAATTAACACGAGCAGACAAGTTTTTATTTTTTATGTAATTTATATAAACTAGGGTGTCTCACATACCTTGAGCACCTTAAATGTCTTCGTTGATTATGACAATACGAAAAAAATAACGGAAAAACAAAGTTGTTTATTATAAAAGGGGTTAATGTTTGCTAAGAAGAAATTATTTTTCTCGTGGTCATATTTCACAGGATTTCAAGGACATCGTCATTCTTTAAATAGAATTATATGGGCTTTCGTTGCAATTTTATTATACCTAAAAAAAAAACGACGAATTCAATCATCTATCTATGGTAAAAATAGATCTGACGTTACACCTCCAAGTACATATAACGATACGGTGGGGTTATGATAAATTCAGATTACCGATCAATTTTACGTACAAACATATGTATTCGACCCTGTTCGGTCGTGTACCCATGTTTACATATGATATCTCTGTTCCCGAGAATTGTTTCTCGGGACGAATTGCAACGCACATACTTACCTAGTGGTCGTACGGAAGGGATAGCTATATGTGTATGTACATTCACCTTGAGTAGCCAATGCTTTGTATCTCCACTCTCTACTCTCTGCCAGTCTTACAAACATAGCGCGGGATACAAAAGTTATAATCGCTGCAAGTGCAACCGTTATTTTAAACGATGGACGAAAGCGTCAGGGCAACAGTTGTTATAAATGATTAGTTATTCATTTTTCTTATTTGCTTATTTTCCTTTCATTTTCAGTGACAAAATATTATTGGCGATCCAAAGACATGGGAATAGGAGGTACAGCAGATTCAGCCTTTACCTTTCCTCGCAATTAATGTACGGCGTGACGAAGTTACTTAATTATCAAACGAAATTGTTTCAAGGTAATACGTAAAAATTTACGAAACATCGCGAATAGTTATTTTTCTTGTTTAACGTTAATGTCTATTATAAAGGTGACATATACTTATGCTAATCTAGGTATCTTATTCTTTTCTATAACTAACAGTAAATAAATATACTTTCTATTTTGCTTTTTTTTTTATTATAGATACCGTATTTCATCTATTCACAGAAAGTATGAAATTGAGTGTTCGCAAAAGGTAAAAATGGCGTAAAAATATGTTTTTTAAATATCAATTTCTATTTCTATTTTCTGTTAATTGCGTTTAAATTTTGAGCGCCGGGGTATTTTACAGAAATATTAACAATCTACTGATACGTAATCTTTCATTATTTCTAAGGAGTAGAACAGGACTATAAGAAGTATAATTTTTTTAGGGCAAACGACGAATACATATTGGCAATGGCGTTAAGGGAACCGGAAGATATTCCTCTGAACCGACTGTTCCGCGATCTAGAGACAGTACAGAATAAGCATTTGCTTACGGAGGAACCTTATACTTCCGTTATAGAACACATGGTAAAATACGGTATATCCATTTTCTTTTACTCCAGTCTGAATTTATTCAAATTTATAATACCGCTGTTGCACATATAGATGCAAGTCGAATTGAATTTTGGAGAGATAACCACTTACGAGATGGAAAAATTCGTCTCACTCGGACCGGAAGAACAGTTAGTCCTCTATGTTTCCACCGATTCCGTACTCCATATTATCCTTCTTTCTTGAAACGTTTCAAAACCACTGAAACCTAATTCATAGAAACAACGAGTTACAAATTGAATATAAATTTGAGTATAATAGAAAAAACGAGTGTGTTTCGAAATGATAATATTTTTTTAACTATTTCGTACCGTTGGAAGAATGGAAGTATTTTATATCCTTTACTACTCCTCAATCGACACGTTGAATGTCATCGAGGTCACCGCAGTGACTCCCACTCTAAACAGTATACTCTTCGTTATTATTAATATTGGACTATAAACCGATAAACGTCTACAAACTAAATGTCAGATGTATGATAACACTTTATTCTTATACACTCTGTGTAACGAAGCTTACACGCTTCGACGCTGTGGCTGAAACGTACGAAAATCCTTCGGCATTCAACGTGTTAACTGTATTCCAATTTGATACTTAGCAAATTTTTCTTTTTTACTGCCCGCTTGTTTGTCTCGTTTGTAACATTTGTGGATTTATTTCTACTTATTACCTAGGAGTGACATACGAAAATTCGGTTGGGATCAGTCGATGGAAGTTGTTCGTGACGGCCACGAAGTCGATAGTTCTGCGCTTGAAAAAGAGTTTCGAACTGCTGTCGCCGGGCAAGAAAGAAGAGAGTGGTTGATGGACGTCCAAGGTTGTCGAATTTGATAAAAATACGTAATTCTTTTGTAAAAAAAAAAAAAAACAAAAAGAAAGACGTGAAAGTATACGTAGTCCTATTTACATAAATGCGGACCACTTTTTTTATCGGTAATATTTTTCAGGTGCCGAGTTTAGAGTACCTGTAACATCCAGGAAACGACGGGCAAATACACTTTCGCCAACGTCTACGAAAAGAAGAAAGGTATTTCGAGGGCAAATGGAATTTCATAATGGAATACAATAAAATATAAACTTTTCATCGTTTTAATTGCAAAAATCTTCCCTATTTTTTTGTAGACTATTTCGAAAGAAGAATCAAATGCCCTAGCATTAACTACTGAAATACCTCCATTCGTACCTGAACAACAACTTGCCGAAATATCTACTGCAGTGCCTGTAGAAACCACGGCGCAAGTGACGTTACCTACACTCGAGACAATAACAACTATTGTCGAGGACAATGAAGTAACGGTTGCATTGAGCAGACCAAAGAAAGGCAGAAGGAAAATAGTTTTCGACAGGAAGAATAATAAATTGTCTGCAGCTGTGATGAAAAAGCTTATTAACAATGTTGCATCTCATACCGGAGTGAGTGGGTCACAGTTAAATAAATACACGTACACTTGAAAATGATGAACGAACACAGTTTTGTTTGAACAATAATTTAAATACTTCGATGAATTACTAAAAAGATAACTATGATAATCAAAATATTAAAATACGAGGGTCATCCGAAAGGTAATGCGTACAGCGCATACGAGCAGCAGCTAACGCACAAACAACATTTTATATACAGTCGTTATCTAGCTGGCAAGCTCACGTATGTACTCGTTCATACGTAAAAGTGGTCGTTGTCGTTCTTTTGGTAACGAGAACCCATGCGGGGTAATCGCAGGTAATCGTTATCCTGACTTGAAGGCGTTGAGTATGGCCGAGATGAGCTGACGTATTAAAGAGCTCAACTTCAATAAAGAATTAACCGGTATTCGAGACTTACCCAAACGCTGGCAAGCAGTTATATAGATAGATCACCAAGAAGATTCATAAATTGAAGGGTTGCAAAAGCATTTTAAAATGAAATAAATTCTTTTTCATTTATGGGCATTTGTGCATTACTTTTGGGATGACCCTTGTATATATGTATCTTCAATTTTCTATATCGATGGTATTAGTTATCTTAAAATTATTTTTTCTAGCCATCACAAGTACGTACCACTTTACTCTCAGCGGCAGAGCTTCTAAATCGACCCTCGACGATTTTAAGATCAACCTCAAAAATTTCGCGCGCAACATGGGGACCAAAACTGACAGGTCTTTTCTCGCGACATCTCAATGTACATCGTGCAGCAGAAAATGAATTTTCAGATTTAGACATTGAGTTAACGCTAGTTGGTGGACATTGTAATATTTTTACCCTTTTTTTTATATCTATCAATAAAAAGATAAAAGTAGGTCCGCTTAATAACTCGTACGTTACTCAGCCAGTAAAACTGCAGCAACTGCTGTCGAGATAACCGTTCCTTCGAAGACGGAGGAGACGATACTTCCGGTTGATGACCATGAACCGCTATTGCCTCAAGAACGACCCGAAGCCTTGAGAAATCCAATTGTGAGATCTTGGGTATCGCTTCCGGATATTATTCGATTAGAAATAGAAATTAGGTACTTGCATACTGAAAATTTAACATTGAATAGAGTTGCATTCATTTAAAGTTTATTACGAAACAATCGAAACTGGGTAACTGTTTTTAGGGGAGCTCCCGAGATATTAGACAAACCGTTAAATGGAAAACGGCACGGGAGTGAACTCGAGCACACTAGTTCTTTGAGGTCAGTTTTATTCTTTCTATGTTTTTCATATATCACTTTCTTTTAGTGTATGAGATTTTTTATAACTTAATTTTTATTACAGTTTCAGCACACGTTTAACTAAAGCCGAGTTAAAAGTATTATTGGAAGTCCATTGGCGTCAGGGAACATGGGCGTATTTTAATGATATCATATCTCCAGCAAATTACAGCAAATTCGATGCTGTACGAACATTTCACTACTGCTTAGGTAGATATAATCGTAGCTAAACAATATTCTATTATGACTTTTAGCATTTTTTTATTTCTACAGAGATATTTTTAAGTTCTATCTTTCTTTTATTAATGCTTTGTATTTAATACAAATTTTAGAACTCCATGCAGAAAAACATATAATCTTGAAACAGGCTGTTTCCTTTGACAAAATTGTCATTGAAAAGTATCCCAATTATTCTTCAGAAAGCAGTGACGAGAGTACGCAGCTGTTGCAAATATCTCCTAATTAGAAAATTACGAAGCTATTCATCGTACAGATTTATTTTTCCAAACAAATTATATAAAAAGTTGTTATGTGTTTAGCGTGTAGTATACATATAGTACAAATACTTACTACAAATTAGTATTAAAATAATTAACTTGCCTGAATTATATCAACTTGAAACATGTGTACAATACAAATATTGCAATAATGGAGCGCATTTTTGATAAATTTACTTTATAAAAGAATAATTTCTCCTCGATATAAATGGTACACAGTATACATGTACTATGTACTACGACGAACACTGCCTATGCCTAGATGACAAACGTTATATTTATCTCTCGTTGCATATTAATGCGAAAGTAGCAAGCGTTAGTGATATTAATATAGAAAAAAAAACGTAAGATTTATACGTTCCATAACAAATGTTCATGTTCCATCTAATGAAATTCTATTAATCCGAGACTGTCGTGTTAGGTCTACGTTTCTTTATAAAAATAATTATGCACAACTCGTATAATGCATTGTAATAATACTTTTTATTACGCAAAGCCTAAAGTTTGTCAAAGTAACAGAAGCATTCCAAATATAGTAAAATTTTGTTTTGTTTGCGAGTTAGTTCATGCAGAACGTTTCAATACGTTCACCTTTAATACACATATTCCAATAAACGTACATGTTTGCAAAGAATCTAAACCTGTCAATTATAGAAGTAACATTGAGTTCTGTTACAATACTTCTTACAATGACATCTAAACAAACATACACATTTACTGAACGACATGCATTTTTCATGTTACACGCACGCACGCACGCACGCACGCACGCACGCACGCACGCACGCACACGCACACACATACACACATTGCTTAATTATTTGCGTCTTTAAAAATTTCGGTTCATTTCAAACCACTTATGTAAGCTTCATTCATTAGTCTGTTATTCTGAGAGACTTTTACTCGAAAATAACCAATGCAAGCAAAAAACTATATATTTGTTTTTTAAGGCGATCAAGTAGGTTTTAAACAATTTTTGTTGCCTGCTTTTCTGAATAAGTCAGTACCAATTGTACCAGATAAGCATCGATTACATATCTTTCAATCTTTCTCTTTAGGAATCTGTGCTATATACGTTTGCATTACTATTCACGAAGCCTCGCTAATCGTTGTGTAAGTTCATCCTGTTCCTGAGTGACAGTAGAGGTACCTATGCTTCCCAACTGTCCAGCTGGCAATTCCATATTCAATTCCAAACTGCAAAAAGTCGTATAATATTAATTATACTAATTTATTACTTTATATTAAATAGATACATTAAGTCTGGACAAATATTTACCCAGCTTCATCCGCAACTTGTTGTAACAATGAATCAACATCATTCTGTGGTACATTAGTAGTTGTAGTTTGAGACATTGCAGTCTCCATGTACGAACTTTGAACATCTAGATCTTCGAACTGACTCTCAAATTTATCCATTAGACCTAAAATTAAATTAATAAGTCAACAACTGTGACTTAACACACTACCGAGCGGTGACTTTCTGTGCAGAATGCTGTTCATGGATGGCGTTGTTACTTTCCAATTTAGGGAAAAGTGTGTAAACCGTACTGTTACACCATCGATGCCTTCATTTTTACCTGAAATTTTTTCTAAATTCATTGATTTCATTGCAGCATCCATTGCTTTAACCACTCCAGCCATTGACTGGGTGACTTTACGTGTGGTCAAAGCAGTTTGTACTCTGCTAGCTACTGCATCAACTCTTGCACTCATACGCAGATAATTTAATGCTTGATTGCGCTGACGAATTGCATTTTCTGCATGAATACGGGCACCTTCCATATTGCCCTTTTGAATGGCCTTTTTTATTTTAGCTTTTTCTACTTTCTCTTCTTTCTCACATTTCTTGGAGTTCCTCTCCAACTCTTTTACAGCAAACTTAAGATTAAATAAATTTTCTGTGAACTTAGTTAGGAAAACACTTGGCTCTCTTTATTTTGTTGATTGTACTTCTTGAATCTGATTGTTCACATAAATATCTTATACATCAATTATTTTTCTATAGCTTGTGTTAACATTAATAATCATGTTTATATAACGATAATATTCAAAAATATCATACAAAGAATCATATGAAATTAAAAAGATATTTATTTGCGAGTGCTTTTAAATTATAACATGCTAAAATCTAATCTAACCTTATTCCAAAAAGTGTCAAAGTTTTTAGCAATAAAATAAAGGAAGAAATTGCAATTTATCTGTAAAGCATCCAACTAGTATTCAGAAAAAAATTGTCAAATAAAGCAGAACTCAATGCTCAAATAATATCTACAAATCTGACTGCATATGAAAAATATTAAGATATCTTTAAATGATTCAGTCGTAACTAATAAGTTAGTTCAATAATGTTAATTATTGTATAAACAGACACATGCAATTAGTAATTCTTATATCAAACAATTGACGTTAAATAGAAATAAATAATTTAGAAAAAGGATACTTTCCATCTGAGAGACGGACATGGCTGATTGTTCGGCCCCCGTTGTGATGAAGTTAATGTAATTAACGTCTTAAGCGATACGACGATCTTTTTTTTTTCCAAAAAAAGAGACCAATAAATATTGGGTTTATGATTTGACGTGAGTCGATTGTGAGTCTATCTTTAGCTAACTGTCATGACAATCGCTGACATCAACAGGTATTGCTATACTATTTACGACTAAATGCAATCAGTTTAACACATTGCAGGTGACTGCGGTCAAGGCAGTATTCGTCAATGAGGTCAGTGATGATTACTAATTTTCCTTGATCTAGCATTAATGACAATTAATTCTTCTTAGATGGAAAAATTGAAAATAATATTTGGTGAATGAACTGCCGTACCGACTGAAAGGATCATAGATAATGGTACTGTAGATATGAAAATCGATTAGATTTCTCAAAGCACCGAAGAATAGTTGGCGCGGAAAAATGAGTATTTCTTAACAATTTTCATCTTACAAAATTGCTCCCAATTTGCTCCCATCGCAAATATTATATTTAATGAGATATTCGCAAATAAAAAATCAGAAATACTACTATTTCTTCGACCGGTGGTGCCACCCGTGGCAAATTGATGAAATTGCTAGCCAAATCATACCGACAGGCGTGTGAAAATTTCTAATGATGGAAAAATACGAATATCTCAGTAATTAAGCGTTTAAAATGAACGTCGTTAATCTCAAATTATTCCTGATGGCCTAATGTATCGATCCGATACTGTAGAACCCCAGAACTAGTAAAATTATTTATGTATGTCTGTATTAACGTAGCCCCTTATGGAGCGGCAATCTTAATAGCAACAAATTTCGATCGCATTTACACCGCTGAACGGACATCATTTTTCTTCGTCACGCATTTCATTCGAAGTTTAAACAACGTAGGTTAGTACTCTCTACTGGCTATGAAGCAGTATATACAAGAACATTGTTAAAATCACAATCGTTTGCAATGGTTGACACTGTATCTCGCCATGCGCACTCCGTTTAGTTCACTTTGGACAACTCTTCCAACGTTATGCTGACAGCTTCCGTGTTGATCAAGCACTCGATTTGTAGCTGAAAGAACGTAGATTAATCCCCTGTCATTAATAACAACAATAAACGACCAGAACGCTCTTAAAATCGCATTTTATCGCGGAATACCACTATTTTTTCGACCGGTGGCGCCACCCGTGGCAAATTGATGAAACTGCTAGCCAAATCATACCGACAGGTGAGTGAAAATTCCTAATGATGGAAAAATTCGAATATCTCAGTTATTATGCGCTTAAAATGAACGCCGTTAGTCTCAAATTATTCGTGAGGATCCCATGCATCGATCCTATCCTGCAGAACCCTTAACCGGAAGATTTATTTCTGTCAACATTAAATACATATACAATCAACACTGGTAGAAATAATTTGTCTAATTATGGGGTTCTGTTGCCTTCGGTCGACGCTTTGCATCGTGTGGAATAATTTAAGACTAGCAACCTTAACTTTGAGCGCCTAATCACTAAGATATTCGCGTTTTTCCCTCATTAGGAATTTTCACTCACCTGTCGGTATGATTTGGCTAGCAGTTTCACCAATTTGCCACGGGTGGCGCCACCGGTCGACAAAATAGTGGTATTCCGCGATAAAATGCGATTTTAAGAGCGTTCTGGTCGTTTATTGTTGTTATTAATGACAGGGGATTAATCTACGTTCTTTCAGCTACAAATCGAGTGCTTGATCAACACGGAAGCTGTCAGCATAACGTTGGAAGAGTTGTCCAAAGTGAACTAAACGGAGTGCGCATGGCGAGATACAGTGTCAACCATTGCAAACGATTGTGATTTTAACAATGTTCTTGTAATTACTGGTTCACAGCCGTTAGAGAGTACTAATCTAGGTTGTTTAAACTTCGAATCTAATGCGTGACGAAGAAAAATGGTGCCCGTTCAGCGGTGTAAATGCGATCGAAATTTGTTGTAATTAGGGTTGCCGCTCCGTAAGGGGCTGCGTTACTACAGTTATACATTAATAATTTTACTAGTTCTGGGGTTATATAGTATTGGGTCCCAGAAACAATTTGAGACTAATTACGTTCATTTTGAGTGCTTAATTACACCCAAGAATAGTTGGTTGAAAATATATTTTGCAGATAACAAATTTCTGATTTTTTATTTGCGAATATCTCATTCAATATATTATTTGCGGTAGGAGCAATTTTAGATTCCGAGGGAACAAATTGGGAGCAATTTTTTAAGATACAAGTTGTTAGGAAATACTAAAATTCCGCGCCAACTATTCTTCGGTTTTCAAAACACATGAGTTCAAAGTTTTCAAAGATGCAAACTACCAACGATAGATACACACATTTCTTTAACTATGTATTTGATGTATTAAATATAAAACATTAAGGAGAATCAAAATATTTATATGTGATCAGTAAACGAATGATATAAAACTGTTTTGTCAATATGTAATAACAGAGCAGGTAATATGTAAAGAAAATGAAACAGGCGGAAAAGTAATACTTTCGCAATAGGCTACCAAATTATCTAAATTGAATAGAAACAATTATTATACAACAGTTAATTACGTTACTTAAAAAATAATCCTGAGAAACGGAAAATGTTTTGAAGGAATATTAAATTTCTATGAGACTGATACAACAATTATATTTTCCATTGAACACTTTGCACATATTGCAGTCATTAGATGTGATGTTCCAAAATTCAAATTAAAAAATAATCATCTATGACCATGTTTAATCTATTTATCTATTACAGTTCTTTCCGTCCTACGCTATCTTAATCTAAGCTTAAAGCTGCAGATTTGAGTATTCTAGCTAATGTAAGCGTAATAGCTTATACTATACAATCATACAATAAAATGAAAAACCAAAGACTTAATTAGTACAGCAGAATGAAATGTTAATATGCACCATAGCACAAAGTTTAATGAGTATGTATATGTGTTACTATCACATCACTTATTGTGTTAATACAAGTTAATATAAAATTATGTACACTAAACAATGAGTAACTAGCGTTTTTTTAAATAAACGATATTAGTAATCTTATCTTTCCTTCAAGTTGCTCTAGAAGCAAAATGTTCTATAGGTCACAACATATTCTTTTCTATTCAGAACTTTGTTTATGTAGACTTTGAAATATAACAAATAATTAAATTGTTGTATAACTTGTAACGCCTAGTTGAACCTGCAATGAATGTTACATTCATTAATCATCTACAATACTTTGCATAGAAAAGTGTTCTCACTGAGTAGCCTGAAAACGAATTTTTTATGCACTGAAACATTCAGTTTAGCGCGTTTGATTCGCAGTTCTATTTCCTTCTACATATAAATCCTATCGTATTGAATTCGTTGTTATTACACATATTTACAATATAACATATAATCTGAAACAACACACCATACGTTAGACGGAATCTATGTTTCTACAACTAATTCGGTCGAGCAATTCTTCGAGCCTACAAAAATATGTGTCACATGCTATGGGAACAGTTCTTAGGAGAGAAGTAAATTCGATTGTCTAAATGATTATCCGTCTGATCGCGATACACGCAACCCGGCGCATTTCGTAATCTGTAAATACCCGAATAACAATTCAGATTATGCACTTGACAAAAAATAGAGCAGTCTAATATTTCTAAAATTTGAATTGCTTATAACTTATATTATGCTTCTAATTATGGTTTACACATTGTAAAATACATAAAAGTTTCACTGAAACTTCACTTCCAGATGATACAATAATTTAGCATAAAAAATAATTTGAACTTTTGATCATACAGTTTTCGAGGGATTCAAGGTTTGTTTGCGACAAAGATCGTATTATAATTTAACTGAAGTATACAATTTTATAGTTAGAGGGTTAAAAACGATACACAGCTCCACATTTAAATGAATTCACATTGGTCATATTTTCCCCTTTCCTTTTTAGAAACAGTTAAAATATGAACTTTTAGTGAAATAATTCAAGAATATAGAAACGGTTCAAATACACTGGAAACAACTAGGCGAAGTACCAGAATTGGATCATAATTTCAAAGATGACACAATTTTATAAAAACATTAATAAAAATTTTATAATCAGTACAATTTGTTATCTATAATTTCGTAAAGTCCATGTTTTTTTATCAAAATGAATTAAAACTTAATTTTCAGGAATTGAATGCTTTAAAAAAAAATTGTAAAATGGTTCGTTATGTATAAATGATTTCAATTTTTAATAGTTCAACCTTACTAAAGTAATGAATATTGATAAGTAAGCATACCAATGTGAAGACATTCAGTATTTGATTGACGAATTCCTTACTTAATAGTGATAGAAAACCCTGTTTAAAGTAGTTTATGGACTGCAGTGTACATTTAGAAACAGAGAAACCTTCAAACTATGAAAATAAAAATTATTGTACGTTCATACAACAATTTATTATAAACTTCTTGGTTCATTCTATTTGGTTTAATACTCTAGATTTCTTTTCATTCGTTATACAGTTTTCATATTCAATAACTCAAAAAATATTAGAAGTTTCTGTTCTCTTGCAGGAGTCACTCGTTATTTAATTACATTGTTATAAAACATCTATTAACAAGACGATCTGTAATTTTAAAAATTCTTCAGTAACAAACTATTTCAGTTAGTTTAACGTTAAAAAAAACTACTAAATAATTCATAATATACAAAAAAAAGGCTCGAAAAATTATTATACACAAATACGCCTTCGGTAATTATTAATGAAACATTGCATATATTCAAAAATTAATTCCTTAATTATCAAATATAGCATTACAAAACTAATAACCTTCTGTAGAATAAATATGTATGTTTAGAGTAATGTAAAGTAAATGACAGACGAAATAACAGTGCAGCATAGTTAAAAAATTGAAATTTCAAGTAATTGTAGGATTAATTATCAGTTATTTCATATCAAAATAAATAATAACCACTTAAATATCAATTAAATAATTAATAATTAAGTTAGTCTTTTATACCGCATGTCACAGCACCGATATAAATCACTGAAGTACTGCGAATTTGTCATGATGTGTAAAGAAATCTACATTTCTTTCTTTTTTTTTTTTAACTGTTATTACATTTTGTACACTCGTGAAAACCAAATGAATAAGTATCGTTTTAAACTCTTAATTGACTGCCAAATAATTGATAATACAATCTATTGACAATTAAATACCTATCTTAATTATTAATTATTTATTTGCATATGCTTGTAATTAATTACGCAATTAATTACCTATACAGTGACACTAAATTCGTTGTGTAATTAATTACATGAATTAATTAATAAGTCAACTGTTGGAAAATGGAAACCAGTCAGTCACAAAAATTTATTGACTTCATCGTTTGACTAATCGAGCAAGGACACTGTTACTGACATAATTAATGATTTAATTCGTCTACTAATTACCGGACAATAGTAAAATGATTTTACGACAAACAGAAAGCGTGAGACAAATTAACTCTAAATTTTAGTAATTCGTAATATTATTTTTCGAATTTCTTAGTCATATCATTTTTGCTCTGTTTTATCACAGGACGGCATGCACTTGTATCTAACATCATAGTTAATTTGTTCAGAAAGATAGGACATGTCGTCGTCATCTTTTTGAACATCCTCTTCGTGTTCCTCTTCTTTCTTCATCTCCTCTTCGTCATCATCGTTCCCTTCGTCTTCATCTTGTTCGAGTAGTTGTTTTCGAGCAAGCTGGACTACTTGCCATTCTCTATAATGATGTTTTCTTTTCGCTTCGAATGCTTTCCTCTTTTCTAAAATGATGGCAAATAAATCCATACTTTTCTCAAACTTTTAAATACTTCAATTTTTTTTTATCTGTGTTTATATTTCTTATTATTTCTTTAATATACTTTACTAACAAGCTTAGAAGTCTGTTGTAAATGTTAAAAACTTCATAGAGTGTAGGTATTATAGTGTACACAGTACACTGTACAGCAATTACAAATTCTTCATATGTGATCAATTACTTACCCCTTTCCTCGGGAGTTTCTTTGTCTTCTTCATCTTCGCTTGATTCTTCAAATATTTTTGGCTTACTGCTACCTGCCAACCTGTGAATATTAATTGAAAAGAAGTAGAACTCACTTCCAATTCAGGTAACATATAAACTCACAAATTCACTTGTAAAGTTTATTTCAAAAGTGTTGCCTTGAAATTTAGTTTTTCCATAGAAATAAACTCTTTTAAAGAAATTTTATTGGAAATGAAAAAAAGATAAGTATATACTATAAAATGACAAGCATAAGATTATATGTATACTGTTAGTTTAAAAAATGCTAGTATCAAATATTATAATTTTTTATGTATATTTTATTCAGCTCACATATCTTAAGTTCAGGTACGTTATTATGTAAAGTTAGTAAAAGAAGTTCACTAATTAACCACTACCCATAAGATTAGCAAAGTGATATTATACAAAGCAATAGCTTTAATATGAATTCATTAATTGCAATTCTTATCTTTTTGTATAACAGTGCATACTAACATTACTTGGGATATATTACATTACAAAAGTACAAAATACTGGTCAATATACATATATACATATTATTGACAAACTTACTTGGCTGCAACAGCAGTAGAATCTAATTGATCAAACTCGAATTCACCCTGCAGGCCTTCATAGTTGTACGGGGTTTTTGGTTCATCTATCTTCATGTGACCGTAATCTTTCTCTGCTGGATGCAATGTTGCTATTATGTTCATTTCATCCCATTTTGTTTCTTTTGGTGGTCTATGATAACAATCAGTACAGAGTATAATAAACTTAACTACAATGATATGCAATAAATTGAAATGGACTCTGTTTTCTTGAGCACGGTAAAATAAATGAATAATATTGTTAATTATAGTAGAATGAAATAAATTTTTCATATAACTGTTCAAAATTACTCTGACATTATATAATCCGATTGAAACTTTAGAATTTTCAAATTGCTTAACTAAGCTTCATAAGCATCCCTTAAAAGACTTATTGTACTTGTAAAGCTTCTTGAATGACAATTGTGATTTTTGTACTAATTACCTGAAACTGAAAATGAAAAGTATGACAGACAATGACTTAGGATCATAAAGTGGCATTAAAAGAGTACAAATTTAAGAAATTAATGTACTTAAAAGTGGTACACCTTGCAATTAACTTAACCTTAAAAAACAATTGCATGCTCTACCCCAGGTATGTATTATTTAAAGAAAAAAAAAAGAATAGTCTTTGTTTTATAATTCTTTGCAGCAATGTAAATGAAATTGTAACATCGTTGCAGAAACATAGATATATTTTGGAGAATGAATTAAGGATACTGACAAAATCTTTTACCTAGATATATCTGGATTATCAAAGCTGCTGGATGATTTTAAAATCCCTTTGGGAGGCCGTTTCGAAAGATTTTCTGCCATTTTGAGATGAATTGATTCACTGTTGATAATTATAAAACATAACGGTTCTCGGATATGTTAAATTTTCATCTCAACGTTTCCACTCAAATCGGAGAGCAATCAGGCTGACAATTGTTTACAAGTGTTGATAATTAACAACCTAAAAAATGTGTATTTAGTTTAGACCGAGAAATTACGGGCCGTGATTGGTGCCATATTGCACAACACATTATATACCGGAGAATGTTTCGGATACATTACTTTGTAACAATTTGACGCATTTAGAACGATCAACTAGAACGATCAAGTCCGTTCTTCGATGACTATAGTGAAGCAATAACAGATGAATCGTATTATACGTGTACATGAGCATTTTTCGTCATCCAATTAGTCGTTAACAAAGTTAAGAACTTTCTGTGACAGTGAAAAAAGGTCTATTTAGAATACTTTAGATATATGTATGCATGTGCTATTAAATAGACGCTTGAGATCACTTGAAATGTAAATCAAAATAGTTCACTAACAGTTCACTAATTGTAAAATTGTAAAGCGTAAAAGAATTATTTTATTACCAACACAAAGTTTCCAGAAATATTTTCTTCACTAAGTTACTAGTACATGTTTCCGAGGAATTTTATTACGCATTTAGCAAATTTTAATCATTTCTAATGTTGAATTAGTAATGATATTAATGTCATCAACACTTTATCTACCAGGAATAATGAGCTTTATTGATACTTACATAGTAGCCAAATATAATCTGTCGACTGTACATATGACAACAAATTTTATTTGAATTATTCTTATTGAAAGGAAAATTAATAGACTTTCTGGTAAAAGTGTTAAAATTATATCAAATGTTTTGCAATAATTTATAGGATCTTACGTGATATATTCGATATTTAATAAGTAGCATATATTTGAGTGTAATTGTATGCGTATCATGTTTTGTAGAACTAAATTGAGGACAAAAGATGAAAAAGGTGTAATCGTATTCCGTAGTTACTAATCGCCAGTGATTGTCAACTACGGAATGCTTGCCACCGACTAGGTATAGGATAGCCCTATCATCTTATGGGACTTCGTGTCTCATGTTCTGAAATACCGAGATGGCTCATTACAGTAAGGTATTCCCGCAAGGGAAATTTTAAGCCGCCAGCCAAAAGATAGATTTGATAGACTATTTATGAAGCTACATCTATTCTGAATTTATCTGTTACAAATATACAAATGTAAGGCAAAATATAAAAACGAATAAAACAAGAACATGTAAAAAGTAACATTAATAAAATGTTCATTAACAATGCATTTAGAATAAATTGTCTTGTAGTTAAGTGAAAAAATATATACTTTTCCGTTTCATGTTTCATGACTGTCATATTTATCCCTTAACCTTAAACTGAAGCATCGGATATTTTTATTCTCGTGAAATCATATAGATACACGTAATATGAATGGAATATATAACACTTCATTGGTGCTAATAATACTCAGAATTCATGCTTTATCGGTAACGTCGGATATTGACACTAAAATGGTAACAGGGCTACGTAGCCCTATGAACGTGGGACAGAAAAAAGCATTGGATGATAGGTCTATTATGTACCTAGTCGGTGGTTTGGCCTTACCAAAGTCCCTACGCAAGTTGAAATAAATTTCAGATTTCCCTCTATCGTTTCTAGTTGTGCAACATACCACAAGTGGCGTTGGAATTGGACCCACCATAACTAAGAGATACCTGTCTATAGTTATTTATGATGATGCCTCCTAAATGTTAATAAAATGGAAAATATTGGAAGAGCCTGAAAGAGCCTGAGCTCGAAGTTTAAATAAACATTTGTAGGTGAAACATACTTACGCCCGGTAATTAAATGTGCCCGGAAACTGATGTGATGTCGTCTGTATGTGATGGCGGGTAAAGAGTTAGTAGGCCATCAGCAGCAGTTTGTCGAAGAAATTAACTACGATGAAATTGAAACCGAGCAGGTACTTTAATTATGCAGTAATTTTCCTGACTCTTCGAAGAAATCGAATCTTAGTTTTTCTTATTATTTAATGGAATATTTACGAAACCGCTTCCTTTAAATACTTGCAATTCCTCTAATTTATCCTTTTCCACTAAAATTTTCTTTTTTAAAATATAACCTAAACAATTTCTGGAGACTTTTAGAGCCAATTGTTCATGTTGACGACGTCCACTTGGACTTTCTATATTATATATTGTTACGATAATATTTTTACGTAATCTTTTTTATTGAAAATCTTGCTAACGAAACAAGTTGTGATATATGTAAAATTAACACTACGTAAATAACGTTGTCTATGTAAAATTAGAATGTACAAAAACGTTTATTATTACATAAATTTAAATTATGATTCCTTTTCATTTCTCTTCACAGTTCCATAGGTGATTTTCGTAATAGCTTCGTTTTCTTAATGTTGCGTATTTAATTGTTAATTATTCAGGAAAATATTATCAACGAATGAACTTTGATTAATTCTAATATAAACACTTCTGTATTTTAATACTTTAAAATTAACAACTTTTTTTTCAGGTAGTTGGGAAAGGTTCTTTCGGTGTAGTATGGAAAGGAAAATGGAAGGGGCAATATGTTGCTGTAAAGTACATTAATTCAGAAGGTGAGAAGAAAGCCTTCACAGTAGAAGTTATGCAATTATCAAGGGTTGTGCATCCTAATATTGTAAAATTATATGGAGCATGTACCAAAAATCCAGTTTGTTTGGTTATGGAATATGCAGAAGGAGGATCCTTGTACAATGGTATGTCTCCTACCTTATCTCTTTTATTATACTTAATAAGCATAAATCCCAGCACCTGTTTACTATTTCATTTCTGTCTTGCAGTGTTACATTGTAATCCGCAGCCACGATATACTGCAGGTCATGCAATGAGTTGGGCTTTGCAATGTGCACGTGGTGTTGCATATCTTCACAATATGAAACCAAAGCCTCTGATTCATAGGTAAATTAACATTTGAATATGTATAGCTGTTGATGTGAAAATTGAACGTTTAAGTGTAAGAATCATTGGATACCATTTATATTGTTTTCTAGGGACTTAAAGCCACCTAATCTATTATTAGTAATGGGTGGACAAACTCTTAAAATTTGTGACTTTGGTACAGCTTGTGATCTGAATACGTACATGACAAACAATAAAGGTTCTGCTGCTTGGATGGCTCCAGAAGTATTCGAAGGTTCTAAGTATACAGAGAAGTGTGATGTATTCAGTTGGGGTGTTATTCTGTGGGAGATACTGTCAAGAAAGAAACCATTCGATGAGATCGGTGGTTCGGCGTACAGAATAATGTGGGCGGTGCATGTGGGCCAGAGACCCCCTTTAATTGAAGGTTGCCCGAAACCTATTGAAGATCTCTTGACTAGGTACTTATTATTATTGATAGCAATTTATACACAGTTCCATGCAATAGTGTTTTGAGGAAATGGTCAAAATAAAGTCGTCGTTTTTTCTTTTTTTTTTTTTTAAGATACTATCATTCGATTAAAGTATTTTACATAACACTTTGAAATTGAAAAGAAATATCTTACATTTAAGTATATAGAATATAGACATAAGGGAACAACACTTTATATGCATACATTAATAGGCATTACATTTCAGAGTGAATGCATGTACGAAACCTGAACTTCTTGTTTGACTCAGAGTTCAGTGATTAAATTTTATTAGTCTACATTGTGGTGGTATAGTTCATCTGTCAGTGGTGTTAATAATAAGTTTGACACTAGGATAATGGACAGGAATAGAAACATATGTGTTTCGTGATTCTTATTTTCATCAACATAGGCACGCATGCAAAAAGAATAAAAATAGGTAAATAGATACAGAAATGTACAATTGATCAAGTAAATTAAGAAACACCTATAGAAACAGACATGCGTAAAAGAGACGATATATTAATTACATATTATTATGATTATTCATAAAACATAAGCATAATATAATGTAGTAAATTGCATTTTTTCAAAATTTTCTTACTAAACTTTTATCAAATGCTAGTGTGTTCGAGTATAGTAGTTGGTTCTTTGATATAGTTTCTTCTGCAGTCTTGCATCCTCTTCACACAGTTCGCAACTTCGCTTATCACTGGTTCTGTTTAAATCAGTGTACAAGACCTTTACAACTTTTACACATACTGTGCCCACGTCGTTATTAATGAAATATTCTAGTACATTCTAAAAGGGACGAATATTTTTCTTCGCTAACAGAAGTGATCTACAATTGGAATTATTCTTCGCAGCGGAACAAACATTAGGAAATGGAAAATCTTTGTTGATAATCTTAACGCGTTTTCTATTTTGTCCGCAAGGTATCATTGTGAAGATTTCATTCGCTCCGAGATTGTTCTGCATCCTTTATTTAGGGCTTTTCATAAATTTCTTCTTATGAATTTTAGGTTTTATCCTAGGTGAGGGTGAAGATTGGGGCACATAGTTCATCATAAAGTATTCATTAAAGAAATGTGGGGTCTTTGTAGCAACTCTGGATTCTCCTTTGGGACAGCGATTCACTCTTACATCCTCTTCGATGTTTAGGCACTGGGAGCAAAGTTTAGTGGTAAGTGAAATTGCCTTCAAATGATACTTCTCCTTTATGGATTCCGTTTAGTCCAATGATTACTTTCCCTTTCGTTTTTCTCTTGACGATCGAACGTTAGAAGGAATGACATTTTTTTTCAAATTGTTATCCATGTCAGCGTAAGCAGATTTGTCGCGAAAATTTTGATGACGGCTCCCAGTTAGTTTTTCTTGCGAACTCTAAAATGATGGAAGGGAAAGTGTTGTAACCAGGAAGAAGGTGAAAAATATTTTAAAGATGAATAAATCAGGCAAATGATTATGCCAGGTGTATTGTTCAGATAAAACAGTAGACAGTCGACAATAGTTTCTATGAAAATAGTCACTATCAGTGTATTGAAGTATGGTACTTTATCCACCAATAATTTTATTCTTATTCTTATGAATAATTCTCGAAATTGAAAAATATGTATGGCTATGAAAACATGTATAAGGATTATATATTTCATATACACAGTATTATACCATTATCGTATAAGTTCTAATACTAAATAATTTAATAAATCTTATGCAGACAGTTGTCAGTAAGTTCACATACTTCATGAATGATTTTCAGAATAGAGTTGATATATTTTTTCATATTTCAGGGATTTTACTGTTTCAGGTTTATTTGTATTTCATTAATTACACTCAATTATGAACTATACTAACGCAATGTGTACAATTATTAAATGTGTTGTACGTTAAATTATAATCGGATGTACATTTATAGTCTAAATAGCAAAATATATTGATAAGTTCGAATAAAATTTTTTTACAATTTGTTTTTAGCCAGTGAAAAAAAGTCGCGTTTTGTTTTTTCAGGTGTTGGCACAAATCTCCCGAAGAAAGACCGTCAATGGATCATGTTGTAGAAATAATGACAACACTTTCACAATTTTTCAGTGGCCACTTGGAACCTGTTGACTATTCTACTAGTATGTATACCTTTAATTTCAAACTGTTAAGAATCTGTCGACAACGTATTAACGATTTATCCAATATATAAGAATCGTATTGCAATGAGTGTTTATTATAACGTAGGTGTCGAGTCCGAGGAAGTCAACGAAAACCATGCTCCTAAAGATGATACTTTAGATGTGACTGATATTTTGGATTCTCAAGTGAATGGATACACTCCTAATGGTACAATCAGAGCTACTGGTACCAAAGAAACATCGGAAGTTCCGAATCGAAAAGATAATTTACCGAATCCCTTCTGCGATTTCAGAGATGGTGTTTGTAAAAGTAACAATTCACCAAAGAGTACAACAAATAAGAAACTCCAAAACAAAAATTTTACACCACTTCATATCGAATGCGATCAGGTTGGTACCGTTTACAATTTAACTACATTAATTTACTATATACACATATATGAATGAATAAATTAATATTTTATCGTTCGTTAAAAGCTAATATTATATCAATATGCATTTATATATCCATTCTCATGATATATGTTTACATATTGATTTTTTAACATATGGTTTTGTATTTGTGTTTACAGGATGCTTGGGAATTACCCAGTTCTGATCCACCACTGGACTCGCCCGTTCTGAAAGCAAAGAATACTGACCACAGTAAGTACATAATTAGTCTTAAAGTATTTGAATTGAGAAGGAAATTCGAATTTTATTGCTGTAACACTCTAATTAACAATACTTTAAGTGATTTTATTTTCGTCGCCTAAATACCTGTTTCACGATTATATCGTTGAAATTATTGTAAGTAGATAGTTAGCAAATAATTTTTCTATTAAAATATTGTTTTTTTAAAATGCTGTTTTCATACTACTATTATTATAAGTATATTATAACTATATAGTATACATATACTAGACCAATTATACTTTATTATTGAATTGTTTTTTCTTTACACATTGCCGTAGATGCAACACAGAAGAAACAATTAAATTGTTATTTATTGACGAAATCATGGTTATATAGCTACCGACGAAGGGGAACTCGTTTGAGGCAAGAGCTTCGAATTTGTGACTCATCGCGATAGTACTCTAATCCCAAAATAACGTTCCTCGTATGTTCCACAAAACCTTGCTTACCAGCACGGAATGCGTGTGCCTTAGACATATTGTCGCCATCTAAAAGCTTCTTCGAATAATTAATACCAACGGGTACAATTACTTTTATGATATTATACTTCTTTACATAAAATGCACTTTGTATGTTATTTTCTGATAAACACAAAAGAATATCTAATTAATATTAATGTAATTACAAATAAAATATAATTTCATATTTTTTACCTCTATTTTGAAAATCTTTATCAAACGTACAAACAGTATTTTTAACTTATTTAGTCGACTCGTGTAGCACTTATAATAAATAATTACTATTATAAAAAAATACACTTATAATAAAATATTACTATAAAAACACCTTAAACAAATAGATGGAAGTTACAATAGAAGCAGTGAAAGATACTCTAAAGAAATTCTAAATTGTTCATTCTATTGTTTCATTCTAAAATGATAATAACGGATAACATTTTTAAATTAACAATTTCATTGACCAATAATTTATTGTCAATATATGAAAATGCATGCATTAACTTTCAATTATTTATATGTCTAGCTACTGTTATGTATACATATATTCACTTTCATTCAATTCACGTTGACACTGTCCTCGTTCATTTGGATATTACATATAAACATACCTCTTTTGCTTTTCTCTGTGTGAAGATGATGTATAAATATGGTTTTTGTAAAAAAGTTAGAACATGCCACCTGGTGGCCTGCAGAGATTTTCCCATGACGAATTCCTTTGGAGTTCGTCGATCGGCGAAATCTACCCTGGCAAAGGGCCCGCGAAAACAGTCACATTGTGCCGACTATACTAAATTTAACTTGTCGACTAATCGCCGGAACTTGTTCTTGATTGACACCTATCGACGGTTATAAAGGTCGCACTCTGAAAAAAGCTCTTGAATAGCAAAAGAAACAAAACAGTAAATAAGAACAACAGCAAAAAGAAATCCACATAGATCCATGTCTCACTGAATGATATCGTACACCAAATTAGAAAAGTAATAATATAATATATCAAAACTAGTTTTTTTTAAACAAAAGAAACGTCGAATAATATTATGTTCTAAACTGTAATAACTGAACAACACGAAAAATGATCAAATGAAGTTATGCTACAGTCTGAAGGTGACAGTAATTGGGATATCTACCCTAGTTAATGTTACAATTAAATCTTTGGAACAGCGTGCCTTGATAAATGCGATAAAGTAATTCATAACAAGCATGTATCAAAATTGACCTTGCACCTGAGTTATAAGGATTTTATATTTCACTCGGTTGTTTATTCTGAACGGATTTTTCTATTATTATCCTCGTGTTCTCAATTACCCTTTCATTTTAACAACTTCTACAATTGTGTGTCAGTCCATGACAAGAGTGCTCAAATTCTTACAAACTTCCAAATATGGTCGAAATACCCTTCAATCTATGTTCCATGGGGGGATATACTATCTTACTATATTCTTTACTATATTTTTATAGGGTACTAATTTTTTAGGGGATTTATTACATTCTTTACCATTCACGTATATGGTACGTTTGACGTTAATTACCGTCCAATTAAAGGAACGTTTATTTTCCATTTCTTATATTACTATTTTCTCACCAATCTGAATTTAAAAGTGTTCTAGAATCGCTGTATGTTTTATTCTCTATTGTTTCCAAGATATACGTCTAGGATGCATGGGTAACAGATCTTATTCGGTCGCCAGTGAATACTTCAGCGATTGTTCACCACGAAGAATCCAAATTTCGACCTAATCCACAGTCCCTGAGGATGAATTAAGAGCCGAAGAACCGTATTTTCTTCTTGGCTCGTGCGCTCGCCACGTCCTGTCTCTAGGTGGGGGGATACCTCGAAGCAGGTGTGGCTGACTCACCAGGCCCAATATAGACGCACGTTTGTTTAGTGCTCTCCCGACCCACCACCAAGAACGACGGTCTTTCCTCTTCTTTCGTCTTCTCTCCTCTTCTTCTTCTTCTTCTTCTTCTTCTTCTTCTTCTTCTTCTTCTTCTCCTTCTTCTTCTTCTTCTCCTTCTTCTTCTTCTTCTTCTTCTTCTTCTTCTTCTTTTTCAATTTTACTTCCCCCTATTATCTTCGTTATAGAAAACCACGAATTTTCACAAAAAAAAATCTGTGTCGGTCACCCCATTTCCGGCTGTTGTTGTCCGATTGCGGTCATCTTCTTGAAAATTTTGTTGTGGACCACGGTGTGTGTGATACCCTTGATGTGAGAATCCCCGTTTGATTTGATATATTATGAGCGAAGCCTCGATAGGCTCCAGTGTTTGGAAATGTGCGAGGAATACCCAAACATCGTCACCATGGACACCCTGAAGCGGTGCTGGGTCCTGTTGCGTTAGTACTTTTTGCCTGTCTCTTTTTTCCACTGTCAGGACAGATGGGGGTGTCTCGAGGGGGATAGTGGGATGGAATTCACAACCAGCCATCCAATCTTTGGCCAAAATCGTGCGTGATTACGTTGGAAGAAAAAGTTTTGTGATTGGAATGAAAGTTTTGTTATGAAATCTGAATGAATATCTTGCTACGGTAACTGAAGAATGAAGGATCATTGTATGATCAAAGAAAGGGTACCTCTAGACTCAATCCTTATGTTACTAAGCTTTCCTTCTGATACTGTACAGTACTGGAATTTTATAGAGAATTGTGCATTTAACGTTTGTCACAACACGTTTTGTTTTGTCTAGAAGGCACACATGATTCATATTGTGTCAGGGGGTATCATTGTTAATGGTATACCTATTCCATAAGTTCTTGACATTTGCAGGTCATGAGGCCAAGTTCTTGAAGAGCCAAAAGTTTTCGATTTTGAGTATGCTAATCAGAATTCGTTATTATTGGTTATCAGGTAACAGCACAACGAACGAAGATCTGGACAATGTTTACCGTCTGTTGGACGCAGATTTGAGGCCACTGACGCCGGATCAGACTTGCGAGAGATCGAAGGAAATTTTCGAAGAGCACAAACAGCTTGCACAGGAGTATCTAAAAGTTCAGACGGAAATAGCTCTTTTGGGGCAACACAGAAACGAAATGCTGAAAAATTTAACTATAGACAGCTTGACGCAGCAAGAACTTCGAAAGCTCGAAGACGAGAAGGTAGGCTAATCTAATATGTATTGCTTGATTTACCGAATAGCCTAGCAAATTTTTGAATTGAACATAATAAGAGTTTTTTCATTGCAGGAATCTTTGATAAAGTTGTATCGAAATTTAAAACGGCAACTAGAAATCATGAAGAACCAAAGAATGAATAATGCCCTGAATGCTCAAACGATGGGTCCTGCGGTCTCAGGGAACAATGGATGGTTTGTGATACCTTGTCAAGATCCCTCGAGGCACTCCTGAATATATCCACATGATGTCGTTATGCATATACTTATAAAAGAAATAAAATTCTTCACCTTCTTTTTTTTTACATTCGATGAGAAACGTGTAAGACCGATCATCTGTGAATACAATACGGAGTTGATTCTAAAAGAAAGTAAGATGAATTGACGTGTTAAAGAAAGAAATTGTTAGATTGCAGTAAAGATGCTCGAACGCGTTCCAAATCAGCACGGAACTACTGCTCTTTTTTGCATATTTGCAGAGACAATTTTTACAAAGTGTCTCAAGTTTTTATTTTAATAAATATCTTGTGGAAAATAGCCTTTCTTAATTTGTCCGTTTTCGTCGCACATATTCCAAATCTCTGAATAAATTTGTTCAGGCTAATGACACATAAGCGAAATTTTGGGACATATTTTTTAAGATATTTTCGGAAATGTTCCTCTTTTTTTTGCAGTGTTTCAAAATGTATCTTTAACTGCTTACAAATATTGTGCTTCAATGTAAGTTGCCCCGTAAATGAAACAAGTAGCATAATGGCGCTTGCGTGTCTCCTTGTGACTGGTATTGCACACATTTAGGGACAAACCAGGTCAAACACATGGAAATAGTATTTTACGCAATAACTGACAATTTAGTACCATGATTGCATAATTGGTTGTTTATAATAGTGATAGTACCCAAAATTACTTAACTATCTAATTAATTACACTTAATTATATATGTATAATGGTTAACAACGATAAATAATTAAGGATGTATCTTATTATTGTACTATTTAATTACTACTTGCTGACTATTCATTCTCGTCATTGAAGATTAATTTGTACAGTCATTTAAGTATTTGATAACTGGATATAATTGTAAAATATTAATAATTATATTACTTTGCATTGTATAATCACACCTCAACTACGCATAATAGAATTCATTCTCTTTATAATAGATTTGTTACGGATTGACGCTATACTTAACAAAATTGTTATGTACCTCTATTAATTAAAAGCGAGTATAACTGAAGCACTTGAATTTCTGTCATCTGTTTTCAATAAATGAGTTTTTTTTATTTTGTAAATTGTTGTTAATGGAAATGCCTACTGTCATAAATCGAATGTTAAATAAAAATCGCCGTATCATATTACATCATTTTCATTGTCCCCATTAAAAGATTTAATTATCATTACCCAACCGTTAACTGGAACTAAGTAAATTACCATATCTGTGTGCAGATACGCTATTCACTGTGGTCGAATTGGTTTTCACACTTTTCACTGTCGCCCGTGTCTGACCATAGACTTCACATTCTACTTCGTCGTACCGTCGATTCGATGTCTATACTACTACTTATTCTCGTCACCATTCATCTGTAAAACTTAATGTCAACGATTTGAACGTTAATAATATTAAGAAAGCACGGTTCTTTCTAGCCAGTAGAATTCGAAAAAAAAATAAGAAAACGTATACGGTGTACTATTTAACTTTCAAACGCAGCTTTATGAAATTATGTTGCCCAGAACTGAGTTGCAGTAACACGGGAATCGAAAAGCGTCTAACAAATTAGAAAGTATATTCGAAGGATCTCATCTCATCTCATCTCATCTCACCTCAACAGATCGATAAAAGTAACAAATTTATGTTTAATTAAAGGGCGACAGTAATCTAAGAAATTTAAAATCATTAAAATGCTACAACAAGTGTACATGTATTGTGTACTCATTGTTCAGATCATTACCATATTATTAATCGTATTTCGAACACTGCGTGACCACCACGCCAGTCATCTCCGCAAATGTTACCTAACAATCATATTTAGAATATTGCAATTATCACTGTTTAATAAAATTGACCGTTTCTTTGTAATAATTCATCGGCGCGATCACGCGGTGACCACCACCACACCGATACACCATTCACCGATTTCGGTATATCAAACAACCATACAGAAATTCTCGAAATAAAACACATAATTTGTAACCGAAATCCCTTATTTATATTTCGATTCTAGCAATTAGCATACGTTCACTATACATATGTATGTCCGAAAGGATAAAAAAAAAACAGGTATCTAAGCCAATTGGAAAATAAGGTGTAGGCGACGCAATGAGCGATTAGGGAGACAACAACAACGGGTCCTCGATACAGATAATACGGAAAAAACATGAAAGGGTAGGATGCGCGCGCAGCAGTGGTACGCGCATGGTGCACGGAGGTAGAGCGGCGAGGGGGATCGGAACGGAAGCTCGCGTAGATAGGAAAGGGTGCAGTCGCCTCAGACGTTTGCTTGATCCTGCCACTTCAGCGTCGGACCTTCCCTTTAAGCTTTTTCCGTTCGTTCGTTCGGTTCTCAACCTTCGATTTTCTCCCCATTTTCGAGCTAACCGCGATGGCCCTCGACGCCAACGAGAAGAGCTACATCCTGGACGCGAGGAACACCTACGAGGACGTGAGTAAACATTCCGGAAAACACACACAAAACTTACACACTCGTCCTTTGGCCCGCAGGGATACGATCGGTGCCACAGTATCACTTCCTGCGTATATTACTGTGCTCTTCGACCAACTCGGGCTAGTGTCTGTTTTCTTCAGCAGGTAGGGGGGAGTATACGAATGGGATAATTCGATTACCGGGCGATATAGGGTTTTACATGATCGAAGTGATTGTCGATGGATACGGTGCGATCGGATGAGCTGATCAGTCCCGTTTCGTTCTTGGCGCGGGTTGATTAGATCGCGAACGGTGATTAGTGCGGCGAGGTATGTAATGAGGCCGAGTGTGTTGCTCGCGTTGGAATTTCATGAACGTGATAATTACGGGATCGGAGGGGGGAAGAGGATCGGTAAACGAAGAATCTAGTCTTTTGCCGTTCGTGCTTTACCTATGTTTTTTATTGAAACATTTGAAAATGTATTAAAGGGAGTTTACACATTTTATGATTTTCCGGAGTTTATCCGCAAGATTCGACAAATTTTATGGTGGGTTTACACAACGACGCGTATTAAGTAATGGGGCAACGAGTTGAGAAACTTGAAGGGTTTCCACGGTGTGTACTTTTGAAAGTTATAATTGTCTTGAGTGAGTAGGGGCGGGGGGGATACTGGAAAGAACATTGTCTCGTGTGTCTAATGGATATTATTGTAACACAGAAGAAAAATCTATAACTCATCGTACCGTGTATACATATAGGGATGTCCTCTACCTATGCGTTTCTATCTCTCGCCTTTTTCTCATAGATTCGAATTGGTTCACGTACTATTATCGTGAATCGAACGGATTATAAATATTCTTAGGTATTCACCTTATTCTAAGTGCTTCGTGTCGTTGTCTCGCTTATCGTAAGAATTCGTTAAAAAATTATCAAATGGCAACGATAAAAAAAGAGAAAACCTTTTTCTTAAACGACAAACTGTTATTCTTTTGTCGAACGATAGGACATGGAATAAGAGTTTGGTCGTTTTCGCGCGAGTAGATTATTATTAACGTAGAGTAATATTTCGATTGTATTTAATGTACATATTTGACGCGTGCAAGAACAGTCACATTCGTTTAATGAGATTCTTGTACTTGTGTGTGTGTGTGTGTGTGTTCGTGTTCTCGTTGAATTTACAATTCAAAAATAAAAAAATAAATATTTATAAGCGTGGTGTAGTATCTATATGTGGGCAAATCAGATACGTACGATGATTGGAAAGCGGAGTAATTTGCATTTTTATATCTGTGACAGGGAAATCTTCAATTATAGGACACCATAAACGAGCCTTTGTAAATACGTGGGGGCGGGGGGAAATAGTAGAGTTTGAATCGAGCAATAGAAATATGTATGTAAATGGTACCTGAACATCTAAAAATATTTAAAGTATTAAATATTTCAAGTATGCCGTGGAATGTGGAAAATAGAATTCCTTTATTTCTGAATGTTGTTATAATATTTATAAAAATATAAAGAAATTATTAAGATTTACATTTTTTATACGATATAAATATATTTCGAAGAAATATGAAAAATATCTTTCGAGGGAAATCTAGAGGATATGGTTGTGATTACAAAGAATTTACGATATTATTGTAAATGTTATCCGGAGAATTGGGTTGATAGTGTGGAGGTTAAAATTACTGTTAACATTGATTCTAAATAGGGCGGCAGTCTAGGCTCAGAGGAATCTTACGATGATATGAGACAATTAGTCGGGGTAAGAGACAATTAATTAACTAATTAGAGGCCGCGATTTGCTGGCATGAGTCTGTGTTATACCGGCGTTGCCACGAAGCACGGTTGCATGACTTAATATTATAATTGAGATTCGTGAGTTTTTCTTTCTAATCGTTTTGTTGTATCTCGCATTGTTTATTTTCATTCCTGAAAAATAAGTATTCAGAATCGTTTCATCTGCGATAAATATTGAATATTTCGAATTGAAGAGACGAAAATTTAATTTTTGTAATATTACTCTTTTATTTGCAAGCATCTGGCACAAATAGCACTAACGCAAATTTTGCAGACGTAAGACAAGCTTTTGTTATTCTTCAATAGATTTCTTTTATATTATATCTACATTAAGTCTATGTACGCTTCGCAATGATTTAGAAATTCTAAATACAATATCCAGTTGCACATTAAACATTTTTCGCTTTATTGTGATTATAAAATTGCACGAATGTAATGTATTGTAGCGATAATATACAAGAAAATATGTATAACTTTGTTACGACTAGACTGTGAATGTTTATGAAGAATTGATAAATATTTAGTAACATTTCCATTTTATTAGGTGTATGCAAAATTAATGACCGACAAATGTGAGTAGTCACCATTTTGCTTGTATTTTTTTTCATCTAGGGGGAATTCCATTTTTTTCAAAACCAGCAAAAATTGTAAAATTTGTTCCATTGTAGTAATAAAAAAAACTTTCGACTCGTTTCGAACACCACCATTACATTTGCAAACACTTAATGTTTTTGAAAACACAAATTCGAATTTAATCTCCATTTTCACGAATTACTACCTCGAAAACGGTAAACACCCGCAGTCTGCTAATTACATCCGGAGCCTAGAAGATCTTTAAACACAATCGTATAGCTTTAAATCTGTGAGTCTCGAGGGATTGCGTTTACCTTTTTCTATTACAGCGGACCGCGATGTGTTAACCCGTGTGTTTTTTCATTACCTATACACATATGTATACATTACACGTGTAACGCTGTTCAACGTGTAAAATACCTCATAACTGTCAATAAACGGGTCAGACAGATCTTTATGAGCTGAATACGAATCTGCTAACCATTTTTTTCCCAGCATATTCTGTTTTTGAAAAAAATTAATATTAAAGAAATTACGAATTTTCAAATTTCGAGGTCTCTTGTATTTTTAATAATTCTCTGGACTCTACCGAACAAAATGATGTAAATTTTTATTATATTATAGCCATTTAAATATATTTAAATAATGATCGAAGGGAAAAGGACACCGAAAACGCAACAATGTTTGTTGATATTCGTGAATTTTTAAATTCAAAAACTAACCATAGCACGCGATAAAGCAAACGTTTCTTCTAAGGAGGCTGTCGAGAAAAGTTACAAAATCTGTTTTGTTTTCAATTGAGAAGTGAAATAGTTAAGCAAAAGACGCGGCGGCAAGGCGATCATCGCGAGCCGCGTCGTCATTGAGTAGGTACTTACCACTGTTGCCGCCGCGTGTTTTCCCGAACCATTCCGTTTCTCTATGGAAAACAAAACAAATTTGGCAACTTTTCTTGACATCTTCCTTAGCAGAAAAATTAAAAAATTAGAAATTAGTTTTTTAAAGAAATTGAAGAATATCAGAAAAAATTTATACGTTGTCGGTGTCCTTTTCACTTTGATCATTATTTAAACATATTTAGATGTCTACATATGTATATAATAACAATTTCGATCATTTCGTTCGCGAGAGTCCAGAGACTTATTTTGATGTGAAAAGCAACTGATGAGCAACTATTACTATAAAAGCATAACACACCTCCAAAGTTGAAAATTGCCATTTTTTTAAAAATGGATTTTTTAAAAACTGTGCGTCCTGGGGAAAAAAGTTTTCAGATTCGTATTCTGCTCGCAATGATCCATCAGATATGCCTATTAACGGTTATGAGGTAGGAGAAATAGTTGAAATTCGTTGAACTTGGTTGAATATGTAACATAACATCGTAAATCGATCGCCGCCGGTGCGTTCTGTGTTGTGTCGGTTTATCATTAACGTTCCGATTTTCCGCGAACCGTTTTCTTATCTGCAGACATAAAAATCGTATATCTGATTCCGTAGGAGAAGAAGGAAGAATCCGGGAAATTCAATAGTCTACCCTTGGCCAGTTTTAATTTCATCAATTCCATTATCGGCAGCGGTGTCATTGGTAATTTTCATCATGTGGTTTAAATACTCGAAAAACGCCGAAATTATGTTCCACGCGGAACAAAAAACAGATCCTGATGCCTTCAAATTACTCTTTTTTAACGATCGAATATTAACATATCTACATATGTACAATAGATAGCAGGTGATTGTCGATAATCGTCTTCGAGGAAAGTGAACTTAACGAAGAACTATATCGTAGATTATAGTTACTTGATGACTCAACCCGATATAATACTAGTCGGTTTTTGTTTTAAGTGATACAACACCACTTTTTTGTTATTTCGAGATATTCAATGTTACGCATTTAACCACATTTAAAACGCTGATAAGCATGTTTTTGTGACCGTTGGAATGTTCTTCCAGTAGAAAACAGTGTATTTGTTAACCGGCACTAAACTTGTATCAATTAGAAAGAAAAAAACAAACTTATACGGAATTTAACAGTCGAACGTCTTTCGACGAATTCACGATAATACTGCAGAATATGTATTGACTTTTTTCATAATAAATATATGTATACATATAAAAAGAAGACATCCATCTGTAGCTGAAACTAGCTATTGTATAACTAATTTTTTTTTACTGATTTAATGAAACTCATCTTGGTTAGTGGTTATTTTATCTTGTTGTTATCTTACTCTATTCAGAAGGAAAGAGGCATTACGAAACGTAGACACTTGTCTCGAAGAATTGTGACGATCGATCGCAGAGCGTGTTAAATGGAACAGAAACGAAGATAATTTCGACGTTTTATACATAATAATAATTTTATAGTTATAATTACTATTTTAAGTAATAGTGATTATAATCTTGTATCTTCTAAAGGTCGATGAATATTGTAACGAACAACAATTTTTAGGGATACCGTACGCTCTCCATCAAGCCGGATTCGGTCTTGGCATAGCGTTATTGATAGCGGTAGCCGGCCTGACTGATTATTCCTTAATTTTGATGGTCAGAAGCGGTCACATCTGCGGGGAGATGAGTTACCAAGGCTTGATGAGGGCCAGCTTCGGTCGCACCGGATTTTATATTCTCACCACTCTGCAGTTTATTTACCCATTCATAGGTAACCACGTGTGTTCTTTTCATGTCGCTTTTATCCCCTTTCCAGACTGACGGGACAAATATACTACGCCAGATAATTTTTACCTATGTCCGTTGAGCTGTATAAGTACCTACACGCATATTGTATGTATACTCTCGAATTCAATTATATGTATTTAACTTTATAAATAAAATTTACATAGGAAACAATGTATTAGATGTTCAGCAGCCATGGTGAAAAAACGGAACTCAGAAATGTAGGTTCGAGATATATTGTATACATATGTTGAGTTGGACACCCTGTAAAGGATGTGTCATTTAAGGGTGTGACCCCCCGAATATTTTTTTTATTTGTAAAAAAGGAAAAAATATTTTACACCATTCAAATAGAATTCTCATTTAATTTCGTAGAAATAAAATTAGTCTATCAGAATTATCGAAACGTTCTGCGCGTTTTCTGTGCCCGTTTAATTAACCACTGTTACAATACGTTTACATTCTTCGTTTACTTCGATTCTTTCCAATCGTTAACGTCGTTTCCATTATGACACTGACATAAAAGAAACCCATTTATATCGAGAAATTTTACTAAGAATCGCATTTTTAATTAAATTGTCACAGAAAACGAAAAAACAGCAAGAGGAGTTAAAATTAACTCGTGACTAATGTTAAAAAATATTGCCACTTTTCCGAATAATTATTTCATTCGTCTTCATTGTCACTACGATCACTGGCTAGGGGACAGCGTTTTCGATCGAAAAAAAATGTGCTTTGTGTAACGGGGTTTAACGAGATCTAATTGAAAGCCGAAATCCTTTTGTTCTTTCCAGCGATGGTCTCTTATAACGTGGTCGTCGGCGACACGGTGACGAAGGTTCTAATAAGGGTGACGGGGATGAGCGAGACGAGCATCTTCGCTCACCGACAAGTAGTCATCTTCTTGGCGACGGTCTGCATCACGATACCGCTTTGTCTCTATAGGAACGTTGCTCGTCTGGCGAAGATCTCCTTCCTTTCCCTCGTCTGCGTCGGTTTCATTCTTCTGGCCATTTTAATACGAATGGGTACACTATCCGCAATCGTGTAAGTATATGCATATGTATATGTACAATATATGCACTTGGATGTTACTTTAATTCGATGATCGGTGCGATACACGATACAGAATGCAGCCGAATAACATGTACGAGCGGGTACGAGGAGGTGATTCTTTATGGAAAAATAAGAAGAAAATATGGAATAAAATTTGTTCATTTAAGGCTTAGTTTTCGAGAAAATCGACTTTGAAAATTAATCTCAAAAACACGTGTATTCAGTGTATTCGCATAATATAATATACAATAGTACATAGTATTATACATAGTAAGTAGAAACGGAATGCAATGAACAGACGCGCTAGCCCAGTCCTATTAAATTGCTTCCGTATTTAGGAGATTTTCAATCTCGATTCTCTCGAAAACTAAGGGTTACTAATTTGTTAAATGAACAAATGTTATTCCATATTTTATTCTTATCTTTTTACATATGTTTTCGTGTGCGAACCTCGAAAAAACAAAGAATTGATTTATCGTAGACATCTTATGAAACACAGGAGTTAGGTTCGATTGGCTAATTTTTGGAATACTTTATAATGGGTCAACTATTACTAATCTATCGTTACTAGTCGAATATTACTATAATCTATCATTACTAGTAAACTATTAATAGCCAACCATTGTTTATCAGTAACCTATCACCGGGTATTCTATCCATTGGTGTATTTTAGTGTTAAAAGAAGATCCAGTAAACCGAAAGGGTATAGCAGGATAGCGGGGTCGATTTGGACTGTACAAATCGGTCTAAGCACAATTTTGACCCCGTTATGCGGCTATACCCTTTACATACCTGCAACGAGAAATACGAAAATATTTCGACAGCTAACGTTAGAAATATGTACATCTACAATACAATATATATATATATATATGTACCTATGTATAATACTTTTTCCTTATTTTTATGAGAAATGTGACGAAATTTAGTCATACGTAGTTAAGTAATTTTATTGAACAGCGAAAGGGTTAAATCGAAGGTTTTACCATACCACATATAAGTAGTATACCAGAGGTTTCATATATCCCGATGTTTGAACGGTTTTTTTTCACGGAGGCCCGGTATTAAAGTTACACGATTTCGCGCTCTGGTTCCGATCGAACATGAACCGGAACTTTTTCCAGGCCAAGCCAAGCGGATAGCTGGCGATTCGCGAACTTCCCCGGTATAGTGCCCTCCATCGGAATTATGGCGTTCGCTTTTATGTGCCACCATAACACGTTCCTGATCTACGAGTCCATCGAGAGGGCGACCCAACAAAAATGGGACGTGGTCACCCATTGGTCCCTGTTCACCTCGTTTCTGATCGCCGCAGCGTTCGGTATCATCGGCTACGCGACGTTTACCTCGTACGTTCAGGGGGATCTGATGGAGAACTATTGCTGGGACGACGATCTGATGAACTTCGCCAGGGTGATGTTCAGCGGCACCATATTGCTAACATTCCCTATCGAGTGTTTCGTCACGAGGGAGGTGAGTGGTCCTCGCGAGAAGTGGGCGGGGAGGAGGATTGTGTAAATTAAAAAATGCCTGGTAAATAGCACAGACCGTATAGCACGAACGATGAAACTTACATAATTGCATTATTGGGGCGCATCTTCCTCGATGTTGAGAATTAAAAGTGATTCGGACCGGTAATATTTTTTTATAGGGACGGGGAATGATCGATAACAACCCTTCTTTCTGACAGAAATACGTACTGAAGTCGGTGAACCGGAAATAAATGAATAAAATTGGCCACCTTTTTTTTTTTCTACAAATAACATTACAACGCTCTCCAATCGATAAGGTGATTTTAATATTTTTTCTATAGCTCCTCTTTTTCGAAGTCGGTGAAAAAGTACTCGGTACACTAAAACTTCGTGAGCGTTCTTCCGAATATTATCGAGACCAATCTCGCAAAACGTTTCGGCCAATCCACGTGCATTATTTCCAATGATCGACGTTCCACCGTCAGTACAGTATACAGAAAAAGGAAAAACTCCCTGTTCCTCGCAGGTGATCCTAACAGCGATCAAAGGAACAGACGAACTGGAGGATCACACGGCGTACGTTCCCAATTCGGATCGCAATTACCTGATAATCACCCTGATGATAGTGGTGTTGGCGTACCTGCTCTCGATGTCCACGGATTGTCTGGGTCTGGTACTCGAGCTGAATGGTATCCTGGCCGCTGTACCCTTAGCCTACGTTCTGCCCGGTCTTTGCTACCTAAAGCTCGAAGAGGGACCTGTCCTCTCCCACAAGAAGCTTCCCGCCCTCGGCCTGATGACCGCCGGTGTGTTTGCTGCTGTTTCCGGTCTCCTACTTCTGATCCTGAACAGTGGCACATCTGGCTCCTGCGTTCACGGAAAGGTAATGTCGTACTGCGTCGAGAACTCGAACACAACCAGCTGGAACACGACCGTCACGAGCATCGGCTCGATCTAAATATCTCCTCGATCACGGGGAGTCCATAATGCCCCGTCACAAGGGTACATATTACATACGTACAGTGGGTTCCGCTTATTTCGGTTGAAAGTCCACCGGTTAACCCTCGGAGTACGCACCCCCGAAAACTCGAAATATTTCTTTCCTATTGTGTAAGCTTAACGGTAAGATGACCGTTATTAGCGATGGGTTCCCGGTGACCCGGCCATAAGCACGCGATAGTTAACCGATATAGGTAAATACTAATACCTATGCGATACTTTGTAGAATTCGGACAGCCGCTTAGTCGGGCGAAAAGACGCTAATCCCGAACGCTATCCCAAATAACCGGAATACACTGTACTCTCAGAACCAGGTGGATTTCTATAGATACATACTTATACCTCTGTTGCACCTCGGATGAGCAAAAATCGAGCCCGCCCGATTTTTGGGGGATGGAATCGTGGGGAATCAGCTGTGTTTCGAGGCTCTCTGTCGCCTTTTTCTTTCGTTTCGCGACGGAAACGTCTCAATGGGCCCACGGAGGTGTATCGTGTGGTCACGGTTCTATCACCGTGCGTGTGGCGTGTGATAGACAAGATCGAGCGAACTCCAACCGTGAACAGACAGAAAATAGAATTCGATAATATTTTCGAGAAATGCAGAATAAAATTTCTTTTCTCGAGAAATCAGAGGCATTAGTAGTCCCGAAGTGTGGAAGACAGTCCTTAAGGTGCTTCGAATGATACTTAGAATAGAGAGGCTTCCTATGGGCCAATCTTCGCGAGTTTCTACGAGGAGGGTGTTATCTCGAAGCGTGAATGAAACAAGAAAGGTCCTTTTTACCGAGAAAAATTCACGAGTTCGCTGCGTCTTGTTCGCTGGCCGTAAATGAAACGCCGGAAGTTACTCTCCTGACTAGAATCAAAAGATATGAAAATCAAACAGTTCTTTTCTTTGACTTGTGACACCGACGGTGCTTGAAGCCCTGGCAGAGAGTGTGTTCAATCGAGAGTTAACGTGATCACTTGATAGATTTGTAGTAACGATTACGCGAATTATATTAATATATTTATAAACTAATAACCGCGGGACACTGGAATCAAACAGAAATTGGTTAACCTTAATAAGGTTTCCGTTCGGCTCTATTAAACTGCAAACATATCTATATTACGTTAGGCTTCATTTTTATATCTAAAAAAAAAAAATATAATATTTTGATTTTAAATTAATTTAAAATAAAATATAAATATCTCAAAACTTCAGATCCTGTAAATGCATAATATCAGCAGTCTAAAATTATAGTGAACACTTTTTGCCAGGATTAGTATGAAATTGAACACACTTGACACGAAGCTCTAAAGGAGACGTAATGTACATACATATGTATATTGGATATTACGTGAAGTTTAAAGCGTAAACACGAGACGTACCTTGAAGATTTATAGGCATCTATCTGTTGAATTTCTCAGCATTTATCTTGTTGAACGTGTGAAATTGAATATTTTTTAATCGAAGGTTGTAGACAATACTACATAATATATTATACGATTTCCGTTGAATCGATTGCTTTCTCTTTTTTCAGCGAGAAATAACTGTTTGATGTTTTCCGTCATGGTGGTTTGTGAGGAAATTCACGGAGAATAATATTGCAAGTTTTTATTCTTGTTGTTTTGTCAGCATCGTTATTAAGTATTAATCAGTTTTGTCTCACTAAGCCGAGACAATTGATTTCTCTAGAGTCTAGAGTAAATGTTCGGAGGCGTCCTCGGCACAGAGTAGAGTAAATCACGGATGAGTGTTCGAAGGCTCCTCGACACTGGCAAGGAAAGGTCCCTAAGTGTAACAGTGACTTTAACCTCATTACTGAGGATCAACGCAGTGATAGACCATGGAATTCTGAAGCCAATGATATTTCTTTCAGCTGCATATGGCCATTAATTTATGAAATATTTAATGTTCAGTGTCGAGAAACCATTCGAACACTCATCGAGTATTCACTGTATTTAATAAAAGCTTCCTACGAGTGAACAGTTTGATTTCCGAAGACCAATAGACAATTTAGAGGACTTCTAGACAATATTCCATTTTATATGATAGATTTGCTTAGTCAGCTGTTGTTTATTGGAATTTACGCGTACCTGGATAGAAAGTTTTATAACATAAAACACGTACAATTGATAGAATAGATGTATTCGTCAGATTGCAGTCTTAAGTGCAATCGGAAGTTTTGTTTATCGTTTCGATTACGAGAGTATCGGAAAAAAAGTGTAATCCGATACAGGCTATCTTATGAAGTTAAGTGAACACGGTGTGTCTAATTGTTTAAAAGCGTTCCTTATTAGCAGTATTATCTTTAATTGTATAGTAAGAAGACGTGTACCGATAAATATAGCCGCCAGTAGATTAACATTCACGGTCACACACTAATTTGAGAATTGATAACGCTACGAAAATTAACGAACGAAAGTTATAGACGAATTTAACGTGGGAGAAATAACACTTACTTAAGAAAATAACGAATTGGAAAGACAGAAAAATCCTGCTCTTCGTTCCCGAGGACGCAATACATAACAGTAGGCTAACTATGTAACAAGCGTTAAAGTGAACACTGTGTAACCGAAAATAATGTTTTATCGGTTAGAAAAATACTCATTACGATTAAATAACAAATAATACTAAGGTGTTACGACACTATTTTTCGAATCTTTATCGTAGGGGCATATAACGAGACGATGGGTAGCGTACCTCGATTTTGTATTAAAAAAAAAATAATAATGATAAACGCGACGTTCCTTGATTAATAACCATCGTGCATACGAAATTCATTGATTGTAAATTTTGTTACAGTAATTCAGATAATTACCATTTTATCCAGAAAATGGTAGATTGGTACACCGAATAATTTATAAAAATAAATGTTGCAATTTATATTACGTATTTGCATTTCCAACTAAATTAATAGTAATTTTAACGGAAAAAAATTACAAATTATTAAGAAATACATTTTCAAATATGATTTTTTAAATTATTATTTTTAATAATTTTTTATTATTTCAAGCAAAACGAAAACAAGAAAACAGAACAGAATGTAATCCTTTTTTTAATACAAAATCATATTATTTGCTTTCTGAGACGGTTTAAATATAATGGAATAAATATAATGTAAGAAATCGTTCGATTTGGCGTGATCAAGAAATCGGATGTTCAAAAAAGCTACCAACAAGGTGGCGCCTTTTTCCTTTTACAAATACGATAGATAACGGCGAAAAACGTGCCATGTTGTCCCGTGTTCGAGAACATCCGCACGTTTCTCGGTCGCTGAATCGTAATGAACGCGATTAGGGCCTAAATAATAAGTATCGCAATTAATATATACACGAATTGCTAATCGTTAAAGGAAAACATAAAAGCAACAACAATCAGAGACCACGATAACGAAAGTATTTAATGAAAAACCTTAATAGGAGAACGAGAGCTATTTAAATTTAACATACCAGTCGACGTGTTTACGGGGGTAAAGGATTCCCACGCAAAATCTACCGGATGTCCGTGGATTTGTACATAGTATGTATATGTATATGTATATGTATATGTATATGTATATGTATATGAGTGTATCTACATATATGTATGTGTATTTAACTTTTCGCCTATCTGTATAGATCACAAATATACATATAAAGACTAATTCTAATAATCTATAGCGCGAATGAAAGGGTGTTACGTTCTAAGACACTAAAAATTTATTTTCCATATCCTTGAATATTTCTTCCTTTTTTGACTGGAAATATTTCGAATGAATTCATTTTTCCGTACTTACTCTATTGTTCTGTAAAAAGGGAACGTAACACTTGCTATTCGCGTTCGCACTCTAGAGTCTAGACCACGAACACGGTGAATAAACTGACACTGAGAACATATTTGCTCCGTCGTAAGCCCCACACAAGAATTTTTATATTGGTCTGACAGAGACGCGCACGTAACGTAATGTTTCGATTTTACTCGCTGCTGAGAATTGTAGAAACTTCGAGAGATGGCAGAAACATATTAGATGTTCCGAGGATCACACACTTTTTACGATAATATCCGACACCTTTCATTAGTTGTCACACGTGTCTCCTCCGATATTCTGAATAACTTCCGACGAGGTGAATTATGTTGTTAGATTAGTTAAAATAGTTAGATTAAACAACACCGTATTGAATACGTGAATATTCCTAAACCAAACGTAAATTACCGCGTAACGTTCCAGAATGAATTGTGTATTGCGGACACTCGATATATACCTCGTTAATTAAACCAAAAATGAAACTGAAAGTCCGGTAATAGGTGAAACGATAGGGAAACATGAAACAGTCATTATTGACAATCGTGCATCGCAGACCAAGAACCAAATGAAAACCGCGTAACGAGACACTGAAATCTGATCTTACCACAGTAGAAGGACGAGTTCCATCGAGAAATTGAAGTGATTCTGTCAATGTGACAAATTCATAATTCTCTCAGTGGTCGAGCCAGTTTTGTTCGTGATCCTGACTTATTTTATTCTTCGACGCTTGTTTTTCTATCATTTTTACGGTATATTAAATTACCAAAGCTAACCCTCCAATTCCCAGAGGACAGTTATACAGGTACCACTTTTTAAATAAGTGTTATAGGGGTCTAACGCACTCTAGTGGGCAATTTAGAATCTATTTCAACGTATTAGTTCATAAAATAGCCGACAGGTGCTCTGGTTTCATCCACATTTTTCACACTGCATACATAACTATTGAAACGATATGTTTATATTAATATTAATAGAGATAGAATATATTTTGGATTATTATGCTATGCAAATTGAAGGGTTAAACAAGATTTGCATCTGCCTCGATTAAATTAACTGATTTTGCTTACTCCATCCGGATTCGTGGATCTTTTGTAAGCGAGAACATTTATCACCGATTTTATTCGTTATTTTAGTATAGTTTCGCACGCCTTTTTTCAGCACCTTCTTTACCTTTTAATCTTTCAATTCCCCGAGACTTGTTCCCAATCACACAAGTGATGCACAAACAGGACACTACGACACAACTTGTACATAGCCAGTCTTTTTTCCGATTAATCGCGCGGTGCAATAATCGATTGTGATGTGACCCGTTAGTCGTAAGTGATCGTAAGTGTTCGTAAGAGATTCCTCGCGGGCGCGTAACCTATTTTTCTTCCGAGAGAGAAAGAGAACTGCAGATGCTTTATTTTTCGAACGGGACAGTCACAGATGTTTGTTATTTTTCACAAGACTGTAATATGTATATCGGAATGGTCCAGAAACGATTAGTACTCGATTATTTTTGATACTATAAACTATAGAAGGTAGGAAGAAGACAACTGTTTTAGAAAATTAACAGAGATTATCGGTAACGAAATCTTGTATTTTTATTCCTACGTCCTGACTACGTATCTATAAATACGTATTCCAAGATCAATTTATATTAGGTGCATATGTCAATGAGCAATCCACTGTTCTTTACCAGATTCAATATATTTACGTATTCGAGAAATTATTCTTTAATCGTTATAGCTTCGAATATGAATAAGTAAGTACTAACAGTTTCTGCCCCACCCCCCTGCGCATAGACACACTACGATCTAACGGGTTAATAATGTATCTAAGATACTCCAGGTTATTTGTTGTTGACCAGCGTCTTTGATGGATCACACGGTGGTTCTGTTAGATCGGGATAACGAATAATCGTCCGAGGACACGACATTAGAATACCGAATAGCCAATTAGCCGACGACTTCCGATTTTTTCAGCACCGTTTCATTTGAATGCGAAACAAAGAAAAATGAAACAAGGTTCTGCAAAGTCGAGAGCATATTAGCAAAGAGAGGATTTAGCGTTAGGTACCGTCTTTTCGCGAGAGACTTTGTGCAATTCCCATTTGAGTGTGACTTTACGAGACGCGACGTTAATTATTCAAAGTACATATTATATGTACCTCGAATGGAAAATATAATCGAGACCAGAATTAATCGGTGATATAAGTGTATAGATACGATCTATTAATGTTACTGTTAATTGATATTTGTATTTACTTGTAAGTGTATAGCTATATATATTTATTTCATTATTTTATGTAAAACTGTATATGCGGGGTAGCGCTATCATATAATTATATAATATATTTATATGGAATACTTGATGGGTGACGGCGCCAAGGACATGTGAAGGTTTTTTTGTAAATTTTTTATTTAATCAATGAAAAAATGAGAAAGTAAATAGATCAGGAGGGTTGAAAAAAGAAAGAGCGAGGTTAGCATGTCCTTGACGATTTGACACTCGATTTCTTCGTCTCGATTGTCTCGATGTATTCTTCGAGTTAAATACGTTCGTTTCAGTTCGTTTTTGAGCGAGGCAGATTATTTTATGGGTATGTTGTTTAAATGAAAAGCGTTTGCGTACACGCTTTGTGATTGCGTTTATTTTATGTTGATTCGAGTCGTCGAAACATTTGTGGATAATAATGTCGGGTCATAAGATTTGTTACTTAACCTCTACCAATAGTATGAATGAAGAGGACAAACGCGTATCATTTCGTCGGGATTTATTCAAACGACACTTTATTTCTAACGCCATTGCGATACTTTATCCGTACCATGGACAAGTTTAGGTGTATGCGACAAGTGTATTAATACTTTATCCGTATATTTTTATATTGCAAGTCTTTGTAATTGAACTTAATTACTACGAGTACTTGGAGTCGCTTTTATATTGCAGTGTAACTTGCGTATGGTAATTGTGCATCCATGTTCTCTGATTCTCGATTTATTTACAATTAGATGCACACAAGCGTGTGAATTGTTGGATTCAAACTGCAAAAAGAAATACAGGTGCTAAGAACGCTTTTTTTATGGATAATATTTTATTTTTATTTTTAAGCAACTTTTAATTAAGGGTCAAGTACTTTGCTATGGGCAAATCAGCCAATAGTACTTTAAAATACAGAAAAGTGTCTTTTAAATGCAGTCATTGTATGAATTAAAGAATGAATTTTAAAATCGGTGTTTGTTTCTCATTTTTACATTTTTTAATTATATGTGTATCAGTAAAACGAATCTCATTTATCTTTTCAGTACGTGCGAATAAGGTAGTTTACAGGTTTGTTTCTAGTTTGTGAATTACGCAAGTCCTGTTACTTGTTACATTTGCCTGGATAAAAAATATCGATCTCTCGACACTTTCGAGCGACTGTCATTGACGTCATCGTTCGAATCATTAATATATTTCGAGCGTTCATATTAAATGTATGTAGTTACATATTATGTGCACATTGTACTCTAGGGATTTAAGTTACGATAGAAGTTTGTCTGAAGCAACAACCACCTTTCTTGTTATGTTTTTCTCTGTTTAATATATTTTGCAAACAAAAAATGTTAAAGGTCCACGTGTAGTCTAGTCTAAATAGTCAAAGTATAGTATTTGAATTCAAGTGACACGTGTACACATAAGTATATAGGTATTTATGCGCGACAGACAAACTGTCCAATGTGATGATGTAAAAATTATTTAAATGCGTGCAGAACACGTAACAACGTGCATTGACTTCAGTGTTATACAAATTAATGCACCTGCGTTTTCTGAAAGTCATTTTGTGTTAGACAAATGGAATTGCTGGTGATTTTTGTTAGACTTCGATTATGTTTTAATCTTAACGAATGCGTTTTAGGTTAACCGATCTTTCACGTTTTAAGTATGTTTTTCATTATAAGACATAAATACAGAACCGTGGTATTATTACAACATTTAATTTTTAACATAATAAAAGTACGCGTTTGGTGGAACTTGAAATTACGAACGAAAACCTGAATGATGTCACGACGAACGCATTATGGTTCTAATTCATTCTAATTTAAATTTCGCCCTTATTACAAGAGCGTTACAATTGTAACCAGAAAGTCCTTGAATTAATGAAACTGTATTTACTCTGTGATACGTGTACAGATCGTATACTTGTATGTTTTGTTGAAACATGTCTATACTTGAAATCTATTGTAACGTTGATTAAACTTGAATAATAAATTCAAACAATCAAAAATGGAGAGCATTTCAAATTGTAATGGATTATTTGTTTGTCTTCATTTTCCATATGTTCATATTTACTTTTTTTTCATACTGTTTGAGTGAAACAATCTTTGCTGTTAATTCTCAACCATAAATCAAAGAATTAAACGGAGCTTAGAAGAAAGAAGATAAAGTATTACGAAAAGTATAAAAATTAAAACTACTACTCAGGTCAGTAGTGACAATGTCTCTGTAGTTGTCCTCACAATTGTTTGAACTTTCTATTATAATGTTGACATATAGGTATTCGAATTGTAATTATTTCATTGTAACATGGATATACAGGATGGTTCTTTTAATTTGACGCTTGAACTTACTCGCCTGTATGACGAACTATACATATATGTACGTATGTGGCACAAAAGTTACTCGATGATATATTTACCAAGTTCTATACATATACTAACATTGGAGGGTGACTGTATTTTAGATAGGTAGTACGCACTATCGTATTTTTCGTTAAAGTCAAAAAGCATCAAATTATAAATAAAAACGTATTGGAGCATAATAGATCTAACGTAAATATTTATTTAGACATTAGTAATGAAAGTTTTATCGTACAAAATGTTCGCACTATTGACCGTTATAATTATTACAAACTAATCGTTTTATAAATAAAAAGTACACATATTGTAGCGTAGGTATTTCAATAAATAACCACGTTAGTCCACCTTGAAATCGTGTAACTTTTGTCTCACACATTTCTTCATATTGCATATAATTTACAAGTAATTTCAAGACATCAATTTTGGCGAATCTTCATTCTAATGATTCGATTAAGTGTTAGAGATGAATTGAGTATCAAATTCTTTTGTACCATAATGCGACAGGCCTGGATAGAGCTAGTTTTCAATAATTATGAGTTCATTCAGCATCAAAAATGTCAAAAACATTCTCGGGTTCCGAGAAGAAGGGGATTCGAGTCGTAGTTTGACTTCCAAATGCAATAAAATGGAAGTTTCGAAGAACACTCAGTTGGTTGATACGTACGAAAGAATTTACGGGGACGAGTGTCGAATTTGTTTAAAAAGGACTGTTGAAAACTGTGAACTGTTTCGAAATGGGGACGCTATTCCTCGTAAACTTATGGCCGTTGCTTCCGTACAGGTTAGTTTGCTTCTCTTTTCATCATAACAACATTACCAAAACGAATTTCTTTTAAAATCTATCCCTCTATTAGTATGTTCTGTAATATTTCATGTTCTACATATGTGACTTTTAGAGAAGTTTTTAGGATTGATGAGATTTGTGCTGTTTACTCGAATGACTGAAGCTAAGAAAAGTGGACAGGAGCTATAGTTTGAAATTTTGTAAAGATGCAATTAGAACTCACCATATTTACGTATTAGAATTCACTGGATTTTTTCAACTGTTTCGATATAAACAATATAAAGCAACTGTTTGTATAATATGCTATGTGACAAATTTTCTACTAAAACTGTCATTTATGTTAATAACAATTGTTTATTGTAATACAGTATCAGAGTTTCAATAATGCTTCTATTTAAAATTACAATAACAGACGTTTTACACTTTTAGATAGAAGAAGGAGATGGCTTACCACCAGTGATTTGTTTATCCTGTAACCAACGTTTGGATGCATCTTATGATTTTAAATGTCAGATACAAAATTCGAATGAAAAGCTCCGTCAAATTCTTAAATTAAAAGCTGCTTCTAATGACTCGGGTAGTAGTGCAAGCATAGTCACAGCAATAATTGCTGATGTGATATCTAGTGTAATCTCTTCTGAAAAGGAAAACACAGAAAAGCAAGAAATGTGTCCTACAAACTTCTGTCCAGATAATTTTTGTTTTACAAAAGATGATACCTCTTTTTGCATAAATACTGAAAGAAACTTGTTTTGCTATGAAAGAGAAACACAAAGTCAATTAAGCAACGCAGTAGAAAAAAAAAACTTGGAAAGTGTAAATGTTTATAAAAATTTGTTAGAAGATTCTGTGAGTCAGATTAACTCGATTAAACAAGAAAGCTTATCTCTGTTTGATGAACATATAGAGCACAATAAAGTGAATGATTCTATGAGACAAATTAATTCAGACAAACAGGGAGAATTATCTTTGTTCCGTGAACACATTGAGCAAGAGAAAGATACTTCGTTCAGAAATGATGTAAATAACGTTGAAGTATCAGAAAATCAGCGAATTTTGGAAGGAGCATCGAGAACGGACAGTACGCAAGACGACGAGGAAAAACCTCTTATATCGCGCACAACTAGATTACGATGTATGCAGTGTATTAAGTCCTTTCGTACAAAAGTGGCCTTACAAAGGCACACCATTGTACATAAACGCAAAACTAAATTACGATATGTTTGTTACGTTTGTGATAAACAGTATTCCACTCTTGCCAAAATGAAAAATCATGTTGCGAGTTGTCGTAATACACATAACAAGACGGAAGATATCGATGATAAGAGAGTTATTTATGAGCAAGAGAAAGGTGTATCACATGTAGAGCATAAAAATGTTAATAACGTTCGTGTAAGCATCGCTTAACTCGTTAATTGTTAAAACGGAAGCTTATTTATTTTTATTGTAATTCTTTCTATTTAACGTCACTAATAATTTCTATATTTTAGGAAAAAAGAATGAAAATACAGAAGAACGCTGATTCCTCGAAAGAACAACGAAAAAATTTCAAGTTTATTTGTAATGTGTGTTCAAAGCAATTTACTTATCAAAAATCTTTCGTATCTCATGTTAAAAGTCATCCAGAATATAAATCAGAAGAAGCGGACGAGCCCTATCGATGCTCGGAATGGAGGAGGAGGAGGACGAGGAGGAGGAGGAGAAGGAGGGGGAGGAGGAGGATGAAGAGGAAGAAGAAGAAGAAGCTGAAGATGAAGAAGACGAGGAAGATGAAAACCTTCCTACCGAAAGTCTACAGTGTACTCAGTGTGGGAAGCTGTTTGCAACAAAGAGGAATCTGAAGAGACACCTTTCCACGCACAGTGGATTAAAGTACACTTGTGGCACTTGCGGTAAAGGATTTTCAAGAGTGGATAAATTGAAAGATCACGAACAATCAAAACATAAGGCTGAATTATTCGATAGCTCGGATTTAGATGATAAAGATGATACAGATAGTATAAGTAAGAGAGATTGTTTAGAAGGTAGAAAAAAAGTAAGTAATTTGCTATTAAGTTGCTTAAACCTCCCGAATCAACTGAAACAAAAGATGCTTGAAACCTTAAGTAAATAGTAATTGTAATGCAGAATAAAAATTGTTTTAGGATCGCCATAATAGACCACACAAATGTGCAATATGCCCTAAATCTTTTGCACAAGCTCAGTCTCTAACAAATCACATGGAACGACACACACGCGTTAAAGAAACTCAAAAAAGGTTTCTTTGTGAAGTTTGCAGCATAGCGGTTCACTTGTTGCGCATATGCGTACGCACACAGGCGTGAAACCCTATGTGTGCAACGTGTGCAGTAGGGCCTTCACGAAAAGCACTTATTTACAATTGCACTTGCGCACGCACAGCGGGGAGAAACCTTACATTTGTCAGTATTGTAGTAGAGCCTTCGCGCGCGCGAATACGTTAGCGCGTCATATTACGATGCACACAGGAGAAGCAAAATATCATTGTCAAATTTGTACAAAATCGTTTAGAAGACTGACTTCGTTAAATGAGCACACATACACACACACTGGTCAAAGACCGTACGCGTGTAAGATTTGTACAAAGAGATATAACAATGCCGGCTCGCTCTATGCACACAGAAAGAAGTGTAAAGCACAGCAATTATCTAATACAGGATTCGCTGCTTCTGTGGAGAACTCTGTGCCACAACAGGATCTAAATGTCCAACAGGTTCTGATTTATTCGCAAAGAAAGCTAATGGAAGATGCCACTGTTGGACAAGTTACGCCCACGCCACAGTACATGATCGCAAATGTGCACAATCAAAAGAATCTGGGAACGAATATTATTCAACCGTTTACGATGGAGGACCCAAATGTTTATACAATTAATTCGAAGCAATTCAAGAATCCCTACTACACAATCTATCCTAATATGTAAGATAATAATGTGTGCGGAAGATTGATTAAAGAATGTCTTTTTTAGAGCGACTAGTGTGTTTCTATATCTTGTTAAATACTATGGATACAAATAGACAGGTAATGACAAAATAACTTCGTAAGTATTAGAATCAGTAAGTAAGTAAGTAAGTAAGTAAGTAAGTAAGTAAGTAAGTAAGTAAGTAAGTAAGTAACCGAGTGTATAAATTTGCTTAACAAAACTTATTATAAATTATAATCATTTGTACTTTATATTGTTTTTTTAAATTTATATTCCTACACTTTAACCATTGTTGTAACTTCATGATCGTGTAGTTCCCTATTTTTTAAAAATACTTTATTCCTGATTTCAATATTGTAATTATAAATCTTAAGATTATTTCTAACTCTTTCTTTAATAGTACACTAATTCAACAGTAAAAAAACATTAATAATTCCAATACTTAGTATCATTAGAATTTATGTCTTCACTAATAATAAGTATACAAAAAGTAATAGATTTCTACTTTTCTTGCATCATTTAGACTTTCAAAATAGTATCACATATATTCATTTTCAATGTTAAGACTTATTTCTCTTTATTAAAAGGAGTTGTTGTTTCATTATCAAGAATGTCTTTCGTTGGTGTTTCTGAATCATCGCCTAAATGTTTTAAATTGAGAGAGCTCCTTATTTGCGACAGTTCTTCATCAATAGATGGTACCTTGTCTGTTGTTCTTCTTCGTCGCGTTCTCATAATTTGCGTCCATTGAATGCTTTTCTTTCTTGAACGTCCCATAGGTCTGTGTCTTTTTACAACATACTTGGGAGTTTTACTTCGAAATGTTACTCTCTGTGGCGTCGGTAAATCTGTTTCTGGCAATTGTAAATGGCACATTGCTGTACGATGGTAATGAGACTGACATGTATCCGAGTGAGGACTATCATTTGCGCTGGGTTTTAAATTGTCACATGATTTTTCAAAGTAATCCGGCTCCTCCATTTCTAGAGATTGATCTGGAATTAAAACTTCTAACATGGAGGGATGTAAGTCTCTTGGAGTATATTCTTTCCATGGATTAATATCACTGGTATACACTATAGGTGTATCGACAATTTGTCTTGCAGGCTGTAATATGCTAGACGTACTTGACCAAGGCTGATAAATGATCTTGGGACTTTTTGGTACTGTAAAGAATGGTTTTCGATTCAGGCTTGAGAATTTTTTCGCAGTATCTGTTATAACCCTCGATCGTTGCTCTGTGTGCTCCATCCGTGACGATGGCTCTTGAATATCAAATTGTATAACTGTTTCAGGATAACTTTGATCAGTCTTTGTAGGTGTTTCAGGGTGCGGGCTGATCTGGCTGAAACAAACGATTCTAACTTAATGAGACTTCATTTCGCAAATGGTTTGCTTTAACTTTTACTTGATTCTGACATTGTTTTATAGAAATTTACCGTGTCTCACACGCCAAGCTATCATTGATATGCGTAGCTAGACTCATATTTGATGTGTATGATGAGGATTTCATTTCTTCCTCGTCTTCTTCTAAAACATCCGGCAAGAACATCATTTGCTTTTCTTCTGGAACTCTGTGAACATAAGTTACACATACATATGTAGCATTTAATAAAATTCATTAGCAGACATCTGTAGCTTTTAAATGAGAAAATATTCTATCCTTTAAATAGGTTTTAATTATAAAACGAACCGATCCAGAATACTAACGTCATATTCGCCACGCTACCGCGGTATGTTTTCTTCTTATAAGCGGCTGCCGCTTCTGTATACGGTAAAGTTAGATTTTCATCGTCGAAGTAAATATCTTTAACCAATGGTGGACATCGATTCATAAGAGTATCCACTCCAAGATACGATACCTATAATTCATATGAAAAATAAAGCGTGGAAGAAACCAATAACGTCACAATATTTTCAGAAGCAAAGCGGGAATGTCTATTCACCTTCGTGTGGCGATCGATAATCCAATTCAACTCAAAGTCTTCATCGTCATCGCCAAATGGATTAATTAATTGTTCAGCCACCTGTTGAGAAATAATTTCAGTCTCGTGAACAATGTACAGACTTTTGCTTGTTCGGTATATGTATTTCAGAGATGCTTTTGATAATGATTTTTAATAGATACTTACCTTTAATAGTCCCATGAAGAAGAAGAATTGTAGGATGGTAAATATAGGTATGTAAATGTCGATTTGCAGTTGAAATTGTTTCTCTTTACCTTCGATGTACTGGCGAGCTATTAAAGCAACAGCAAAGAAACTATACGTTGCCAGTGTCACTACTTGTGTGTAAACTAATGGTATTGATATCCAATCGAAACTCCAGAGGAGACCGCATTTCGTGCGAAATTCATTGAATTCCTATAATAGTCATTGAATACTAATTTAATAACTTCTGTCTGACTTAACTTGATCTTAGCATCAAGCATTAAATGATGCACAATATCTTTTAAATTTTAAATGATATAATACCTCCATAATTAATTTTAATCCTTGGGGATCAGGAATCCGGTTATTTCGACGGGCTTCTTTTAGAAGATTAATGAACCATGTACAGGGGATCCAATATGTATTGAACTCCAAATTGGGTACTGCGAGAAATAATTCTAATTCTAATGTTGTCATAAATCCTGTAACATAGTGCCATTATTAGTAGTGATATTATTGATTAAACATTTTTTGCAATAAAGATAAACAAGTTAAGTATTAAAAAATTAGTAACAAACTATATTTGAATTGTTAGTTGTTTGCATCACGAAATCTATATGTTGATTATTTTGTTACATATTTGAAAATTTATACGATCTTGACAGTGTAAATTATTACAAATATTTTCAATATATGCAGGTATCCATAAACCTTATAGAGAACGTATTCTTCAAAATATGAAACTTGTAACGAAAATGATAAAAAAAAAGTTATAGTATACCCAATATGTAGACTTTTTGAAGCTGTAACTGACCAGAAGAGTGTTTTCGTCTTGATCAAAATGAACTATTGGGATTTGATGACAATGTTTGTTTATGTTGTAATTTTTCTATCATTGGCTCCATCAATTTATAGTATATCAGCTATGAGTTAAAATTAGTATGCTTATGTTAGAGAAAAATCTGTTCTAAGTGTGAGTTTCTATTTTAATAATGTAAAATAATTTACCAGAATCGACAACGTGATCGAGTGTTGGAAATCGTCTTTTCACCGCTGAACTAATCGATCGTAAGACGAGTATTAAGGAAAGATTTAGATAACGCATAAGCGCTCTTCGAAGCATCCGAGCGTATTCATCGTTTCCCGCAACGTATAATGCAATTAAATGCATCACTCTGAAAGAAAATACGTACATGGAACATTATGCTAATTCATCGTAATATATTTATCGTGTTGAACCTCACTTGTCAGGCCACGGTATGGCTTGGTATTGTTGCCACCACCTCTGAGCAACATAAGACACATAGAATCCAAGAACGAAACTCAATGGAATCAAATTAATGAAATTGTCACAATAAATAACCATCTGCTCAAATTCTCTGAAAGAAAGCTTATTTCGGTTAATATCTTTGATTCCTTAGTCTGTCAAAGAACGACCAGAAATGGCAGGAATGTTTAATTACAAACTTTTTTTGCGAAGCGTTAAGTAGGTGTCTGTAAATAGCAGAGAGCGCAGCGAAAAGAATTAAAAACAGAAGAAGTTCCGTATAGATGAGCTTGTAAAGTGAGCCTCTCCACATAAAAAGGAGCCTGGTAAATCCACCCCTTGTGGAATTGGCAACCTGATATTGATATGACACTGTCATCTTTTCTTCGGTTAATAATCATCAGTTTTGTAATGAAAATTCAATCCAGAACAAAGTAACTTTGTCGTAAGAATAACAATTTCTTTCTTTTCATTATGTTAATGTAAACTTTCCTCTGGGATACCTACATAGGCAATGTTGAAGGGCACAAATGAGAAACGTGATATAATTTTATATTTGATATAATACAGATAATAATATAGTACCTCAAATAAAATATTATTATAATTTAATATACATAATTCAATGGATGATCTATCCAAAATGTTTTGCTCAACAAAAGGATCACTAATTTGAAATCCATGGTGTGCTTCTAGAAATAAATGTAAGCAAACATAATTTTTTTAAATATTTCGCGATCTCGTCGATAGTTAAAAAAATGGGGGATCTTATAGCAGCACAGGCAAGACCTTGCGATATACGTTTAGTTGGGTAACATGCTATAAAAGTAGAACAATAATTACGTCGTAAAGAGAATGTCATTGTTAAGAATCGCCTTCGGAAAGTGTCGGTTACACGGCTTTTTTAGACTAATGTGCACCGTAAATAATGCCGAGTAGTTTGGGAGTCACGCCAAAATGCATCGCCGTTAAATATAACTTTAGACATTGAAATAACTGCCGTCTGAGTAAACATACAATTTATACAAGGTCTCTAAGTGTTCAACTGAAATGCTTAGTCCATATAGGCCTTATATAAGTACCGATTAAATATTTTGATGCTCGTTAAATTAATTTAATCTATATATATATGTATATATATATATATATACACACATATATATATATATATATACACATATATATATATATACATATACATATACATATACATATACATATACATATACATATACATATACATATACATAAATCTGTTAATGAAGACATGCGGTCTCAATGACCTGACTCCCACGTGTACAAGTTCTATAATATGTATGTATATAATGTACTATAATGTGCTTAGTAAATAGATATTTTTACGGAATTTTTAAGATGCATGACACGTCAAAGCTTTTCAAATTAACGATTTTGTCTTCTCATAAATTGAATTTTAATTCATAGTAATGGAATTATTAGTCATTTATGCATGATCCAAGTAAACATCACTCGGTCTGCGAATGTCCTGTCTGGGTGTCTGCTGGGCTATTCAATGACACGTGTGCGTAGCGTCATCATTGTCTAACAGATTATCTGACGGCCACGAGATGCACGATACATCTCGAGGGAGCCATCTAAAAATACGTTGGAAGGAAGCATGCGACATTGGTCGAACTTCGAAATACTTGCGTTCAAATTTTAATGTAACAGCAAAGTTTAAGTCGGTTGAAACTAGTATAAATGCGGTATGTTCTTCGTTACAACCTATTTAACTATTTAGAAATACCTGAGAAACTTTCTTTTCTAGAATGAATTGCACTATATACATATAATAATAGTGGAGAACTAAAAGTATGTAATTCAAATTTGGCATTTAACAATAAGAGTTGTTGCACAGATACCGCGAGACTAGGTATGTTCAGAATACTAGAATTAAGATTATATTATTAGCACTGCACATATTGGGACACGTATTACACAATTAGACGTATATCACAATTGTTTGCAATAAAATTATAACGCTTATACTAAAAATAATACAAATTATAAAAATAATTCATATGTTGTTAAATAATCTGTATAAATTATGTGGTTACCATTTTGAATTTTTTGTTATTATTACGATTACGTATCCATACAGCAATATTATATTGAATCTGAAAGCTGATTTTTGTATTGTAACTAATTGACCAAAATACACGCCTATGGAATGCAATTCTATAAAATGCATCTAGTGTTTACTACTCATTTTTTTATAAATTTAATAGTTATTTTCAGTATTTTTAGCACCGGTCACATAGATTCTATGTTACCATCAGTCTTACAATTTTTTCGTTAAGCTGTCAATGTTGAATGTTTTCATTGTATCTATTTATCAAGCGTGCTCCTTAAACGGCTATGGGCCTATGGGCATTCACAGCGCGCGCTACACTACTTCACTGATTACTTGCAAGTTCAGAGACTTCAAAGTGCACTGTACAACCAGAGAGGAAACTGGAAGAAACTCTGCTACAATCGATACATTAACACACACGATACTTGGTCACGATTCTGTTATAGTTATATGTTAATTCTTATACGTCGTCTTACAATTATAATACGAATTTTTAATGCAAACAATATTCTTTTAGGCGTCACCGCAGACATGCACTCGAAGCTTGTTTGCGGCACACTACTTCGCTAAGAACATCTGCATCGTCATTGTGAATGTTGACATTGAGGGTGGTTAATTCCGATTTGATGGCAGATGCCCAAATCTAAAAGGATTCGAATGTCAAGCTCGTACCGGACACCGTCATTCTACACTTCTCTCGTGTGTGTTTATCTCAAATACATAACACGCAATGAGTAAAAGACAGTAAAATAAATATTCCAATTTAGTTTAACATTATTCATTACAGTAATGAGTTTTTCTATATAATTTTTGTTTACTTGAACCAATCCACAATCATGTAAATTTGCGTAAACATTTTTTGTTTACATCTAAATTAATACAGCATACGTATACATAATGTTTGAATTTCGTACCACATTCACTTTAATTCATGTATTTCTTGATACGTAGCACTGCGTAAGACTGCGTAGTAGAGATGGCGTGAACTGCTACTTGCTGCTACTTGTGAATCACTCGTGATTCGATCACATTCGTTGATTTTTCACAGTGATTCGTGATTTCTCGTGATCGTTTCTGATTGGTGGAGAAACCTAACAGTTCTTTACACGCGACACATAATCTGTATATTTTATATTCTATATTAACGACATCAAAACAAAAATTCGAGTTATATCGTATAAAGTGAAAGAATAATTAGAAACAATGAGGAATAATGAATAAATTAATGATTATAAATTATAATCTACATGTTACCTAGCAAATCATTCTTTTAGAATTTCTTGTTTTTTCTACTGATTTTTACAAACACAGTAATGTAATTCATCCTAAAATCATATTGAATACGTTTTTCTGTTTAAAGATTAATGACTTACGATTGCAGTGAGCAAATTCACTCAAGATAAAAAAATCGCAATCACGGTCGTGAATGAAGTTAAACCACGATCGTGATCGTGAATCGGCGATGACTGTGATAAATCACTGTTAGTGATTTTGCACGCCATCTCTACTGCGTAGCACTGGTAATAAACCACTGATAGGGATGAATCGATACAAGTAAATACACGGGTACAATACTCGATACTTTTGTTTCGATACCAAGTAGGATATTATGTATTTAAATATTTTCAATTATAAAATTATATATAT